TAAATAACCAATCCGGATCATGATAAATGTGAGGGATTTCAGCTTGCAAAACTTCAAGATATGACTTAATAAAACGCGGTTTTTGACGCAGGTGTGGACTGTAGTATGCGACCTGGGGTACAGTCCCATAACTTGTTTCCATTAAGATCCCTGGATGGCAAAAGTGTCTGAGGTGATACAAGAGCGCGTATTTCGAGAAGTTCGAAAATTGTTGGGCTCAACACGATTGGGCGAGTTATAACCCACAAACGAAAGGTTGGCACAATAACTAGAGAAGCTATAGACGACATGTAGTCTAGCCAATACAACAATGTGTGGTATTTTGAAACCAAAATGCGAGACTTTTGTGCATAGAAAGAAAACAATAAACCAAGAGCACTTTGTATCTAACGCCGAGTATCAAGCTTTGTTGTACTCATATATTAAGTAACCAGGAGCCACTCCAGTCAAATCCAGCACCTTCCCAATTATTGCTGAATGGGTCCAAATTAACATCAAGAGAGGCAAAGTCGTAAGTATCCGCCTGTTGTCCCGGTGGAGCATCGAGGGACCGAAGGGTATCTTGGTCTTGAATGTCGGCCATAGTGCAAGTAGGTGCAATTCGCACGTCCCGGCTCGTGGGATCTGAGGAATGTCCAATGGCTTGCCATTGCTTGCAAAGTTTTCTGTCGAACCCCTCAAAGAACGAGGCAGCATCCGGGTCGAGTGTAAACGATGAGCCCTCGAAGGGGCCCAACTCCCGGATTTTCTCGGTCAATTTGTTCAGTGCACGCAACGGTCCGACCGCTGAGAGCCACCGTTCGGATAGCTTTTGGAGGCAGAGTTTCATGACAGTTAATTCATGTTCGGCTGTACTCTGCAGGTTGGTATAGCGACAGCTAGAAAGGAGTGACAGCCCAGCACACAGTGGGTAGAATGCAAAGACAGGACCCAAGTATCGAAGCTCATCACGAAGCAAGAATTCCTCGTAAATACCGGCAATGAACGAAGATGCGACTAGCGATGCTGCCGGTGGTACGCTACCTGGCGTAGGCGAGCGATGGAAGATAGTGAGCACCACAAAATACATGACTAGTAGCTGTTGCACTTCAAGATTACAAATGACAGCATCGTCTTGATCAGCGACAGACGATCGTAATCGTGGAATGACTTGTTTTGCCCATCGGTAGACAGCATTCTCAAGATCAACCTGCCTTTGGCGAGAGATTTCCTTTCGTAGATGGGACTCAACCGTATCTCCAAGAAGCCGGGATATCGTGCAGTAGGCTAGGAATAATTGAGACTTAAAGTTGTTCACGGGGAAATCATTAAGTGATGGTGGAAGCACATCACTGTCGCGTAGATTGATAGTTCGTGGTCGGCCAACGCCAACAGAAATTATATTGTCTCGCACCTAAGTATGTTAGCGCATGACATTTTGTGTATTCCATATTCAAGGAGATTCCATATTCAAGGAGATCCATACCACGAGAGACCACCACAGCCTTCTCCGGAACCCCCGATCTCGAGAATTCGGCGAGGGTTCCTTGTGTAGCCCAATCTGAAAGGCCATTGCTCCAGCTGTTCGAATCCAAAACCCACTGGTATCAGTAGAGACATCCTCCGGCCCAACCGGGTTATACCAATGCAGCAGGCAGGCGGCCACAATAGAAATTAAAGGGTTGTCACAACCACCAAAAAAGAAAAGTAGTTTCGCTCGTCGATAGAACACTTCGCTTGACCCATAGTCCAAATGAGCTTTAGAGACTCTGCTTCCAGCGAGAAATATAGCCTGGAGGAGCAGCATTGATCGCGGCGCACTCTCATCTAGCCATTTTGGGTCCACAACGGGTGTCCAAGGTGCACAGTGCGTGTTAAAACTGGCCATTAACTCTTTTTGAACTGATACTGGAGGTAACTCAAAAGCACCTTGGTCGCGGAGCATTTGCAAGTCAGTTGCTGATGCTTTGGGGTTGGTATATGTAGTTTCGCGACCGGGTTTCACCATATTTTCATCAAACGGCACGCTGCCGCCGAGATATTCACTGCGGCCGCGATAACTCTCTTCTTTAATGAACGGTTCGCCATTATTGGAAACAACGACTGCATTGGTTTCAATTGGAACTACCCCGTGAGATTCGCTCAAAGAATTCCGCTGTGAAGCTACTTGCGCGTCTAGTGACTCGGGAGGAACCTGTGAGCTCCGCGGCGTCTGACTCAAGGGAGCAGAGATTGACACATTCCGCCCTGGAGATAGGCTGTTGGTGAACCTCTTGCGCTTTCTTGTATATGGTCTGAACGGAGTTAATTTTTCAATTATTCGACTTCTCTGCAGGTGTACTTACCTGCACTCCACATCTGACTTTTTGCAGTTGGTGCAGGGGTCTTGCGTTGCATAGTCGCATCTCACCTATAACTATTAGCGATCACCCGAGAACGCGCCAATGGATTAACAATGGATTATCAATGCGATACCTTTCTTTTATGACAGATTATACATGCTGAAGACATGGTGCTATGCCCGGCAATGTAGATCCGAGTGACGGAAATGGTTGGAGGAGGTCAAGAGGGTGGGGTTTAGCCGAGGTATGGAAAGTCTAGGAGTTTCCTCGTTTTCTGGTATTCTGGTAATTTCGTCGTTGCAATCAATCGCCCTGATAGCAAGAATGCCGTCGACCTGGGTCCCTCCAAACTTATCATAAAAAGGTCAGTCATATGTGCTATCTCCGGATACGCCGTAGCAGGAGGACTAGAGTTACTCGCGGATATGCGTGGTGGAAGAAGACGCAGTCTTCGGTGTCTTTTGTCGACACTGGAGTGTGCCTCTGATTGATAGAGGGACTGTCCGGGTAAGCCATTGTCGGGCTTGGTTGTGCCTTGGGTATGATATTGACCGGTCGGCCTGTGGGCACCCAGGAATTACTGACAATGGGACTAGCCAGTCGGGTGGTTCCTAAAGGAGAATCATAAAAGGAAGCCCATTGGGATAGCAAGACAGCTCATCACATTCCCTGAGTTATGCCTCAACACAGATCGCCGGTCTTGCTACTACGGTGCGTACGGGGCAAACTCGTTCCAGGATGCGATGTCCCAGGAGTTTAATGCTGGGATCAAGGTAATTTCGCAGGAACCATTGCAGGTGCAGCGAAGTTTAGCAAAGGCCCAGGGCGGCATGGCAGCTTCAAGGATCATAGCAAGCTGTGAATAACAAGACGCTCTCATTAAAGAAGTTTACATTATCAAATTAACTCTTTGGATATCTAAACCCAATTATAAGTAGTGGCGGTAGACCTGTAACAAGCCAGACATTTCTCTTTAGAGATACGCGATATCGCCCAGATATAGAGTGACTCAACGACGAAGTCCCTAATTAGTCTTCTTTTCGGTTTCGCGCACTTCCTCCGCCGTGAATTTGACACGTTTGCCGTAAACCAATGGAGTGCGTCCAAGCAAAGAGCCAACCGCATATCCGATGTAGGCTCCAACGAGAATTGTGATTGGGAATGCTTGCCAAGGACGGTCCCTTCATGTATCGAGTTAGTCGGCTATTGGGCATTGGAGTACAGTATTAACGTATAACTCACCAGTCAAGAGGAATGGGAATAGCGCCAAACCACGCCCCCAAGCCTGTGCCGAGCGCACTGCCCCATACCGCATCCGCGGGCCGGGCAATGCCCCAAACCTCGTTCCATACGACACGATCCAACCCGTGGGTGTAGGCCAGGGCCGTTGCGGATAGAACAGCCAGGTGGGCCGCACACAGGACGGTCTCGGAGTTGTGCGTTGTGAGCGGGGCGCCAAATAGAACCAGAAGGATTGTCAGGACCGGGGTGGCCAGGGCGAAGGTCACAGAGAGCGAAAGGAGGGCCGGCTAGAAAATCGTGTCAGTATCAATTGACTCCCAGAATTTGGCGAAACATTGCGTACCAGTAATCGGGACCAAATGCACGTCCAGCTGTTGGCGTGCTGCTTCCGCTTTCCATGTTTTCCATGACGTACAGCAACGCCAGGCCCAGATGACCGAGGACTTGACTTGCCATCAGCCGGGGCGGACGCGGTCGTCTCTGTTGACGGTATCGACCCGGCGGGCGGAAGACAAATAATCACGTAGAAAATTTGCACAAGGGTGAGCCATGGTAAGGTAAAAAGGAGCTCTTTAGTGGGATCAGCAACCACTGCTTCAAAACGAGTAGCGCCCAATGCCAAAAGGAGTGCTGGGTGCGCAATGGAGTAGATTCGGGGTATCAACGAAGGGAGGATGTTCACGGGAGGGGCGGATGGTTTCTCGTCGGGGGCCTGGGGTGTCGAGGAGGAAACCCCTGGTGCAGAAGAGGTATCTGGGGCCATTGCAGAGTTCAACTGGCAACTTTCTGTGGGAAACAAACCCTGAGCAGCTCCCGGCTGATTCGGGGTGGAAATGGGAGGGTCTTCAATGGGGATGACATCTCGACAGTGATTGGCTGTGGCCTTGATGCCGTGTCTCCCGATTTCTCAGGCAGAATAGGCTTGCTGCCTTACCCCTCTGGCAGAGAATCACTTTCGAGTCACTTCCAGGTTGTTACTCACATTAACTCTCGCTTTTCTACATGAATATAAAATTGTAGCTCTTAATGCAGTAGAAAAATTCTCTCGGAGTACTGTCGTTTGTGGGGGGTCTTTTGGCATGTCTTTTCATGTTCTCCAAAATGATCGGTGACAATATGATAGTTATTTTTCTTCAGGCCCTTTCGTGAAAATAGAATTTCTAACTGCGTCGCTATCTTTTATCCTCGGTTACCCGGGTCAAGATTATTATCACTCTATATCCAGCTGCCTATATAGGTTAGCCTACCCACTCGGGGTAGATACAGGAGCGTTCTCCCCCCTTCAACCTCCCCGCTAGATCACCTCATCTTGTTGATGCCACCACATCGGAGAACCCGGGCATCTATTGCCTGCGAGCGCTGCAAGCGCCGTAAGACAAAGGCAAGTACATGATGATGCTTTCAAACAGCGACAATTACTGACAACAACATAGTGTAATGGGGAGCTCCCCGTATGTTCAGCCTGTGAGCGTTCAGGATCCCGTATGCTTTCAAAATCTATAAAATGAGAATCAATGTGGAGAGTCTAAGAAACCCAGATTGTACATGGCCAACATTGCCTGGACTTAAAGCCCTCCAAACCACAGAGCACTCGCAACTGGTACAACATGCTAGCAGACTAGAAAGACAAGTCGCCGAGCTACAGAACCGACTCCAGTCCCAGAGGAATGAAAGCTGCACCCATGAAGTTGCCGCACATTCCATCTCGCCGGTCGACTACCATGGCGAGCTATCGACGGATGTTGTGCTTTTGAGTATGAAGGCCGCTGCCGAGCCGTCATTTATCGGTGCAACATCGGGTTTCTCGCTCTCTAGGCTCGTGGAGGGAATCTTGTCTGAGTCCATGTTAACCGAAAGGGTTAGAGGAGATGACACAACTGTGTCTGATCAGACACCAATGCAAGAGCAGTCCGTGGCCACAGACCAAGAGGATGTGTTGATCGATACGTTTTTTAAACGAGTGCACCCTCGATATCCATTTCTTGACGAGGTTTGTCTTCAGGATTTATTCCGTCAGACATTTCGAGACGAAGATCATAATTCCCCCAATCTCTTCTTACTGTACATGGTTTACGCTATTGCTGCGAGGACCATTCAGCTGCATCCTGAGATGCGCCCATGTACAAGACCAGAGGTATGTCACATCACAGGATCTCAAGAAAATGTATTCAATTCTAGAACCCATCTAGACATACTTTACACGCGCCCTTCGCCATATCGACTCTGCTCTAGCGAGCCAGAGCCTGCAACGGGTCCAAGCCCTCCTATTAATTGCCCTCTATCTTCTACGAACCCCCAGTAACGTGTCAAATCTTGGAAGTTGGCACATTATTGGGCTTGCCATCAGACATGCGGTCGAGATGGGTCTTCACCGCAATCTTCGTGATTCTCGGGCGCGACAATTGAATAAAGATGACCTGAACCTGCGTAATCGTGTCTTTTGGAGTGCGTACATTTTGGATCGAGCGGTCTCATTGACCCTTGGCAGACCATTCGCCCTAGCAGAACATGAGATTGACGTTCCGGTAATTTCCATTTGATTTCGAACGGGTATGATGCCGCTGAATACTTATCAACGAACAGGTACATGACTCGCCCAAATACCAATCATTCACCCATATGTGCCATTTACGACGGCTGGAAAGTCGCATACACCGTGAAATATTTGGAGCCGACGTGCATGAAGCTTCCGACGAAAAGATCGACTGTTTCCGGTATGAGCTCGATGCTTGGCAACTCGCTGTCCCGGTCCCGATAGATGCCTCATTCGTTCTCCCCGGTTACTCGCTGTACGATACAAGGGAATTCTTCGACATTCAATACAGCAAGGCACTGCGTATGCTCCTTCAGCGGCGTATCACTACACCAAAGAAGGAGGCAGAAGGGGAGGATTCAAAGACAGCAGAGTATATCGCACTGAGTGCTCGAGCATCTGGGGACATCTGCCAACATTACAAAGTTCTCCATCAACGAAGCCCGTTGGGTTGGAATCTTCTGGCTCTACATTCCATATTTACGGCTGGTCTAACCCTCCTATACTCCAGCTGGACTAGGAAGGACAGGCCCGACCTCGTCGCCTTGGAAGACATCCGAGCCTGTTCGAGTGTTCTGTTTGCCATTTCAGAGCAATGGCCGTCGACAAAACGGTTTAGGGACATTTTTGAAACCCTCGCGCGGGAGATGACGGATATTTTGAAACGCAACCAACCTCCGGATTGGAACGCATTGTTTCCCGTCGATACGAACACGTTCGGGGGCGAGGGCTTCTGGTCGATTTTTGATGATTTAGTGGAAGATGATTACATTCGCGATCAGTTTAGGCTTGAGGAAATGATGGGCTAATCTAGATTCTTTCATCGCAATTTGAAATCTTGAAATGTTCCCTCGCACGGGCAACCTTTACACACTTGCACTGTGCGTTTAGACAGATTATAAACGACACAACAGACAGTCGACGTGGGCCCAGAATATGGCCCGGAGTTCTCCTCTTTGGAACTTTTTGCTTCAACATGCTCACATAGACTATGCGGATAACCTGCATGGTCCTTGAATGCTGACACAATATCCTCTTCGATCAAATTCTCCTTTTGTGCCTGTTTGCGCAGACCTGCTTCGAGTCGATCACCCCGATACCATGAGCTCCCACCGAGGTATGTATCAGCAATTTGCGTTTGTGACAGGAAAGGGCCAGTCTGGAAGTTGTTACTGTGCACGAGGTACGGCTTTTCCGAACCCGACGAAATGACGGATCTGAAGATCGTCTGCGGTGTCACTTCCAGACATATGCCAATATCGTCGGCAGACGAGACCATTATATTAAACGCGACGTGACGCGGGGTTTGGGCGATGCGCTTCAGTCCGGCTGAGTAGTTAGACTGCTCAAGGAAAAGCCGTCTCAATGCCCCGGAAGGGGGAATAGGGATTGATAAATCGGGAACTAGATCCATATTGCTCTGTAGGGAATTTGCTGTGAGGCCTAGCCCGGCGCTGTTGCACCCCGAGCGACCCAGCTGACCTGCCTCTGTGACAAGGAACATTGACGGGATGTTTTCGGAGGGATCAGGATGAATCTCAAGATAGATAATGGCGTCTTCGGTGACAAGTCGGTGAGACATATCCCAGTTCTGCGCAGTGAAGACTTCCCGGCTCCTTGTCGCAGGGGCGAGGATGATTGCAGAGGTGCATTCTTCTGCAATCTCGACCTGCTGTTCATCACCGACGGCCTTTTCCTCGGTGGGAGGATTCTTCTCGGTGGGTTCAGCTGCCTCAGCTGCCTTGTGCTCTTCTACGGCGGGAGTTTCGGGGACAGGCTCGAACTTCACATGCGAGAGGTCATATCGCGCATTCAACATGACGATGTCTTCAACTGTAACACCAGCGCCAGCGGCAACACCACGCATCTCTTCCCATCCCGATGGCCAGTAACGTTGCAAGCCAGGAATATAACAGTTTTGAATAACTCTCGAAACCGAAGACCTAGAAATCAGCATCCTTCATCACATTTTTGGGATCAAAGTGACCTACCATGGTCCTAGTTTGCCCGGCTGCTTATAGTATGTGACATTGAGCTGGATCTTGTCCTTTGTTTGCTCGCCATAGGAGAATCCGCGGTCATAGGGCAACCCCTTGACTACCACATGCTGATAATACGGTTGGACGGACATCTTCTCAGTGGAATTGGAGTATCCCTCTTACAGGTCTACCAGATAGTCAATCGGCTATAGAAGAGACTTATTCAGAAGATTAGCGGTTCCTTATGAACTCTTTACTTCGGCAGTCTCCCGACTTCCCGAATGGTTAGGGTAAGGCTATGTCGGAGATATCGGTTGCTGCCGAGACATCGGTAGTAACCGACGCCTTAACTCCCGGCTATGAACCCCCGTCACATCTCTAGTATCATGACTATCATTACCCCAGGTCAGGTGAAGGAGCGGCATTGATAAGAGAGTAAGAAAATACTGCGGGGAATATCGCTAGGTCCAAGTGGCTGCAATGAGAATCGTGGAGTACTTATTCTACTTCGGTCGCCAGAACCATATGCCCCTTTGACTACAAACAAAAGCACTCTTTGGAGTGTCCCCCAAAATCTAAACAGACTGCAAAAATGGGAGAACACGAGATACAGGCGACTACCGTCCCCCAAGGGGAGAAGACTATGCGTGACAAGGGATGCGACGATGCCGCAGAGATGTTCAACGGCGACCTTGTGCTGGAGTACAGCGAAAGAGAAGAGAGTATTGTCCGCTGGAAGCTTGATCTATCGCTCGTCCCTATGGTAAGAATCAATCTCCGAAAGCCTGTTGTCAATTCACATGCTTCATACTAAGTGTGTAGATGCTCATCAGTTATCTACTCTCTTTTGTCGACAAAGGGATCTTGTCGACAGCCGCAGTTTATGGGCTCCGAACTGACTTGGTAAGGACATATCCATTCCAAGGCTCATGTCTGTCCTCAAACTAACGGTTCTAGCGCCTTGAAGGTCAACAGTACAGCTGGTCCAACTCGATATTCTACTTCGGGTATGTTACTCAACCCCCATTCCCACCTATTCCCGGGTCTAATGTAACCACAGATTCTTGATCTGGCAGTACCCCAACTCTATCTTCATGCAGCGACTACCTATCGGCCGCTGGATAGGAAGTATGGTATTCCTCTGGGGGGGTGTGTCGCGGCTACAGCGGGGGTCACCAACTTTGCTACGCTGGCCGTCGCCCGGTTCTTCCTGGGCGTCTTCGAGGCATCCAACAACCCCGTGTTTACCCTCCTAGTCAGCCAGTACTATACCACACAGGAGCATGCATTGAGGGCGTGTTTATGGTGGGCTGGTGGTCCGATTGCAGCATTTATCGGTGACGGCGTATCGAACGGAATCGGCCATTTCCATGGCGCGTTGGGCAGATGGCAATATCTTTACCTGATCTTCGGTCCCATCACCATGGTCTGGGGGATATTTCTCTTTTTCGCCATGCCTTCCTCTCCAATGACTGCGTGGTTTTTGACCCCACGCGAAAGGCAGATCGCGGTTGTCAGGGTAGGTTTCATTCCCACACCAAGTAAGGATTTAGTTAATGTATCCATTAGGTATTGCAAAACCATACCGGAATGAAGAATCGGCAGTATAAAAAATACCAGGTCATCGAATGCTTCCGCGACCCCCAGGTGTTGATGCTCTTTGCCATTGTTTTCCTTCAATGTATTCCCGGTGGCGGATTGACTGCTGTGAGTGGACAATACTACACTCGACGCATGACTTCGGTATCTGACTTTTTTTAGTTCAACAAAATCATCCTCACAGGCCTTGGCTACTCAAGCGTCGAATCGACAGTGGTTGCTATGCCCGAACATGCGATTCAGCTTGTCTCAGTACTACTTGCGTATGTTCCTTTCCAGCTTTAACTTCAAGTGGCTCTATATCTAACAAATTAGTGGCGGAATCTGTTCCTATATCGGCAAAGGACGATGCATCGCGATGATTTTGAGTAATATTTGCGTACTGGTTGGGAGTGTCCTCCTCTACAGTGAGTAACCACAACCCTCATCCTCTTAATAATATTAATAGTTGCAGCCCTTCCCGCCGAAAGAAAAATGTCGCGTCTGGGCGCCGTTTACTCGCTCCTCACATGTACTGTTTCATACATCATGTGCATGTCAATGATCTCATCCAACGTCGCTGGATTCACCAAGAAGATGACAGCAAGTGTAAGCATACCTGCACATTCCTATCCTACAAGAAACAATGTTGACTGAAGATGGTATATAGGTCATGATCTTTGTTGGTTATTGTGTTGGTCAAATCATTACGCCGCAGTTCTTCATCTCTTCCGAAGCACCAACATATCCCACGGGCTTCCGTGCATATTTCGTCACCGCGTCGATGATGATTGTCATTCAAGCCGCTTTGATGTAAGTGTCCATTTCAAATCCAGAGACTGTCAGGTTCTAATTTTTGCAGGATGTATTACCTAAATGAGAATCGACGACGCGATAGACGTAGCGAAGCAACGGTTATCACAGACGAGGGTAACCAACATCATATCTTAGAGACTGATTTGATGGATTTGACAGATCGGGAACAGCCCAACTTCCGATATACTTGGTGATGGAGTTGGTGGAGTGGTATCATGTGCTTAAGCACTGGTATAGGAGGGTTTATGTCGGGACAGTCCTTACATGACGCAGAAAGAGAAGTCACAGACCTTCAATTTATAATTCATATTTAGTGAACATTCACATTTATCTGGATGCTATCGTAGACTATCCAAATCTCAAATGAATGAGAGGTGGCTTATAATCAGGATAATAATTCATAGCAAGGCTTAGTCAAATATATATATATGCCTATAACTACATACTGGTATCTCCTAGAGTCTCCTCTGCTCCTTCCTTATTTCACTCTTTCCCTTAATCTTTTCCCCCTCTCTCTTCTTTCTTCTTCTCCTCTCCCTTCTCTCTCATCTCTTCTTTCACTCTTCTTTCAATCGCCTGTTCTCGCTCTCAAGTTTCATCCGGTTGACCTCATAAGGTAAAGATGACTTATTACTCCAAACCTTATCCGAAAGTTATATACTAGTTTCGGACGCCGGCACCTTCTATCCTCGAGGATTCCCTTTCGGAAAACCTTACGTTGGCCTCGAAGACTATGCATTCAGAAATGTCTGATGACTCGGAGTACCTAGAAGTCAAGCACTCAGACGCCGAGTGCTTCGAGGTGCTGCCCGACGACACAGTCGAAGCCATCGGGTCGACGGAGAGTGCTGTCCGGAAGATTATCAGAGAAAAAAAAAAAAAAGAAAAACAACCGACGTGGTGAAATATATACGTTTCACAAACGTCCCACCAGCTATTGCGGATAAGTTTTCTCTACGCAGTGCTCGGCAGATATTTAATCCCAGCACTCGATATATGATCATAAAGCTCTTCACTGGGGCCCATGAAATAGCTTCACGCGGCCTAGACAGTGAAGTGCAAAGTGAGATATATAATATGGGGCTACACAAGTCGATCCGCCTGTTAAGGTCCACAACCATCCAAGGTGTGTTTTGCAGAAAGGAGGCCGACGCGGCGTATAGCCCTACGGGACCTATTCCAGGTCAACCTATTCCAGGCCGCAATCCAAAATGGCCTACCGTTATGCTCTAAGTGGGAGTATTAGAGTCATATCGAAAGCTACAGGCAGATGCAGAATGGTGGCTCACGAACTCGAGGGGCGATGTGAACTAGAGTGCCTTTAATATATCTTTAGAACATTCAGAGCAAGCAGTTATAACTTATACCTATCTGACGGCGTTGAGTATCACGTAGTTAAAAGTAATTATCCTCACCAGCGCAAGGGGGTATCACTGGCCATTTCATGGTTGTGATATTCCTGCTTAGTCGGTCGTAGGGATAGCCTCCAGGGCTAGATGGTGCTTCGCTGACTTGTCAGTGAACTCGCAACCACAACAGCATCCCCCTGTCTTTCATACGACAACATTACCCTCACCCTCAAAGATGGACGACAGAAAGGATGGCTTCTTTCTCGGCGAGTTTCCAACTGTTAAATACCATCGGTACGATGAATTGACGAATTCTCCAGGATTTCCCCGGGGCGGCATTTCGGCCACGGACACACACCCTACACCTATACAGAATAGAAGAAGCGAAAGAAATCTTGAAAAAGCATCACTATTTTTCTCGTCGGGTTTATAACAATAACACCGGACCGATTTGGCAAGCTGAACCTAAGAATAGGACGAGATCGGGAAAAAACACGAAAAGAAAGATCAAGACAGACCAGCTGCAATCGCAGAGACGTACATTCATTCCACATGGCAACGTGATCAACTGAGAATCCCCAAACAGGCTAATAATATGAAGAGAGCCTCGGACCATTGCGAGGAGATGGGGGTGGGTGAGAGCAACGGAATAAAGAATACATGGGGGTCATTCAAAGGGAACTCGGGATGACAACACGTCATCCAATAGACAGCAAATGGAGGAGAGACAGCAACAAGAGCACGAATACGAGGGCAAAGCCCATTATTCATCACGAACTAAATTAAAGATGAGAGAAACAACTTCATCTAACGCCTCAGGTGACGCCAATGCTCCGCGAATAAGCCATCCCTCTCAAATCGTCAAACAAATCCCACACAACTGAATAGAAGATAAAAGGTGCAATCCAAGTAAGAGCAATAATGATAATAATAGAAGCGGAAGAATGGAAACACCTTGTAACAGTTTAAAGACATCAAACAGCTGAGGTGGAGGGTCCCGCGGTCTCTTTCAGGATTTCAGGGGACACTGTTGGCTCTGGTGCCAACACGGACTCGGTAGCGGGCAGCTGAACAGACTCCTTCTGTTCAGCGACAGGCACAGTTGCAGTCGCCTCGGGGCTATGCGGCTCTTCGGGGATAGATGGGGGAAGACCAGCGCCAGGCAAGGGAGACACGGGCGAACGCATATGCTCTTCCTTGGGCTGTTCGCGTGGTACTTCAACTGAGAGAGAGTTGCCATTTGTCGGCTCCGTAGCAATGGGAGCAAGAGGCTGGTTGGTGAGGGAAGGGTCATGCTCTGACCTGGTGGGGCTCTTTGTGCGCTCACGATCATCCTTAACACCATCCCGAACCTGAGCAACCTTGGCCTTGAACTTTCCGAACAAACTCTTCTTCTCGGGCTCTGATCCTATGGAGGAAGTGGTGCCTTGAATGCCAGCATCCAAGCTCAGTGGGTGATTGGAGAGGTCTGTGTTTTGATGGTGACCGCTACCGAATGAACTGGTGCTTTGCTCAGCTCGGGGATTCGTCGCTACTAGGGGTGGAGACGCGAAACCTAGTCCGACTTGTTCGCCGGTGTGTTTGGACGACCGATGGAACCGCCAACTACGACGATTTTCGTGGCGAGCGACATCTTCAGGCTGATCCATATCAGACTGATCAGTGAATGATGAACGTGAGTTCATGGAGGGTGTGCGCGACCTGTGAGGTCGCAAAGAGTGGTCAGTGTGAGGTTGCGAAGTACCATCTGCGGGAGCCGGGCTCGAGTCGAAAGGGTTCTCTCGGTTGCCGAGCGTGGCAGAGGTTGGTGGTCTCGGAGTGGTGTCACCAACAGCAGCTTCCACAGATCGGTTTTCGTTCTTAGGTTCAAGATCCGCACTAGGATCTGCACTCGAGGCATGGAGTGAATTAGCCGAGCTTTGTGCGCTCATGCTTGCACTACCGGGAATGCGCTTTTTTTTCAAGCGATTCGGCTGCCGAGGTTCTCTCAGTTCACCATCATTGGGCGGTGATTTCGTGAAAAAGTTTGAGAGTTTGCGCTCACGGCTCGGGGTGACATGTGGGGATAGAGCGACCGGGGGGAGGTGACCGTGGTGTTGATATTTTCATGCGGCCTGGCAATTTCGCTGAGGCTAAGACGTTCAGCAGTGGCCGGAGGCAATGGGCCATGGGTTGACGTATGCACATAGACGTTGCCTGGAGTCAACGAGGCGGCCGATTTACTAGGGGTTCGCTGCTCAGGACATTGCTCGGGTGTCTGCTCAGGGACTGGTTGAGGGGCCGGATGAGAGACCGACTCAGGGATCGGCGCAGGCTGCTCGGGCTCTTCGCGCACTGAGGGTGTTCGACTAGTTGATCGAGAACTCTGATGAGAAACAGATAGGCCGGAAGGATTGTTCGATCCAGTGTCGTTGGCTCGTGCATAACGGGCAGAGGCCAAGACGGGACCCATCTTTGAGGGCAGAGTGTTGCTTCGGTGGACACCACCACCGCCGCCGGTGGCTGAGGTGGGAGTTACGGGGCTTTGAGCGTTGTTAGAATGGCGCGAGTTGCGCGATGAAACGGAGACATTTCGTCGGATACTGTCCAACTTGCGATGGCCATCCGTGTTCGCACTAGCGTTGGATACCGATCGTCGAACGGTCGGGTGAGCTGCGGGTCGTGGAATTCCAGCCTCAACCTCTTTCATGGTCTGCTCATCGGCAGCCGTGCCACTCATTCCGAACAGGAAGTGATCCTGATTCTCGATCAAGAAGATCAACACATCCTGACTCAACTTGTATTCCTCCGGTGACATATCATGCTGGGGGTGAGACAGCATGCCTGGTTGAAAGATCGCAGACAGATTGGCAGACGGCATGCGATTCTGATCGGACTTTGAGGCGAAAACCGCGAGAAGATCGAGGATATAGAGGAGCAGCTGCTTGTTCAATGGGGGCAGCTCGATGATGAGGTTCTGGTACGTCTCGACAGCCTTTGCGTGGTCGAACTTATCGGCATCGTTTGTGTCCTTGCCTTCTAGGACTTGTCGCTGGTAGATACGCAGAGGTTCACGGAAGCGCTCATAAAACTCCAATGGCACGATGGGTTCGGGAAGCTGGTTCAGGTATCGGCGAAGTACATTTGCTGCATCATGGACGGTGTATCCGGACCAGTCGAGTCCTTTGCCATATCGCTCGGGGGAATCGAAGACCTCCTGCAAGTCTTTAATACGTTTGGCTGATCCGTTAAGACGGAAGATGCCCTCCACATCCGTTGCTATTCAAAAAAAAAAGGTCAGCGACAACTCATCGAGTATAGTAAGGTGAATGCTAACCTTTTTCTTTTAGAAAAACTCCACATTTTGCAACAACAATAGGCACGTATCCATAAATGAAGCTCTCGCCATGGTCGTTGGTTAATGAGATTGCCACATTGGCATACTTGATGCTGACATTGAGCGGGATCCCGAAGATGCCGCGGGGTGCCTCTTCTGCGACAAACGGGTTAGCATACCAGTTCGAGAAACAACGAGGAACCCAAGCAAATGAACCGAAGAGCGAGCAAAGTCCCCAGCTCCAACTTGGTGAACTGCAGCAATCATCTCTTGTGCGACAAGGGCAGTATATACCCCGAGGCTCAGGGGGATGCGAACCGCCGCGAGCCGGAGCGCTCCAGGAAACATTTACGCGGTCGCCTGTTTTCTTATATCGCATTCACCAAACATGGCTTACCTTTCAATTCGTCTTTTCTGGTGCTTCGTTTGAACTGTTTCCACCATGAAGCTAAATCTCGCTTCGATGGCGGGGAGTTGGAGCCGACCGGATCGGGTGAGGTGGGGAGAGGGTGGACGGGGTCAGCGCCCGGGTGCGACTTGCCGACCGTCACCATGGCGAGTCCGGAGGGCGACTCGAGATGGAATCGAAGGTACTGAGAAGCGGAGAGGCGCAGAGAAGTGGGTGTGTCGATCGAGGGATTCGGGAAAGTTGAAGGGGGCCCTGCGTCACCGCCCTCGTGTGGGAAATCCTGGGGCTGGGCCCAAAATAGCACAGGTACAGTTTCCGAGGCGAAGCAATAGCAGAGATGGGATTCGAGAACAAGAAACTGAGAACAAAGAGGATGGGAAGAAAAGGAGGGAAAGGATGTAAGTTGTGTGAGTCTGATGGATGAAGGGATGCGAAAGGGCTAAAAGGTCAGGGTTTCGAAAGGGTCAATGAGTTCGGGGGGGGAGGGGGCACGAGCCAAGAGCCGAACACATATGACAGAGATTATTATCTGGGTTTGGTGACTTGGGTATTCCAATGTTAAGGGGAAGTTTCTTTCTGAGAACATGAGACTATGAATAGCACAATTTAGAGACCCAAGGTTCCCGGAACAAGTTAAAGATGGGTCAGGGTCGCCTGTCATATAGATTAAATTGGATCAATGTACGGAGTACAGGTACACAATGCTACAGGGGGGAGGATTTTGTATTGGGATATCTCATTTGCTACATGAACCTGCCTATAGTTAACTAAGTTAACTACCGAGTACAATGTAGATCTCATACTAGCCACATTTTTGGAATTTCTAGAATTTGAGGAAAAGAGGAAAATGTGAAGAACTGCCCCGCCTAGGAGTAACTGCGATAGTCTGGAACCAACGGGTCCTGGATTGTCTGGAACGTGTCTGGACCCCTTTAGGGCATTTTAGGGGCATTTTAGGGGCTTTTTTTTGGAGATCAGTCGCTTATATCGGGTTTCATATCTTCCGGACCAGGTACCAATTTTGATTTTGATTTTTGGTTCTTCAAATCACTTGGCTTTGGGTTAACTCCTGACCAATGGAGTTGATGAAGTATACAGATTCCAAGGTTATCTATTCAGTTGGAGCATATACATTGCCACTTGGTCCATTGCCGGAAAATATGTCTCGGGTACAGGGTAGATCGTCTCTCGAAAGATGTAAGGATATCCTATTAACTTTTGCGTCTTTGGCAATATTTCAATCCTTTGTAGAGCCCCATTTTGGGACTCATGTTCTACATGTAGGTTTGGACATCTCATATGTCCTCTATATTGGTCAAAAGTGTAAATAACATGATTTTAAAGAAGGATTTTTTAGGCCTAGTCTGTAGCTTTCCATCCATGGACACAAAGCCGCTTAACTACACATAAAAAGTCAGTGAGGTGGTATTCGCTGTCCATAGCGTCATGAAGTGAGGTTGAAGAAATATTGGTGACGTTAATATATCACGTGGATAAGTTATTCTGACTTTGGAATGTTTCTCCGATCCTAAATAAGTTTCTCCGATTGATCGGATAAACCTCCTGCGGGATAGTCCGGAGTAGGTAGAGCTAATAAAGCATCAGTACAATACACTTGTCTATCTGATGCCATTATCACTATGGAATTTGAATCCTCATTGTCCAAGATATTATATGAACTAAAAGTGTATCAAATTAAAGGTCATATGGACTATATAACTAACAAACCCGCGATGTTGATGATGTGGTGGCCTGGTGGCTAAGGCACTCAGTCGCGTGGGCTAATATTTCTCCGGCACCCGAGAAGCTCAGAACCAGCGGAGCTGGCAGCTGGCAGGAGACTTGTGGAAAGCATCTTACCATCAAAACATCTTGATATCATTCATCTATCACAATGGACGGGTAAGTACCTTATTTGAACCTTTTTTAACTTCCCTGCCGTGTTTTCTATCCCATTGTTCCTCTGGATGATTCTCTGAGCAAACCGCTAATACTCAAGTCACAGACTTAACGCATCGGAACAGCGCGAGTTCACTTCCCGCATGGAGCGGAAGCAGATGAAGGAGTTCATGACTGTATGTGTCTCCTAACTTCCCCATCGATGATTCAACTTTACGCTTATCCCCTTACCCGTGATCCCGTGTTTACCATCAACCATCTGTCGTCTGCTATGGTCAAGATCTAACATCCTTTCTTCCAGATGTACTCCAAGATGGTCCAGCGCTGCTTCGATGACTGTGTCAATGACTTCACCACCAAGTCTCTCATCAACCGCGAGGAGACTTGCATCATGCGTTGTGTTGACAAGAACCTCAAGAGCTCCGCCCGGTTGAACGAGCGCTTCCAGGAGCAGAACGCTGCCATGATGCAGAGCGGCTCCATGGGAGGCAACTAAGGGTCTGTTTTGATAATAAGAAACATATTGTCGATGGCTATTTTCTGTTTTGGCATGCATTCGACGAATTGGGTGATTGGCGAGGCGGCTCCATCGACCCGGTTGTCTCCGGTCCGACAGTGGCTTTACATGGAGGTTTAGAGGGATGACAGCGTGGTCGATGACCTATTGGCGAGGAAGCAGGCAGGATCGGCTCCTTTCCGTGTACCATAGTGACTAGCACGGGAGATATCTACCTCTCCTCTCCCGAGGCTCAAAATACAAAAGACTTAACCAAACCAAGGAAGATGTGACCATGTATGTTGAACAGGGTTGCAAAATAGAGCTTAGTTTGGATTATCTTTCTTCCCCATAAACTCGATATTTATCCCTTGCTATGCTCAAGCAACTTTGCGGTCATGAATCCGAGGGCGTGCATTCATTTTCCTTTTTGGGTGGGGGTGGGGGAGGGTTTGGCGTACAAACTTGGAGTTGAGGCCTGTCGGATATTTGCTACCGGTTATTAGTCCACTCGGCTTGCTTTCGATTCAACACTATATCTCACATTATCGGTACTGGGAGTTGCCGGATGATGGATATAAATGTTCCACGAATAATGAAGTTTTCTGAGGTTGGCGATATGCTGTTTTCATGCTGTTTTTGCCCTATCATTGTTAGTATGATCAAAATATGAGAGAATCAAGATGCATCAAGCACTCCACCTAGTTGATTATACCTCTATAGCTATATATAGTGCTTACCTTGTATAAGTGTACAATATAGATGAACATATAGGATATGTATCTCCCCATAAGACTTTCCCCGCGGAGCTCGGAAGCATTCCCGATCACGTATACAATATATTTCTATTTGAACGGGGGAAAATGGCTTATCTTGCTGGATTTCTCCAAGTGGGGGAGAATCTTAGAATTCTTGGAAATATCATATGAGGGGAGTTCTAAGCTGTCAGACATCTCCAACTTCTTGATGCTTTTATCTTTTCCCCCTCATACCCGGATCCACCCCCCACCCTTCAAAAGCCCGTCATTTTCCTCTTCTCTTCTTCTTCCACCATATTCTTGTGAGTGATTTTTCCCCCGGCATTTCTGGACTTTGCTAACAGTGTTTTAGTTTGGAGATCAACATATACACAATGGCTAGCACAGTAGGACAGGTAAATTACTATTCTCTCTCTTTTTTTTTAACTAAATAACTTGGCTGACTCCGGAAATCTACAGACAATCACTTGCAAGGTAAGCTCGATCCGACCACCCCGCACATATGACGTCGACCAGCACAGCTTTGTGATTTATGAAACAGTGCTGAACAATTGATAGGCTGCCATCGCCTGGGAGGCCGGCGCGCCTCTGTCCGTTGAGGACATCGAGGTTGCTCCCCCAAGGCTGGTGAGGTGCGCATTAAAATTCACCACACCGGTGTCTGCCATACCGGTAAGTCCCGCCATCAGCCCCGCCCTTTGCACGAAAAAAAAACAAACACAATACCGAGGAAACCCCGATCTATCATAACAATTATTGACATGCCTCAGATGCCTACACTCTTTCCGGCAAGGATCCCGAGGGTGCTTTCCCCGTTGTCCTCGGTCACGAGGGTGCCGGTATTGTCGAGTCCATCGGCGAGGGCGTGACCTCCGTTCAGGTCGGCGACTACGTCGTCGCTCTCTAGTACGTTTTCAGCTCCGATCTCGGCGTCACAATCGACTAACAATTGTAGCACTCCCGAATGCCGTGAATGCAAGTTCTGCAAGTCTGGCAAGACTAACCTCTGTGGTAAGATCCGTGCTACCCAGGGTAAGGGTGTTATGCCCGATGGTACCTCCCGCTTCAAGGCCCGCGGAAAGGACCTCCTGCACTTCATGGGTACCTCCACCTTCACACAGTACACCGTCGTTGCCGATATCTCGGTCGTCGCGGTCACTCCTAAGATTCCTACCGATCGATCTTGTCTGCTCGGTTGCGGTATCACCACCGGTTACGGTGCTGCTGTCGTGACTGCCAAGGTCGAGGAGGGCTCCAACGTCGCTGTCTTCGGTGTCGGCTGTGTCGGTCTGTCCGTTGTGCAGGGTGCCGTCAAGAACAAGGCCAGTATGATCATTGCCGTCGATGTCAACGACGGTAAAGAGGCCTGGGCTCGCAAGTTCGGCGCTACCCACTTCGTTAACCCCACCAAGCTCTCCGGAAAGACCATCCAGGAGCACCTTATTGAGATGACTGATGGCGGCTGTGATTACACCTTCGACTGCACTGGTAACGTTGGTGTCATGCGCGCTGCCCTCGAGGCCTGCCACAAGGGCTGGGGTGAGAGCATTGTCATCGGTGTCGCTGCTGCTGGTCAGGAGATCGCCACTCGCCGTAAGTTACCCCCCATCGTTCCTCGATATCCAATGTATATCCTCCTTGTCTAACACATGTCATAGCATTCCAACTCGTCACTGGTCGTGTCTGGAAGGGATGTGCCTTCGGTGGTATCAAGGGTCGCACACAACTTCCTGGTCTCGTCGACGACTACCTCAACGGCGAGCTCAAGGTGGACGAGTTCATCACTCACCGCCAGTCGCTGGACGGCATCAACACCGCCTTCGATCAGATGAAGGAGGGTGACTGCGTCCGTTGCGTCGTCGACATGCAGTAGATGCAATATTTTGCCGACAAAAATAACTGATGTGAAATATGACTTTTAATTATTTCTTGGATTCAAATATTTTCTCCGTAAAACAGTACAATTCATGCGGGGGCATGATCCTTTGTAGGGGTAAGGGTGCCATCAAGGTCCCCAGCCCCGCGGCACCTTGAGGGTGACCTCTGGAGATGTGTAAACAATGATATCAGCTCAATGGATTGTCAAAGGCAATGATATGCGTAAAGCTGTCGATCCAACGCAAATCTTAGGATCATACTAGATCAACACGACGGTGTCGTAGATCGATTAACAGATGATTCAAACCTCATAATCATAGCATTGGATCGCGGGTGAGGATGTCTGAGACTATTTTCTCTCTTCTTCTCTTTTGGGTTTCAAGGACTTCCAAACACAAACATAATCTCTTCCATCATATCAATCGCCGCGGAACATAATCAAAGATACCGCGCAGTCTATACTCTTACCGGCGAGTGTCCGAAACCCCTCCCATACCCGCACCAACGAGCTGTTGATAAACACTGCAAACTCGGTTTTACTTCGGTACAATGTGGCTGGCGCCCTATGATAGGCTATATACTGCCTGTATGCAGCGTGATTAAGGTGCCGATGGGTCTAAGAGGGGTAGCCTTCTGTTATCCTACTCCAACTCCGTTGGCCGCGGCGATGCCCGCGGCGGTACCTAGGAGAGGAGGGAGGGGGGGGAGTATATAGTCCACGATGAGAAGGTGTATTGAATCAACCTGTTCCAAATCTTCTCTACATTCCGTCTATCATTTCTACTTTACTTGTTTTATAAACTTCAGAACAAGTCCCTCCACCACCAAACCACCACAACCATACCACACCAACAACACCATACCCCCCAAACCACCATGTCATCCCCAAAGCCAACAGACCTAAACCCAGTCCCCCTACCAGCCCCCTTCTCCACAATCCCGCGAACCCCCCTCCTACTAGGCCCCTCACCAATCCACCCCCTCCCCCGCATAACCGACGATCTAGCCAAAAACAACCCCCACCCGCACGTAAGCATCTACGCGAAACGCGACGATCTAAACTCCGCCTACGCCTACGGCGGCAACAAAACCCGCAAACTCGAGTACCTACTCGCAGAAGCGCAAGCGCAAGGCTGCACGACGCTCGTCTCCATCGGCGGCGTGCAAAGCAACCACACGCGCCAAGTCGCCGCCGTCGCCGCGCGCTCCGGACTAAAAGCCCGTCTCGTGCAGGAGCACTGGGTCGACTGGACAGATCCCGGCTACGAGAGTACGGGCAATATCCAGCTGTCACGACTGATGGGCGCGGATGTGCGACTCGATCCGTCTGGATTCGGTATCGAGCATAAGAATACCGCTGCGGCGGTTGTTGAGCAGGCTAGCGGTGACGGGGAAAAGCCCTACTATATCCCTGCTGGTGCGTCGGATCATCCGCTTGGTGGTCTTGGGTTTGCGCGGTGGGCGTTTGAGGTTCGGCAGCAGGAGACGGAGATGGGGGTTTTCTTTGATACGGTTCTTGTTTGTGCTGTTACTGGGTCGACTTTTGCCGGGATGATTGCTGGGTTTAAGTTGTTGGAGAAGTTGTATCCTGAGGATAAGAAGAGGAAGGTTATTGGGATTGATGCTTCTGCGACGGTTGAGGCGACCAAGGCGCAGGTTTTGCGCATTGCGAAGAATACCGCTGCGAAGATTGGGCTTAGTGAGGGCGATATTACCGAGGAGGATATTATTCTTGATGAGCGGTACCATGCTGGTATTTATGGTGTTCCTGATCGTCAGACTTGGGATGCGATTGAATATGCGGCGAAGATGGAGGCGTTTATCACGGATCCAGTCTATGAGGGGAAGAGCTTTGCGGGTATGATGGATATGATCCGTCGTGGAGAGATCAAGGGTGGGAATATCTTGTATGCGCACCTCGGTGGGCAGTTGGCTTTGAATGCTTACTCCGAGCTTGGTCGGACCAACGAATAAACAGATGGATAGAGACATGCATGTATTTAGGGAATGGGAAGACACTTACATATAATCTACAGTTTTATGAATAGAATGTATGGTTGTAGCAATTTAGGTTTGTATTGTTAAACGAGTGACTGTAGTTGGCGCGTAAAGATGATTAAACTAGGGAAGCATGGACAACGTCCTTTAGAACAGCTTGTGCTCAAGGGTCATCTCCGACTCGGGCTGGAGACCAACGCAAGCACGGAAGATGTTGATAAGAGCGGAGCGCTGCTTGCCCAGGGCGTTGACGACCGGGGTACCGGGAGGGGTCAGGGGAGCCTTGAGCATGTAGCTGAGAATGCTGAGGACGCTGTGGAAGCCCTTGTAGTCTTCACCCTCGCTGTCAGACTGCCAGCTGATACGGGTCATCATCTCGGCGAGCACAATCAGATCAATGATCAGGGGCGCGGCCAGAAGCGAGTCCTCACAGATGTTGAACAAGCTGATGGTCTGGTGGCCACCCATGAAGATCTCGGCGTAGTACTCATCCAGAGCACGCTTGTTGTCACCGACAGCAGGCATGTACTTGATGACGACAGAGTGGTCGGGATGTTCATCCTTCTCGTAGAGAATGTGGTTGGCCGCGACCATGTCGTCCACAACGTTGGACTTGGAGATCTCCTTGGAGCGGAACTGCTTCTGGGAGCTCAGATTCTTGCCGTCATTGTTGCCCAAGTGGTTGTAGCTGGCAATGGAGGTGAGCTTGATACCAGCGTTGATCAGGAAGTCAACGAGGGCCGACTTCATCTTGGTCTGGCCAGACTTGAAGTCGTCACCGCCAATGAAAGCACGACGCTGCTCGGCCAACTGAAGGGCACCAGGAACAAAGGTGTTCTGGGGGGAGCCGTTGATGAACGGAGTGTCCTCGAGGATCGCGGCAACAGCGAACACAGTGGAAGGAGCAACCTCAAGGTGACCGGCCTTGATCGAGTTGATCAGGTTGTCGGCAGTGTCGTTGACACCGGGGATGATGTCGGCGTACCGCTCAGTGTTGGCAGTCCACATGATAATCACCTTATCCAAGCCGTTCTGGGCCTTGAAGTCGCGAATATCCTTCTGGATCCGCTCAACGTGAGCCCAGCAAGCCTTGTCACCCTCGATGACGTTGTCGGCACGGTCCTCCTGGTTGGCAGCGATGAAGTCCGGGTAGTAGATACTAGGCAGCGGCTTCATCTCGACCATCTCCTTGCGGACTTGGTTCTTGAGGGTGGGCTCCAGCACCTGAGCACGGTCCATGGACTCGGCGAGGTTCAGGCTGCTGATATCCCAACCGCCAATGGCCAGATCGTTAGGGTGGACCATGGGGAGCAGATCGTGGAAGGGGATGTTGATCTCCTCGCCGGTCTTAGCATCCGAGCCCAATTTGACAGTGGAGCCCATGACGATGGAACCGTAGTAGTTGGAGGTCTGCTTGCCATCGCGGGTCTCCCAGGAGAGGTTACGACGGTTGGCCAAGATACCAGCAGTCACGGTGGAACCATTGTTTCCACCCCAACCGACCAACATCATACCGACCTTGCCAACCTTGCGGTTGACCTTGAAGTTGTAGTTGGTGGCCTTGGGAGTGGCAACCAACTTGTTGTCCGGGGTGCGGGTGATCTCAGTAGTCTGATAGGCGTACTTCGACTTGATTTCGTCATCGGTATAGACGACATTGGGGGACTGGACAGTGAATTGGGACGATTCTTGGCGAACCGACCCGTTCAGCGCGCCATTGGCAGCATCCGAGCTAGCGTGAGGAGCCATTACGTTCACAGCGGGATGAATAGGCGAATTGATGATAGTGTGTGTAATAGCGTAGCTTTAACGGATAAAGGGTGCGCAGTCCGATGCTCCTCCACGGTTGGATGAGCGTCGGCCGTTGAACGGGTGGTGCCGCCTAGGGAGGAGTTAGCAATTGCATGTATGATCATGCCTCCTTATAGAGGCTTTATGGGGAAACTCACGAGTTAAGGCTTGTCGCGAAAATTGTGGCGGTTGTATGTGACCACTGTCTCGACGAGAAGTGATCTGACCTGCTGACAAGGTTTATACGAACCTAAAATAAACGGACGAGGAATACTGAGGATTGAGGATAAGAGGAAGAGAAAGAAGAGAGGAAGAGGAAGTGGCAGGAGGGCGACTTTATGTCACTCCGCCTGTCTCCGGGTCTGGTCCTCCGGTCCTCAGTCCCCCGGCTTCCCCCTTTTTTTTCTTATTTTTTCCTCTTTTAATTTCGAACTATTTGTTGGCATTAATCTTATTATTAGTTGTCATATTGTAATATCTCACCGTCTATTCTGGTGTAGCCGATACCGCAGTTACCATCTTTTCGGGGTTCCTGTATACAAGGTAGTTATAGACAGACTCTTTTTGTACATTTATTAACCAGTGCTAACTAGTTGATTAATATGTGCTAACCTTCTCAGGTACACACAGTTAATACATTATGATCAGCAACTTATACCTCAATTCATAAATCTCCAGTTTTCTTTTGTGCCGAAAACCGTCTGGGGCTCCGCTTCCGGCTGTTCTGTTTCCCTGGTGCCTGGCCCGTAGTTTCATTTCCGAATACGAGTTCCAGGTGACGTATCCTGTGTTATGTGTTCTGTGTTTTGTGATATCTGAATTATTAAATGAAGCAATGCAATTGCAATTGGAATTGCAGACTTACAGTATTAGCATACCCTATACTCTGATATACATCAGGCCACGAGCCCTCGGTTGGACCGTGCTGCACATCAGAGGGGTATGGGGCAGAATAGCGGTCAGCCCATCCCCTCAACGTGCCCTTGGCATTGTGCTTGAGATTTGGATGTTATTAGCTATTATTATTTATTATTCGAATGTTACAGAGTATATGAAAATGAAAGTACAAAGTAAATAAACTAAATAAACTAACATGTTAACCTTGGGAGCCATCTAAGGTAACCTCCAGGGACCTTACAATTTCCAAGGTTCCAATCCTAAAAGACTTACTTCAACCTACCAAGAAATTAACAATGACCGATGGGCCAAAACCGGCCTATGGACCTACATAGGATTTGGGCCATTTTTAAATTTATTTTGCTCATCTGTGTTGGCGCTGCGTTATACCTCTGCCAATGTTCACTTCTATTGGAATATATAATGTCTGCAATTCATGAGACATCCATAGTATTATTCCTAATTTTGTTGACCAAGTATTCCTGCAAATATCCCCCCCAGTCCCTATTTCCACAAACAAATAGTTATACTCTCAAACCTTCGGTGCTCCATTGTCTTTGTTCTCCAACGGACAATCTCCTTCGGGTTGGCGACCATCTAATTTCCGAGGCAACTGTTTGGCCACACGAACAGCGTCTAACCAACCCGTAGACATAATAAATACCTCATCTATATCCTCCAGCGACAGGCCTGCGGTTTCCGGATAGAACAGATAAATAATCGGTATCATCACAAAGTTCAGACACGCAAAGATGAGAAAGTACTTCCATCCAATGGCATTAAAGGCGATTGGAGTGACTTCAGCGATCAGAACACTCAGAGCCCAATATAGACTAGAGCCGATACCGTTGATGGTGGTACGCAGACTGAGAGGTGCCACTTCGGATGCGTAGAGAAATGGTATCCCCCCAAAACCAAGAACCATACTGAGGTGGAAGATGAAAATAAATACCGCAGCTGCGTGCATGGCTATAGTGTTCGTCGACTGAGAACTAAGCGCAGCCACGAGGAGCATGGCAGTTGTGTTGGCTGTCGCACTGGATAACCACAAAAAGCGACGACCAAACCTCTCTATGGTGTACACGCAGATAATGCCACCAATGACACCGCAAAACTGATAAATTACAGCCAGGATTCTTGATGTGGTCGAGTCAAGCTGGAGGTTTGTTTGGAAAATCGTCGTACCTGGTGGATCTATAAGCGAGGGACATCGGATGCGATCAAAAGATCAGTCAGTGTACGTACTGTAGAACGTGATAGAGTTGACACCGGTCAATTGTAACAAAATCAATCCTCCTGTCGCAAGAGATGCGCGATGAAAGATTCTTTGATGTCCCATTTGGAAGATTTGGCGCAGAGTGCCTTTACCAGCGATAGCTAACGAGGACTCCACATCCAGTATCTCCTTATTGACCACCTCGCTATGAATTTCGGCGTCTCTTAGAGCTGCGAATACCTCACGCGCAGCAGAGACCCGACCCTGCCGGACCAGCCAACGGGGTGACTCGGGCATTTGACAAGTGAACACAATCACAATTATGCAAAGTATGATAGGCAGACCAACTGGAACACGCCAACTTGCACTGTTGGGGACATACGACATCCCGAGATCGACGAGTAACCCCAGCGTAAGACCCGTAGCGGAAAAGATGCCTATGGTCGCAACATGCGCACCACGCCTGCCAGCGGGTGATATCTCAGATTGCCAGATAGGCGCAGTGGCTAGTTGGGCGCCAGTACCCAGACCTAGGATAACTCGTGAGACCACAAGCTGAGAAAAGGAAAAAGAACTAGCCATAAGGAAAGCCCCGATCATTTCCACCACTGACGCGAGGATGAGCGTTCGTCGACGACCCAGAAAATCACCCACCGCAATGCAGGCGATGGCTCCCAAGAAACCACCTACTGAATACAAGGCCACCACAGTACCGCGCAAAGTGGATTTGTAGTGCTTTTCTGAAGGTTGGGCGTTGCTCACGTCGATTTCGGGAAATTGGGCCTCGAACCAGGGCAGGGTGAGGACTCCCCCTAGTAATCCTTGGTTATAGCCCATTGACACGATCGCAGGCATAACCACGCCAAGGAGGGCTACATGGTTAAGGCGACTGCCCCGGAGGCCAAGAAAACGTGTCATTTAGCGTGTAAGGAAGGTTTGCAATAAAGTTGTACTAGGATGGTTTGATATTAACATGGACTTTGGTAGATGCACATTTTTTGAATTAATCAGAAATCCTGCAATTGTGTTGGGTGAACTCCGATCCTTGCATACTTGTTGTTTTATTGCATTCCAATCTCGGGCTCAGCCTCACAATAACCCACAATATTGGTTTAGAAGCTTAGCAAGGTGTTGATCAGCAAAGATATCTTGGGTTTCAGATAAAGATGACCTATCAATGAGATATCAGCAAGGGGTACAAATCAATTTCAGCGTAACACCCAAGCTACATACATATATAGGGGCTAAGATGTTTTCTATAAGTACGGAGTATTCTCTCCGTAAATGATGGAGTGGAAGCATATATATGCCAGGGCTACGAAGGAACTAATTCACGAAAGTGATCTAGCAAAAGATCTAATGAAGAATTACCAACAATGTCTACATAGGTACCCGCAGTTCGCCATGTGGCTCATGGTCGTCCAAGTGATTCCACGTATTGCGACCAAGGGCTGACGAGGCACGCGATCTATGCAATGCTTGTGTATAGTGTCTCTAGAAGATGGCGTTGTCAATAATATTATATACTTCACTGTATTGCTCAAGGAGCACATCTCAGGGTCGAAGCCACGACCTCGTTGGGCCATAGCATAAGTGTTGACAGTTGGCTTTCATTCAGGGAATCGATAAGCGTGTTGACTTTCAGTATCTCTCTTTCAAAGGCGCCCTTCAGAAACCACATATCAAGTAAAGTACTTGCCAAATAAAAATGAGCCAAAATGACGAGTGAGTATCCACCAAGGTAATTAGGTTCGCCTCTCTCAAGAGACGCTAAGAATGGACTTGGAAGCTGGACCGGCCAGGCCAAAATCGCCGCCTCTTCAAAATCCAACTGGATTTCTAGGTCAGCAGGATTGTCAGTTGCTTCACACCGCAATACGGAGAGAATGCGTAAATATAAAGTATCCAGGACGTCTATGGTCTCAGAGTGCGCGTCGACAACGGAGTCTAGAGTCGTAGGCGACTCTGGGAGGTGAGATGTCGGCGTACCCGAGCAGCTGGATAAGTAATCCCTAGCGGGTTCGAGCGCACGCAAAGAAGCTTTGATGTTTGCGACTGCTTGGCTGGCACCTTCGGCAAATTTAACCAGGCGGGGTGAGCAACGAGAAAGTCGAGACGGTAGTGGAGCAAACGGTAAATCCTCCCAACGCTCGTTATTCTGTGAGAATACCAGCATCTGCCGGAGCCGACTGCTTCGTAACACGTGCCATTGATCATAGAGAATACTGGTTACCCCTCTGTTAAGGTATAACCAGTTGAGACGTAAAATGTCATTTGCGGAAGAGGAATTTCCCGTGGTACTATTCATCTCTTCCGGGGTCCTACCAAGCGGATTGAGCTCCTGAACCATAAGAGATGCAAAAGCAAAAGCAACCAGAAGTACAGAACCAGTAAGAAGGTCCTCAGCGTTGGAGGGAGAAAGGCGGGGGACCTCCTCCCTAAAACCTTCCAGTCCTCTTTGATGATGTTCCATGACTATCGCCAAGTCCACCGTATCCAAGTCTTCGAAGCCACTAGTGCTGCTGGCCTCGTGCTGCGTAATCATGTGGATGCCTCCTAGTGCTAGGAGCAGGTGCATCAAATACCGATTTTTGCACGCAATTTCCGGGATGATCCGCTGCCAGACTATGGCCCTCCTCGGATGCGGCGACATTTGTTTCGCCGTGTAGGAATTGAAAAACTGAAGGAGCTTCAAATCATTCATTGGTAAGTCCACACGCGCGTGGCTATTATGGCTTGAGAAAATCGCTGGTAAAGTCGCGTCGAGCGGAAGAGCTCCATTTGATGGATCGAATGAATCAGATGAGGGACCGCCATCTTTGTTCCCAGTCGCCTTTTCTCTAGGTCTGGGGGGGTCTCTTCGAAGGGAGGCGTGGTAGGGGGTAAGAGCAAGGTTCGCCTCTGGAAGCGCATGTGCCGCAGGCGGGTTGAAGTTCATCACACTTAGAAGAGGTCAGCTTCTGGTCAAGGAAACGGGGGAAATAGAGGTTAATTTGTACCTTGACTCTTCGATGTTTGCAAGGATAGCATCCATTACGAGACTTGGTGTGGCGGATGCGATGTCTTCTCAGAACACGTGTGTTCTGCGTGGAGGTATCGGAAAACGCCGGATCATCCATGGATATATTCTTTGAGTAACGTAAGTTTCTTGAAGGGGTGCATATCCATGATTTGAAGAATTTGTGTAAGACTGGAGCCTACCTCTCTTAGTAGGCTAAGTAACATGGGAGTGGTTGTTCTTCTACAGATCAAAGCATAACTCGGGAGTCCTTGACCCTGTTGATTTTTCAATGACTCCACATAATAAAAATATTTCAGATGGACAAAAGAATAAGATAGAATGTTAGCTTTTTACACTAACTAGACCTAGAATTATAAACTCCACAGATGTCTATCCCAAGAGGCGTCTAAATTATTTTAGTGTTTGGTAGATCTTGTAGACCCACTCGTATTCTTATTCGAGTACGTACATCTATGGAGTAACTGTGTACGTGAATACGAACACCGGCAGTACGTCCTATTTCTCGTCTATCTCAGTAACTGGATCCCATAAATCAAATTGACAATATATATAAAATACAAAATGATTTCCAGAAAAAAAAAATCAAGAGAATCACACACCACGATAGACTCCATCGGGTTTCACAGTCTGCTCATTCCGGGTGCCAGTCAACTCATAATCCGACACCACAGTCAAAAATCGAGTAACTTCAGATGGATGGACAATATTAAAGATAATCATGGCCATGATGATGAGAAGTGAGTCAAAAATATACAAGTAGACCTCATGGCGCAAAAGATAGCCCGCATTGCCCTGGATATATTCCACGAGTCGAAAAAGCGAGCGCACCAAGATCAACAAACTGGTCGCATAGAGAATGTTGAGATGTTTTCGCCAGGGAATCTCCCGATCGAAGCAGCGTGGGATAGGGTATTTGCGCAGCTTCCAGTCGAATAGGCCGGCGACAACAATGAAGAAGCCAAAGAATATTATTTGGACAAATAGACCCACGATGATAATGTGCTCGCCAGTCTTCATGGAATCGAGTGACCCGCTACTCTGAATGCCGCCACCTAGATATATAGTCAGAGAATCCCATTTCATACTTCAGTTACCTCCAGAACACATACCAGCGCCTTGTAGAAGAAACGACATCACGTCGCCGGTAACGAAAATCTTGGTCAGCCACTTCTTTTTCAAAATGGAATGTGATTCGGCCTGTAGCACCAAAATAATCCGACCGAGCAACATGTAGACTGAGGCAGCTAAGAGAGCTGGGGCGAGAAGCAGACAGAGTGTCTGAATTATGTAGGGACCTAGCGTCCAATCCGGACTTTGTTTGCTTGACAAGGCACGCCCTATATACCCGACAATCTCAACTACTTCTGTTAGCACGAGCATAGGAAGCATATAAAGTAGGTGTGTACGTACAGAGCCCACCTATCACGAAGGGAATAAAAAACCAGGTCCTGGCTTTGAACATCTGGAAGATGTGGTAGAAGGTTGTGCCCATGAAAAGAATTGTAAAAAGGATGGCACCGCCCATGCTGGGGTCATAGCGATAAAAAGCGAAGGGGACTTCTTCATCAGAACGGATGGAAGCCACGTTATCGTGCATTCTGAAATGATTGGTCTGGTAATTGTTGCGATCAAGAGAATTGGGAAAGTATCGAGCCTATATTAGGTCTGGGTGCGTACGCTCAAGCTTCACTGGACATTTGACAAGACTTTTGGTAGGCATGGCTTATATACTACTTCTAGAAACACTAGAAGTTGATATTGAATATATAAATAATCGTTGGGTGGATTCGTATTAGATGGATGTTTGATATCTGAATAGCGCCAGATGGTGGAAGCGAGTACGGGTGGGCCAGCGGCAAACGAACCCTTAAAAACATTTCCAAGGTTGGTCTTAGACCCTTAGGTAACTACATAGTTAAAATATATATGGATCTAGGTACATTACAAGGCTGATTACTCCGTACTCGGTATATAGACAGACATTGGAAGACCCGCTCCAACTGAATGCGAATACGGGTGGGTCCATTACAGCCTCGCATTTCGGTACCGATTAAGCTACATGGTAAGGGCATCTAGTACCAAGGCTACAAAGAGCAAACTAATGAAAAATAAAATAGAAAAAGTCTATGTTCTGCCCCGAATACGGTTACGACGCTTAAAGAGACCCAGCAAAGACAAGTACATATACTGTACTAGCTCGCTCAGAAATAGAACATTATTTAACCCCTACAGCCGCTGATTCAAGGCAACATACTTCAAACAATCTCCTTTATATTTTAAATTACCTCTCAGTCAAAGTATAATTGATCACTCTGACAGTTGGTTGTATTCGGCTACACTCATTCATCATGGCTTCCAACACGAGTGGAGAGACAGACTATAAACTATACCGCTATACGCCCTCTCTCGTGGCTGCAATCCTTTTCACAGTTCTGTTTATGCTTGCAACTTGCTATCACCTTTACCAGGTTGTTCGTACGCGAGCCTGGTACTTTATAGTCTTCGTCATCGGAGGAGCCTGTAAGTTATTCCAGTCGCATTGCCGGGGCTTACCAGTTCCCTCATGATCTCTACGAGAGTCCACAGCGTTGCTAACAAACGGTACAGTCCAAATCATAGGTTATATTTGCCGCGCACTAGCCCACAACGACAAAGAGAATATCCCGCTTTACTCGATTAGCACTATCATGATCCTTCTTGCTCCTCCTCTCTATGCAGCCTCCATATATATGACTCTCGGTCGCCTCATTGTGAATTTGGATGCTGAGAAGTTAAGTCTGGTCCCGGTGAAATGGCTCACCATAATTTTCGTCTCGGGAGACGTGATTGCATTTTTGATGCAAGCAGCAGGTAACTAACCCACTCCATCCACATAACTGTCCCGGTCAATGAAAGCTAATCGTGAATAAAGGCGGAGGGATCATGTCAAGTGGAACTGTTTCCGCAATGACCACCGGCGAACATATCACGATTGGCGGTCTCGCCGTACAATTGGTGTTCTTCAGCGTTTTCATCATAGCTTCAACAATCTTCCACTACCGGATTCGCAAAAATCCCACTGAGAAGTGTTTTAACCCACTACGCTCATCTGGAGTACTGCAAATGGCTACTTGGGAAACTGTCATGACCGGGCTATACGTGGCCAGCATTCTGATTCTCATTCGGTCAATTTTCCGACTCATTGAATACGCTCAGGGCAACAGTGGATACCTCATCAGCCACGAGGCGTTCTTATATGTCTTTGATTCAACGCTGATGTTATTCACTATGGTTGCAATGAGTATTTTCCACCCGTCGAAGATTCTTTCTCAATCAACGAAGCCATTGCGTTCTTCGAGAAGGTCGCGTTCGGCAAACAAAGAGTTGCCTTTGGCAAGAGAAGAAGTCTAAATTGTCACGATTTTACAATGTCGCGGGATTTTGCTACTATTCTTGGGTATACGAGAGCATGAATTCCTTGAGTGAGCTGGAGACCGGGTATCATTTTTCAGGTTCGAACTAGTTAGTTATATATTGCCTTTAGATGGGTAGAAGATGTCTGCTTCTGGAACAGATCTATCGCAAGAGCTACTGCTGCTACTACTACTACTACTACTACTACTACTACTACTACAACATAGTAGTATACGAATTCTGGTAGCTGGAAACAAGGGAAGGGTTGGGGAAGCAGCTGCATGACGCTTATATCTATCATGCAGAAATATTATCTCGTACATATGCTATCTACAACATTTTCAAAAACTGCTTCTTTTAATTATAGAACTGATAGTTATCAGATACTCTCTGATTGGAACTATAATCATCGCCACCATTGATATTGTGCCGGATTAAATCCCCCGCAAGTGGGGAAATTTCCCCCACGCAAGTGGTGAAGAAAATCAACATCTCCGCCATGCCCGGTGCGAGGAACCCCCAATGCTGGTAAGCAACGGCCTAGATGATCCTAGCATTTCTAAGACTTGACATCTAACTATATCCAGTGATCCATGCCGTGTACTTCACCATAAATGTAATACCGCTTAACCCCGCAGAAACAGCTCTCCGCTAACTGTCGATAGGTGACGGAATCTTGCCACAATGCAGCCGATGCGTCCGCACTGGGCGCGAATGCACTCGAGGTAAAAAAGAAACCAAGTTTCGACAGGCAAAGGGTCGAACGACCCGCACCAAGTTTCCTAGCAACCAAGTTTGGCTTCGGCCACCACCTAGAGGTTGGATTCTGTCCCCGATTTCTTTGAGATCTAATCTGACATCTGACCGTTGTCTAGTTGACTTTGTACTCGAAAGCGGAAGTGATCAAGTGGATAACTCGACTAAGGCGGCAACAAATGTGCTCTCGCCTGCCGGGAGCTTGCATAGTCATGCCGACTCCATTCCTATACCGGAAAGGCTGTCTCCCGGGTCCTCGCATACCGCTCCTTTGCCGCAATTTGGGTTCTCAAACTACCAAGTACAGACGGGAAGTAGTGTTGTTTCGCCAACAAGCCAGGTGGTGGGCACACCTGAACGATCGAGCCAGCGGCCATGGCCCCTGAGAGATCCCGAGGAGGCGCGTTTATTGCAGCATTTTGTGGACAATGTTGCACGCTTTGTAAGTTGTGAACTTTTTTTTTTTTTTAGCCAAACGATAACTGGTAGGCTGATTGTACGATATCAAGTTTGATTGCACGGATCGCCAGCAGCATTTTGCCATCCATATCCCTTACAGAGCACGCCGTTGCGAGACATTATTCAATGCAATGTTGGCCATGTCGGCTCGTCATTTGAATCGCACAACGGATTTTGACCCTTTTGTGTCGGACCGATATTACCAAGCATGTCTGGAGAAGCTGATCCCCGCATTGAATGACCACGGTGTCACAATGGATGATGATTTGCTAGCTGCTACTGTTATTCTACGCTTGCTGGAAGAGTTTGATGGTTAGCAGTCGATCTATTCTCACATGTGTCAAGAACCCTGCTGACAATGATCATAGTCCCACTTGCCGGGTCCGATATTCGAGGCCACTCCTTCGGGACAAAGGCTTTCATACGGTCTCCATCATTGATGACAACAACCCCAAGTCTACGGCAGGCCGTCTATTGGAGTGGCCTACGCCAGGAGATTTACAATGCCCTTAGCCTCCACCAAGCCCCAGACATTGAGTTGAGGTCCTTAGACTGGAATTCCCACTCCAACTCGTTGGGTCCTGATGCAGGTGATTGCGCGTGGGCGAATCATGCAATCACTCATTGTGCACACGTTTTGGTGTTTTGTTTCGGGGAGGGACTCCGTTCACCGGCTGTGCATGCAGATCTTAAGGCATATAATCAGCAATGGAGCGAGACTCGACCGGACTCTTTCGATCCATATTTTGCGAGTGGAGACGGGGAGGTGGGAACTGAATTCCCAGACATCCGTTACGGGTGTCCCTGGCATGGTACGTAACTATCGGGTGATGTTTCAGGAAGCGCATCCTGCAGGCTATTTGGGATATGAACTGAGGCTAATCGCTTGGGACTGTAGCAATCGGCAATCAATATATTGATCTTGCCCAGATTCTGCTTTCTGTGCATGACCCAACTTTGCCTACCGTTGGACCTCTGCGCCGGCATCTGATCCAGGAGGCTGATGTAAGTCTCTGAGCAACTTTCCAATCTATATTATGTCCTTAGGCTGAGACTAACAGGAGGTTCAGGATCATATCCGCAGGGGGTTTGGAAAGTATGTGGCGCTTCATTATCCAATGCTTCTGTGCCCCCAGCCATGGTTGTCGGGTGCATGGCCATCCATCTCTGTACGTTAGCAGAAACTGTCAATATGTTCCAAGTACTATGCATGAGGCTAACCGGGGTCACAGGCGGCGATCGCTTCACGGACCCACATGAACAGGACCATTTGATCCAGGTTCTTATCCAAACCGATAAACTCCACGGCTGGCCAACCCATGTGCTCCAGCGACAGCTTCGGGAGACATGGGGCATACGTTGACGTTGTTACTATGTGTAGTAACAAAGCAAGTAGGAGAGAAAGAAAAAAAGGACGGAGAGAATGTCTTGCACGTCTCCAACCTGGGCCGCGTCTGCAGTGGAGGCACACGTGCGACAGATGATCATCCTTCTCTCACGTAATCAGAAACAGAAACCTTGGAACCCTGTTGTACGGAGTACGGGGTAGCGTCTCGTCTCATTCTGACACTGTCATCGTACACGTTTTGCGAATTTTCAAACTATCTACTCCGTACAATGGACTCCGTACAATGGACTCCGTACGGAGGATGTACTTCTGCTTTCAGCCAAGTTCCAGGGTCTTGCATGACTCGTGGGGTTGAGTGGAAAACAGTAGCCAGTAACAAGAGCGGGTTCAGAGGGGGTAAAGATGGCCCCCGCGGATCGTCAACTGAGTTGATTGTTTTTCTGAATTCCAAGAATATAATGACCTTGGGGACATACCGCCACATGATCTCATCAGGGGTGGTGTGTCAGGGAAGCTTTTTTTTTTTTTTTTTTGGCAGAGAGTCAGGATCCATTCAACATCCAAATCGAGAAATACCCCCTTGAGTTGATATCCACTGATCGAATGATTCCAAAGGTTGCAAGCCTCACAACATCACTTGGGCAATGTGATTGGTGGTGGTGGAGGATCAGATATCAGGTACGGACCAGTCGCATTGCAAGCTGAATCTCTTTTTTTCTCTGATGTGCAGTTTCCCAGTGCACCGAATATGTTTGGGGTCCACTCAAGTGCTGTTTGGGTCAGGGGAGATGGATTTAGTGAAGTGGAGATGATATATGGAGTACGGAGTAGAGAGAGAGAATATACGGAGTAGACTAGAGGCAGAAAGTGAAGAACTACAACATACTATTTATCTACAACATACTAACTAAGTAACAATTTATATGTTGTAGTCTGTACAACATAATAATATAATATAATATAATATAATATAACAATAATAATACTACAATAATAATTAATCTATTAAAATAATCCAACATATACCCCTGAACACAGTTACGCACCCCCTTTCCGCACTGGAGACGCTAACCAAATTAGCGTGTGGTTTTCCCGTGGCACAAAGCATTTGGGAACATTGGACATACAATTCTCTCAACTTTCATTCCTTTGAATTCAATAGTCTTTTTCCCCTCCATATCTCAAGGGGATATGGCCCTCTGAATTCGATGTTCACAATCCTTGATGGCTTCAACGAACATGGGCTTCTTGCCCACTATAAAATGCTCCAATTGTGGATGTAATGTCGAGATCTCTTCTATGGGAGATCACACTTGCATTCGGAATGATTTTGGTAGGATTCAAATCATTCAACACCCTAGGTCTACATGCTGACTCTATAACTCCAGTCACACCTATCCCATCACCACCTCCATCGGCCGGATTCGATTCGGATCGATTCACAGAGGCAAAGGTTGGCCGGGGCCCCTCCCCGGCCATAGACCCCTCTGCTGCAAGTATGTCTCAAATCGCCATGTGGGGAGTGGAAGGGATCCGCGACTAACCCTATATACAGATCGAGCATTCTTGCAGCCAAATATGCCGACACCAGCTAACAGTGCCCATCTATCACCTCTCCCTGCCAGTCCCGCACCTCCATCTACGGTGCGCCCGTCTCAGCACAGTCTGACCGATGATGTCTTCTCATTCCCCATGCCTGGTAACAGATCACCGACTGAAGTGAGGACACCAAGTCCAATGATGACAGATCGGTCTGCGTTTAAATCACGAACACCAGTCTTGTCGCCGGGGCAAGGGCAGGGTGTGATGCCAGAGAATATACGCCTTCCACCTAGCCCACTGCCACCTAAGTCCCCAGATACGAATCATCGCAGGGGGAATCAGCGATGAGCAATAGTAGCTACCGGACGTCTTTCGCCAGCAGTCGCTACGGCGATTCCACAACGAGGTCGTCAACCAACAGTCTCTCGCGGGGTTTCCGGTCATTTATGGACGACATACCACCAGTGCCATTGGCACCTCTTCGCACATCCAACCATGATACTTCTTTCCCCCGTGATTCCAGCGTCTCGGTGGTTTCATCCCGCATTAGCAAGGAAGAAGCCAGTGGATTCGACTTCGGTATTCCCGGAGGCCAAACCCCGACTACCGGACTACGAGATCTCCCGGAGGAACCCCCTTCGGCCCAATTCCAGGATCATACAGATTATACCGCTTTAAACCCCGCCAGCCTCCACCCTGCGACAGCAGCAACAGAGTCAGGCAGCGATGCGCCAAGGAAAAACTCTAACGCAAGTACGACAAGTGCATTTTCAGTCACTAGCTTCGCCCGGGCTCTCGGTCTAGATGACCAAATGAATACCTCTGAAAGCTCTGGCTCTGATACATCGCCTTCCGATGCCCGCAGTGGTAGTTCCATGTCCAGTCTTCCCTCCGATGGTAGCTTGAGCCGACACAAACCCAGCGATCCACTCAATCTAAGCCCTTTGGTTGAAGAACTGCCCGCCCGGACCCGACAGACGATTGTAGAAGTACCCGGCCGTGTACGAAGCACAATGGAAGACGTCCCTCCCATCCCGGCTGCTTTCTTCAGCCCGGATTCACCTACCGACCCTTCGATCAACCAAGGTGGTGTGTCATTGATTGAGAGGAAAGAAGTACCCCCAACTCCAACCCCAGGACAACCAAAACAATCTGTCCCCCGAAAGTCTCCACCACAACGCTCATTCACAGCACCCCTACCACAAGAACAAAAACCGACAACACCAACCCGGTCTGCCACACGTTCGAAGGGGAATTGTAAGGGCTGCAATGAGACGATCACAGGAAAATCGATATCATCCTCGGACGGCCGTCTCACAGGTCGATACCACCGAGGCTGTTTCGTTTGCTTCGAGTGCCACTCTCCCTTCCAAACAGCCGATTTCTACGTCCTCAACAACAGACCCTTCTGCGCGCAACATTACCACGAGCGCAACGGATCCCTTTGCGCCGGCTGTCACGCCGGTATTGAGGGCCATTACTTGGAGACCGTCGAGCGGAACCCTGCACGCCCAGAACGCCGTCGATTCCACACCCAGTGTTTGCAGTGCCGTACATGTCACGTCCTTCTCAAGGGCGACTACTTCGAATGGAATGGCGAAGTCTTCTGCGAAAGAGATGCCCGCCGAGCCGCTGCCGCTTACCACCCACCACCTCCTGGTCCTCCTGGTCCTGGTGGTCGTCGTCGCCCCACCCTACCCTCGTCTCCCCTGGCCAAGTCTGGCCAATTCCCTCCCGGTCCGTACCCTCCACACGGCGGAAGACCTGGTCCTGGACCTGGGCCTGGACTTCACCCCGGTCCCCGATTCCCCCCTGGCGGTGGAGGACGGTTCCCCGAACGACGAACTACTAGGCTCATGATGATTTGAGTAAATTCCCTTCTTCGCTCTTCTTTCCTGTAAACTTTGGAAAGTTCTGAGTTGCACATTCCCCCTTTTCCGCTCTCCCACGGATTTCATTCCCCACTTCCTTCATTCCTTTATATATCGCGATATACCCTCTGTGCTATCCCACCCATTTGATTTTCGCTGGCAATGGCGTTGATCGTCTGTTTTTCCCTTGCATCGGGGCTACCCTTCATCTGTAGCCATTGAAAAAATGCCCCATTGGCAGGTATTGTGATTTTTGGGCCATCATCCGGGGTGTATTTTGTTGATTTCTTCCTCATGCCGAAATGTTTCTAATGTACTTACTCTGTATCGGCACGGTGTTTGGGTTGGCGGGTTGTCTCTTGTACAGGATTTACAAGTTTTATGGACATAATGTCATTTTTTTTCAAGTTTTCATCAATAACCAAAACATCATGCCTCATTATATCATTAGCCATTAACATCCTAACATCCCATCGCACCTTCATCTCGATGCTATGCAACTATTTCAACTTGGGGTCCTCGAACTCGAGTCGCTCAACGGGAGTAAGATACATCCGTTTCAAGATCCATCCAAAGCAAATAACATAAAGCGCCACCGCAATGATCTCAATCCGCTGTCTCAACGGGATTCGATCTAAATTGGGATTCGGGACAACCAATACACCCGCATGTTCCTTCTCCCACCCTTCACAGACCTGCCGGAACCGACCGGGCTCGTCGGAGATGACCCCGTCGATCTCGTGTCGGATACACCAACGCATCAGATTCGGCGCATTCACCGTCCAAGCGTAGACTTTACGTCGGGCTGCACGCGCTTCATCTAAAAACCCTCGCCCGAGCGGACCCATCAGGATCATCTGGTTGACGTTGAAGGATATAAGCGGGACTTGGAGGAATTGCCGCGCATAGCTCAAATCAACACAGACTAGCGTCACTGGGTATCGTGGCAAGTGCTTTGCTCGCGCCGGTAGGTATCGTGCAGACCAGCAGCCGAGAACGACGCGGTGGTGCCAGTCGGGGCCAGTCGCGGGCATAGGGACTGACTCGATGATTTTCGCAATTTTGTCCATTATAGCGAGAGGTTCATTCGTGAGCTGGATGGGAAGTAGGGGTTGGACGTTAGTTTTGTGAAAGGGATAACGTGCGACTTGGGAAGAACAGCTTCGCTACCTTTATGTCTAGCAATATCCAGAAATTCTCCCTGCCTGGTTGTCTTAGGTATTCCAACACATCGACTAACCGGGGCATCGGTTCGTGGGGGGCTTGCAGAGTTCGTAGGGTTTTCAAATACTCCCAGTCGCAGTCGATGACATTTTTCTTGATGCCGTAACAGCGCATGAGACTCGGGTCCTTGGGTCGATGAGCGTGGTCCTAGATCGCGATCGCGGGGTGGGAGGGGTACCTACATGTGATAACACCACGATCCCATCGCGGGAGATATGGAGGTCGAGTTCGAGGGCGTGAGCTCCGGCCCGGATCGCGCCATCGATTGACAGTAATGTGTTCTCGGGATATTGGCCTTTGAATCCTCGGTGGGCGACGGCTTGAGGTAAACGCGGGGGAGGCGTGGGCAACCGGTGAGTGGAGGACACGAGCTTGCGGGGAATGAGTTAGCTTGACAACACCTATATATAGGAGAGTTACGCACCTGGGATTTCAGGTGAATACTCTCCCGGGACTATAGGTGTTGAGTCGCCCATTTTGAAAGGAGTGTGAGAGTTGAAGAAGTGAAGAAGTGAAGAATGGAGATTATATGATTAAAACAGGACCATCGGAGTTTGGCGGAGATAGGCCCCGCTGCACGGTATATCTCATGGACTGTGCATGTTCGCTTGCCGGACTTTCCGTTCTACTATGTGCGAGAAGACTAAATGGTCAGAATCAGCACTTGGAAATATCTACTTCGTTATCGACTGAAAGAAAGCAGCCATGGTGCCCTGAAGCGAATCTGGAGGTTGAATATATCGATTACTCATCACTTCCATGTCTCCAAATTTCTCCAACCTGATTTATAACAACTTCAGTCTTTAACTTGTTGCTTTCTTTTTTCATTGAACCTGTTCTTCAACCGTAGTCCTTGAAAAAAAAAAAAGATGGCTGTCAAACAATGGATCTCGCCCTTGAAGGGCATTGATAGTCTTAGCCAGACTGAAGCTCCAATGCCCACACCAGGCCCGAGCGAAGTATTGGTAGAGATCCGTGCTGTATCTCTGAACTACCGCGACGTGGAAGGTAAATCACCTACCGAAAACATACGTGCAGGATGCATGCTGACGAGTTTCAAAGTGACCAAGGGCGAGTATAAACATCACAAAACCGCCGAACAGGACGCCACCATCGTGCCCTGCTCGGACATGTGCGGGGTAGTGACGCAAATTGGATCTGGGGTGACCAAGTGGACAGTCGGCGACCGGGTGCTTTCTACTTTCCTGCCGGATCATCAAACCGGCCAGGTGACCGAGAAACAACTTGCCAAGAGCCTGGGGCTGCCGCAGGATGGTGTCCTTGCAACTCACCGCGTGTTCCCCGACTATGGCCTGGTAAAAGCGCCTAGCTTCATGTCAGATGAGGAGGCGGCTACGCTTCCTATTGCTTCAGTTACGGCGTGGATGTCTATCAATGGCATGCGACCGATAGGGCAGAGCGGTGGAAAGGACGAATACGTCTTGCTCCAGGGAACTGGTGGTGTGGCTATCGCCGGATTGCAGATTGCAAAGGCCGCTGGTGCAAAGGGTGGGTCATGGGATGGGATTCATTACCGTTGACTGGATGAAAACGCTGATCATGCAAACAGTTATTATCACCTCCTCGTCCGATGCCAAATTGGACCAGGCTAAAGAGCTAGGTGCTGATTTTACTATCAACTACCGTACCAACCCCGACTGGGAAGTCGAAGTGATGAAGATCACTGAGAACCACGGCGTTGATATCGTCTTGGAAGTTGGTGGTGCCAAAACCTTGCGGAAAAGCTTTGATTGCATCGCTTTCGGAGGATTGATCAACTGCATTGGTTATGTCTCGGGCAAGATAGATGCCGATGAGGACCGCCTGAATGTCAACCTGCTGACTCTCCGTCGAACGGTGACACTCAGAGGGATTATCAACGGTCCCAAGGATCGGTTTGAAGAAATGATTCGTTGCTACGAGACAAATCAGGTTCACCCAGTCGTTAACCGGGTCTTTTCGTTTGCCGAGTCCAAAGAAGCATTCAAGTTCCTGGAAAGCGGCAGCCACTTTGGCAAGGTAGTCATCAAGGTTCAATAGAGCGTTGGAGCTCTGAAGATCATTGGATTTCATTGTCAAATTATCCCAGCAAAACAAAAGTGAGAACATTCAGTTCTGATCATTTCCACTCGGCTTGAGTACCCCAGCCGCAATTCCCAGATCTTCTCCTAGTTCCTTCCCGCCCACCGTCAATTTCTTGCAATCCTGCAGCACGAACAGGAGGCGGGCCCATTCTGTCTCGCTGGTGTTGCGCCACCCATGCATCGTAGCCCGCTGTACCGCAACATCCCCTCGGTTCAGGATGACTGGCTCGCTATCTTCCAAGATCATTTCCACCTGCCCTTCAAGCACCACACCGTAGTCGAGACTTTGCGTCCGGTGAACTACAACAAGGTTGTTGGGGGCGAAGTCCACAATGCGGCATACGCTTCCACCAGGGTTCACAAGGCCCAGCTGGTCCGATTTTGTCAAAGTCTCGTGGGTCTTGATGTCCGCATCATTATTGAGATCAGGACGGAATTGGTTTGTGTAAACAACGTTGAATGCCATTTTGCTTTCATCGATTGATTCCCATTCAGCCGGTGTCGAGGAATGGATCACTGCTTTCCCGTTGTCATTATGGCCTGTGATGTGTCGGGTGACGGGCGGCAAAGGTGATACTAGGCTGGTATTGGAAGCCATTATTTATGGGATGCGAAATGGGTAGGTGTGAAGATGTTGAGATCAGATCAATGTACTGATCATGAAAAAGCACTCGGACGGTTTTACGCTATATATCCTGGTCCACGTGATGCGGGGCGCTGGATATCAGGTCGCACAGCGGTGAGCTGGATGGAAATTTTAATGGCTTGGGCGTATCCCTTCGGTGTGGGTGTGTTTGAAAGAAAGCAACACGCTAGATCTGATGGAAAGATCGTCGATTTGGTTGCTACTTTGAGCGAAGACTGTGGACCCAATGGCCCATAATTGCGAAGGGGAAATTACAAGAGGCGAATGTTGTAGGGATGTTCAGCTGCTACATCGGTGGAGATGCAAGCCAAAAGCTCTCCACTCCTGACGTAGCTTCGGGATTATTTCTTCACCCAAGTCCACAGGTAGGGCTGCTAATACCACCTGACTTATATGTATAGGGTTAGCCATTGAAGGGATTCCTAACCGAGCTGATTATCTCATTGGCGACTCATTCAGGTTCGGTGATTATGGCCACTCCTGGGATTTCGTGGAGAAGCGTGCTGTGGTTGACAGATTCAGCAGTTCGCGTTGAAAAGCCTCGTCACTGAGGTCCCAGTTGGCTAGATAGTCACTGGTGCTCGAGATGACGACACACTGCACTCCATTCCAGAGCACTGCTAGTTATCCCGGTGAGTACCACCACTAATGGCGCCGGGTTTCCGAGGAATGCCCCGCAACGCGTAGCTTAAGGAGTGGGTTCCGATATGAGCGATATGCCGGAAATGTTCCATGGTAGAGAGTGATGGGTGGGTTTTATGTGAACGAATAGCTGGATGTGATTAATTGAACTCGAGGAGTTGAGAGAGCATTCTTAAACGACGGATTTCCTAGCCTATTCAGTGATCGTTTTGGGAATTAATATTGCCCTAAAAAAATGAGTCATGCTGTAAGTGCCAGCGAGATCTGAACACACAAGCTTATGGACAGATATATACTCATTTCGCATTTCGCATAACTAAATACAGATGTGACCTTCTTTTACAAAAACCACCGGAACTCAGCAGATGCCGGCCCATCTCTCATTCGCTCCGTTGGAATATCGCGTGCCCGAAGAGTGACTCCATCATTACGATCGCGTCGCTTGTTATCCAGTAACATGTAGAGTGCCAGAGAAGCCGTTAAACAAGCACCAGTAGCACCAAATGCAGCAACGCTGATCAGCGCGGGCGTATACTTGGGTGCATCTTGCTTCCGGAACAAGTTGCTACTCACCAAACCCATCAAGTTGGCCAATGGCACGCCGATACTTGTCAGGAGTACACGACGACCCTCATGGGCGATGTTGTTATTATACCAGGTGCTGAGCATCACGGATGGTGCGGACGTCCCCCAAGTCATCATGAAAGTTGCGAAGTAAGCGACTTGGATGTCACCCTGCACATCGTCGATGGATGCATAGATCATGAATCCGGAGAATGTGAGCAGGAAGCCCAGAACAATGAATGGCGATCGCAGTTTGGTCCAATCAGAGGAGAAGGCAAGCACCAGCAGCATCACTGCTCCTGTGACATTTGGCGCAACAGTGTATAGGTTGGTTTTGACGGTGGGATAACCCAATCCCCCGACGATTTGAGGCAAGAAGAGCGCGACACCCTGCAAAGGCACACCGAGACAGATTTCAATACACAAGAAGGCGTATGTACTGGGGTGCTTGAAGATACCAAGGGCCTCGCGGAGGCTGAACTCCTCGTTGACCACTGCACTGGAGTCGACTTGAATTCGGTGGAAAGCTAGTGCCTTCTCCTCCTCAGATAAGAACTTCGCTTCGGCGGCGCTCCGTGGAAGATAGAAGAAAGCAAATATAGCGAAGAGAACAGTGACGCCGCCCTCGATAATGAACAGGTAGCGCCAATTGGGGATATGAGACCCCTTGATCTGGAACACTCCGAACGCAATAAGTCCGGAGAAAGCGTTTGCGATGTTCGATGCAGCGTAGAAAACGGCTAGGCGACGAGCCAGTTCGCCACGACGATAGAAGGTGGTCAAGTAGTAGATGACCAGCGGGAAGAATGCAGCCTCGGACATGCCCAAGAACCAGCGCAAGGCGAACATACCACTAAAATTGTAGGCGGCTGAAGAGAGCATCGTGAACGAACCAAATGAGAACATCAGGATTGGAAGTACGCGCGCTGGACTGAATTTCTTTCCAAGCATTGAGAAGGGCGGTGCAAAGATCACGAATGGAACAAAGAAGATCGATAACAGGAGATTGTACTCATTCGGCTTGAAGTTTAGGTCTAATCATTCAATTAGTCTTAAGTGTCTGCCGTTCGGATTGATCATCTTACATACCCTTGCTCATTCCATCAGTTTCTGCATTTCCCAGATTTCCTTTGTCCAGGGCATTGAATAGGTCTGTCGCTAGTCAGGTATCCGCATGGCTGACAAGAATTGAACAAACTTACACATAACTGCGAGGATAGGAAGCAGGCGATAGTCAAACTTCCGACAGAGACGCCGTTCAGCCTTGTGGTCGACAACTCGGGTCACCTCATCCATCACACCCGGGACAGATCCATATCCTTTCAGGGTGTTGGGCTCTTCAACAGTGCCCAGTGTGTCCGTTTTCTTCATCGTGCCATCAGGCGACGATGCGCGCGCTGAACTCGACATGTTGTATCCTAGTCGTTATAGACAAAGAAATATAGAAAAGCCAAGTCAGTACGCTACCTGCCAAAGTTCAAAGTTTTAAAGCTCCAGATGCGAGCTTCCTCTTATCAAAAGCGAGGTGACATCCCTTACTCTACTAGATAAGAGAATGTTGCATCGCCCGTGCATGGATATCACCCCCACGTTTCTCCGCATCATGGAAAGGTTTAGCTGAACAGGCAAAGATCACCCTGAGATGGCCGCATCCGGCCTTTTGGGCTGTTTAGAGGCTTATCTGCGGGGGTAAAAAGGTAAGTACTTCCTATATCGCAGATAGATTGTGCTTCCCAGATAAAGCCCCCTTTCTCTCCCTTGATATATCATGCAGAGCGTGTCTCACCGGTTTATCTTCGTTCTAATTATTTTAGATATTTCCATGCATAGAAGATCTAGACGCTGTGGAATTAGGGGCGGTATCCCCATTCCGGGGTATAAAGTAGGGTTACATCCGTCGCATGACTTCACCACATTTGAGCCTATTAACTCCTCTTTATAAAGCCACCGTCTTGGAATATCACAGTAGATTTGACAGGGAAACTCATCAGGGACTTGAACTTTATTTAAACCTTCTATATCTTTCCTTTGAGGGCCATTAATATGTTTTTGCAATGAGGCAGCGCAATCATCCCAGCATTGTCAATTCCATTTTCAAGCCCAATTCGAATTAGTTATTTATTATGCTTGAATTAAACGTTCTTCAACCGATCGCCGACACTTAAGCCAAGAACTCCGAGTTAATGTTGATCAACCTGTCACTAATATTTGATGTTGTTACTAAATAAGAAGAATAGTCCCCCGAGGTCTTCATGCAGGCCCCGGGGTGAGCATTGATCTGAAGAATTGGGTAGAGCATAGACCACAGGCACAACTTTCCTTTTCTATATCTACCATTATTACTCTTCGGGATGTTGACATTTACTCAATTATCCAGGATCACCCCTTCCCCGCAATTTGTCTTTGCGGAGAGGATATGCAGCGGGGAAATAGAGTGGCCAAACTTTGGACAGAATTTACCCACATTATCCGGACAATCATCAAATATGACTATAAATTGCAAATTGGATTTCAACTTGGAATGTGAGAGAAAAGTTAAGTTGATCATTGTGCCAGTTGATCGCACAACCGTGACTATGTTTCAGATCAGATCTATATTTCTAATCGCTCTGTGTGTCCAGTTAGCATCTTCATTACCTATTCTAGCCCGAAGAAACTATGACGGCAATGCAGAAGAATCACACTGGGTGAATATATGGACTACTATGCCTCAGTTGGTCGAGCCCGCTAACTTACCCCCCGTTCCATTCGTATGTCAGATATCATTGTCAGGGGCAACCAATGTTTAGTTACTGACTGTGAGGTACAGAATGGATCCACTACTGTGTTCAGTAATACTACCATTCGTCAAACCCTCCAGGTCTCACTAGCAGCACAAGAGATCCGTATTCGACTCAGTAATACATTTGGGCCGAACGAGCTCAAGGTCACCAACGTGACTATCAGTCTACCAGCGAGCCAGCAGGTGGGAGTTAGTGGTCTACAGACAGAGACATTGAAAACCGTGTTCTTCAATGGAGGCCCAGATGTGGACATCCCAAGCGGTGGTCTGGTCGTGTCTGACCCAATAAAGTTCCCTGTTAAGGCTCAATCGGCTCTCATGATCAACATATATCTCGCAGAGGGACAACAAGGCTTCTCTATTACTGGCCACCCTGGAAGTAGAACGACTTCATATCTCGCTTTTGGGGATTGGACTGGCGCAGAGAACCTCACAGACTTATCTGTTCAAAGCACGGACCATTGGTGAGTATTTCTCCTACAGGCCTTCTGATGCCCCTAAATGTAAATCTGCGATTGACCCCTATCTTAGGTACTTTATCAGTGGAGTGGAGGCTTGGCTCCCTTCGCAGTCTAGTGGCTTCGTTATCATTGGCGATAGTATCACCGATGGGCGAGGGAGCACTACAAATGGCAATGATCGGTAAGTGTACCGTCCTGCGATGCGTGGTTTATGGCTTACGAGTGTAGTTGGCCGGATCTGTTACTAGCAAGAATGGAAAAACATGAACAGACATCAAATATCGCCATTCTCAACCAAGCTGCCGGGGGAAACCGTATTCTACAAGATAGCCTCGGTCCGAATGTGATCAGCCGTCTTGACCGGGACGTCCTAGCACAATCAGGAGTGCAATATGCCATGATCTTCGAAGGCGTCAATGATATTGGCGTTGCTGATAGCAATGCAGCCACGCAGGCGGAAATTGAGAAGAACCTTGTGGCGGCATATGAACAGATCGCGGTACGGGTGCATGCCTTGGGTATTCCGGTATTTGGAGCTACTATCACGCCATTTGGGTCGTCGGCGACCTCCGACTATGTGCAGACTTACTCAAGTACCGAGCGGGAGAGGACTCGTCAACGAATTAATGAATTTATCCGGCAAAGTGGCGTATTTGATGCGGTACTGGACTTTGACCGGGTATTGAGGGACCCGGACGCGCCGTCTCAGTTGCTGGAAGAGTATGATTCAGGAGACCATCTTCATCCCAATGTGGCCGGGTATCAAGCATTGGCTGATTATTTCCCCCTCGGGGTATTCGAGTGAATTCAAATGATTATTCTGAAAGACCAATGAAAGAAGAATGGTTGCAAGATTGTTGTTCACAGACGCAAATGTAGGTACATAATTTTCATGTCAACTTTCCGATAGAAAGACAGAATATCCTTAGATACGACGCTTAAAGTTGTTTTGAAGGCTGCGCTTTTTGTAAGCGCCACCAGCGACAAGGGCCTGCTTGCGTCCAGGACCAAAGTCGGGAACACCGCCCAGAGAACCGAAGATATCACCGATGTAGTTGTTGGCCTTGACACCAGCAGCAAAAGTAGCATCCCACCCGTCCAGAATACCCTCGACGACCTTGATACCAGCAACATAGAGATTCTCAATAGCGGGCTCGAATGCGCCCTGCTCCGAGGATTGGAAGAGATTGTAGGTCGCCGAAGCACCGGGGTAGGGGCGATCGAAGTCAGACGCAGTGCGCATCACGATAATGCGAGAGAAATCAGTCAGCTTGTGGATCGAGGATCGGAGCAAGACTTCGAAGGTGGCGTTATCCTCCTGTGCGGTTGAGCAATAGTCGCCAGTTCCATTCGTCAGCACCTTGGTGGTATTTTCGAATACCGAGCCGAGGATATTCCCGCTGAAGTACACATCGGAGGTTGCGACGTCACACTCAAGAACACTAGGGGGCAAAGTGGCAGCCTTGTACTTCCCACTGGGGGTCTTGTAGCGGGCGCGGTAGGCCTGGGCAGTGGCGGAGTCGGAGAGGTTTGCCTTGCGCGCGAAATTGGCGGCAATTGTGCGTAGGTCGGCGTTCACCTCGAAGACTTCCGTGCCGTAAATGCTGGTCGGGTACTGGCCGGGGAATTCGGTGCCTTGCGCGATGTACCCGGTGGTATAGTTGCTGGGGAGCTCGCGAAGGTCGATCTCGTGTTGCAACGCGACTTGGACTGCGTACCGAGCAAAGGTCGCGGATCCAGTGGTGGCCTTCTTGGGGCTGACGCCGGCGATGCCCGCGACGAAGAAGTAGGTTTGCGTGAGATCGAAGATAGGGGAGAAAGCAACGGAGGTGACGGTGGCAGCGGCATTGATCTCGCCTTCTCCAGTCACGAGCTGGCAAACATCATAGTCCTCGGTGCAGTACACGTCTGGGAACAGAGGCGAAAGACCGGGAATGGTGATATTGTGGGCAAACAAGTCGAATTCGGGGATGTTCCACCAAGCTTCGGCTTCAGGTGCGAACTGTGATAACATATTAGCGAGATTGACTTTCTTTTGGCGGAAGCGCATACCATTGACACAATGAACACCTTGGGAGCAATTGCTCCATGGTGACCCTTCTGGGGGTCCCAGTAGCTCCGGCGCATAGTGAGCTGCCAGTGAGCAGCAACGAGGCTGTCAAAGTTTGAAGCAGACGCATGGCGAAGAAAGGTTCAGTTACAATTGGAACTCCATTCCTGCGTAGGCTGCGGCCTTTTATTTGTAAAACCATGAAGATTTTCTAAATCTTCCGTCTTTCACGCTACGGAGGGACCATCGCCGATCAATGGATGTACCTAGGTATCGGTACCTGATTAGGGCAAGATCAACATCACAACATGGGGCAAATTGGAATACCTCAGCCAAAAATCACCGGAGATTCTCCTATCGGCCTTCTTGAAGCAATTTTATTCGTGCGCGATGTATGGAGAACATAGCAGATTTATACCTGGTTTATGACTGGCTATTTTCACTTGAGTGTGGATCGATCGGTTGGGATTCCACAATAATTTCTTCTGGTGACAAGCATCGGAGCTTGCCGGGGGATCCACTCTCGGTACATGTGTGGTAAAAACGTTGGGAACAATCTCGATGTTTTTTTCAGGTGAGCTTCTTGCGAGTTGGAAATTATGGAGAGATACTTCGTACTCGGGTTGTACGAAGCTGAGCCCATCACCGCCAATTGTCATTTCTGCTCGAAATATCGTGTTATGGAACACTGCATCTATCCCATATCCGGGATCCACCTGGTCGAAGACATGCTCTGTGTTGGGTGATAAGAAGAAGTAGAGCTTAAGATAAGGTCACCATGGTTTCCGGACGCCTGGGGGAGAGTTGGAAAACCTGCCCTTCTGTGTCTCAGCAAAAAGCAATATGACTTGGTTGTGGAATCTGGGCTGGATCCGGTACCTTGTTTGGTTGTGTACGGGCGACTAAGTATCCCACTGGCACATGACTCTGTCATTGATTATTACTTCACCGCCTTTTTTCACCGCCCTCTTGAAACACATACGCTAATTTCAATTTGTATACAACAGTCCACTACAATATAATTCAATTCAGATTCAATTCAGATTCACTTCAGATTCACTTCAGATTCACTTCAGATTCACTTCAGATCCAGTTCAGATCCAGCTCAGATTCAGATTCAGTTCAGATTTAATTTACTTTAAAAGTCACCATGCCCATTTTACAACGTATTCAGACATCTTTAAGCATCGGGAGGCTTCAATTAATAACGACAACATTAGTGGATCTAAATTACTGCTGGCAATATGAACCAATGACAGAGGTATGTGCCGGTGGCATATACTTAGTCGCCCGTAGACATGATAGTTGGGGGACTAACTGGCTCCAAGGACTCGACCTCCGACTCAAATGTTGCTCCTTTTACAACTGGAAATACACTATGCGTCCATCCAGCTTGACTGACACTTGATATCACTTTATTCGCATCTCAATGCACCCTCCCCACCATCCAAGGCACACTAGACCCCGCAATTGCGCCCGCGGTTACCGGGGATACTGAGTCTCTTCCCTACATTCTCCGAACGCCGCCACGGAGAGTACATATATAAGAAGCACGCCATGGCAAACGGTCTACGCAATGCGAACAAGCCCCGTCATCATCACCACCAAGTCTTCCCCATGGCTGGTATCGGGGCGAGACCGGATCTGAATAACCATCCCCGCGATGCAGTGCCCAATGTACCCTTGGTCGTGAAGGATTCGATGTCTGGCTTCAAGGGAATGCTCCGCAGCACACAGAAGTACATGGCCAGGATCTAGGTTTGTCGTAAACACTTAGCAATATTATAGCTCCAACGCAAAATGAATTGCTAGGCATGGCATGTCATATCCTCCATAATGGCCAATCTGGAAACCAAAGACATCAATTCCATTCGAGCTACACACGTAGAAGAAGATCTGGGACTTTATTTTGTTCTCTTTTGTTTCCTTGGTTTCCTTGGCGTGTATGTGGTCAAATACTTTTGAGGCAACTCAGCCAATCATTTCCATTGACGCGAACAGCACCTCCTCCACCTCTCACTAGTATAGGCCCCCTATCATCGAGAAACCCATATGTACCCAAAAGGACAGCTTTCTCAATAACCTTACATATGAGATAACTATACCACTATACCATTATGAGTTCCCTATCCTCCTCTCTCGAACCGGCACAGAAGCGCCGAAAGATCCGGAAGGGCACTTTCAGCTGCTGGGAATGTAAGAATCGTAAGATTCGATGCCACTTCACCACGTCATCGGCAACAATATGTGCATTTTGCCAGAGCAAGGGAACAGGGTGCATCAGCCAGGAGTGCCCTAACCCTCAAGGCATAGGCTACCAAGCCGTGGAACAGCGCCTTGACCACGTTGAGGGTCTAGTGGCGCAGCTCGTACAGCACCGAGTGGCCCTTTCACCCTCCCAATCGCCACTAGTTAGCCAGCAGGTGAACAAAAATTTGCTTATCGATACCGTAGACTCCAGAGCGATACAGTTTCACAAACCAAACAACAATGTCACTCCCGAGAGAGGCTCCCTAAGCCATGTTCAATCGTTACTTCCGTCTGCTGTCATCCTTAAGCGAATCCTGGATCGCAACCCGCTCCGTGTTCGACCATTTCATTTGTTACTCTGCCCAGCAGCACCTACTCAGGTCGACCACCGATCCCCATCGGACTCCGATCAGCCAGTGCACCTTGCACAGAGTATCATCCAACTTGCCCTATGTTTACAACAGCCGACACAAAATGTGCTAGACCTCCGTTTTGACCAGCCCAGTCAGCAGATGGGACATTATTTTATCGGCGTCGCATCTCGCTATATCACCTCCCAGGACTTACTCGTCAGCTCTCTCGATGGCTTAGAGACTCTAATCTTAGAGGCTCACTTTCATATTCGCGTCGGTAGTCTCCGGAATGCCTGGCTTCTCCTCCGTCGCGCGTTAGGCATTGCCGGTTTGCTAGGCCTCCCATGTCGGAAGCATGGGGCTAACAACCGTGCGGAATCCATATGGTTCCGCTTAGCCTACAGTGATCGTTTTCTATCCCTTATGCTGGGACTTCCTTTTGTCGATGTGGACTGTCACCTCACCCGTACACGGCAGATTGTGGCTGACCAGTGGTCTGATCAGTTGGAGCGCATTCATGCTGTGGTGGCAGGCAGGATCATTGCTAGGAATCTCCGCATGCAGAAACGCCATAGAGGCCAACACGAGATACAGGAAAGCCCCGGCAATGAATTTCAAGAGACACAGGATATAGATCTTCAACTCAAAAAGGCCAGTCGCATACCCCCTGTGCGCTGGTGGGCTTCATCGTCGCTAGGCGATGGTACGCTAGATGTGAACTCACCGGAACAGTTCACTCGGCTCCTGACACAGATACACCAGTTCTATCTAGTGGTCTCCCTTTATCAACCGTATCTTCTAGAGCATCTGTGCTTGGAATCCACGGCTCATCGTCAAATGGTGGCCCGTCCGTTGCCCAACCACATGTACAGCAAAATGGCCGTTCTCTGCGCAAGTCGCGAAGTCCTTGTTCACTTTGGCATGTTCCGTACCGCCCTAGAGCATATTCCATACCGTGGCTTCATGGAGAAGGCTTTTTCTTCCGCATTGAGTCTCCTTCTGATACACATGGATGGGCATCGACTCAAGACAGAAAATGTGTTAGAGCACCAGCGTTCTAGAGACTTGGCAGTCATTGCTGATGTCATTCATGTTATGGAGGAGATTTCTGGTGTCCATAAAGATAGCCTGACCCAGTCCTATGTGAAAATACTATCTGCATTAGTGCGCATGGAGGAGTATGCAGCGCACGGAGCCGAATATCGTACATGGCTGGAGCCCGAAACCCCCGAGAACAATGACTCTCAGTCCACCATCGAAGATCAGAGCATGAGCTTCCCGTTGCCATATTTTGGCAGGTTCCATGTCTCACGCGAAATATCTCCAACTCCCCCGAATTACGACTACGAGTTCGGAATGTGAGAATGACTGCCGCGAGTACTAATTGACCTGTATGAGATCCATAAGAGAGGAGACGAATGTGTTATTCTCTACAAACAACCTGAGGCTAGCTAAATAGCCTGCGGAAGCCCGACAAGCGAACCATTCATGTATATGTCTTAACGTGATATGATTGCCGTACCGAGATGTTGAATCATCGTGATTGCAGCGACCCAAATCACTCACCACATACATCTCACAGCGCGGGGGTATCTGCAAAAGCATACCCAGTCATCTCCTGGAATCGCGAACCGACAATTCCGTCCGCTATCTCCCGTAATTCCTTCTCCTCGTCCGCCGACAAGGAAACCCGCACACTCTCCAGATTCTCAAGCAGCCGGTGTGTCTTGGTGGTTCCAGGAATCGGGAAGATGTCATCACCCTGGGCAAGCAACCATGCCAAACCTAGCTGCGCGGATGAAACACCCTTAGACGCCGCGATTTTCGCAATCTTGTCGACAACAGCCACATTCTGCTCTAAATTCTCTTCTGTCAGCCAAGGAAGGTTCGCCCGGGCATCCCCGGGCTTAACGTCCCCCTTGGTGCGGATGGTATTGGCGAGAAAGCCGTTGCCAAGAGGACTGTAGCATACAATGGCGACGCCCAGTTCACGGGCAGTCTCGAGCAGATGGAACTGTGGCGACTCGATGGCGCGACAGAAAAGGCTGTATTCGACCTGGACGGCCGTGATGGGGTGGACTGCATGCGCGCGTCGGAGGGACTCGGCGCTGCATTCGCTCAGGCCAATGTGTTTGATTTTTCCTGCGTTCTTGAGCTCGACCATGGCTTCCATGGTCTTTTCGACCGGGGTGACCTTGTCAAGACGATGGACGTAGTAAATGTCGAGATAGGCTACATTGAGGCGACGGAGAGAGGATTCAATGGCTTTCCGGCAGTACTCGGGGGTGGAATCGATCTTGAATATCCCCGGTGATAATATTATGCCGAACTTGCTAGACAAGAAGATGTCTTCGCGCTTTTCGGGGTTCGCCGAGAACCATTTTCCCAGTACGTCCTCTGATGTGCCGTATTTATCGGCTGTAGGTGTGGCCATCAGCATTGCATTCGTTTTCTTGGTATGAATTCACCTACCGGTGTCCCAGAATGTTTCTCCTCGGTTGTAGGCTTCATCGATCAAAGCGAGATGGTCAGCCTCCGATAGGGGCGCATTGTAAATTCCGCTAGCACTCATCAATCCCAAACCCAGTCGAGGGACAAAAGGTCCATTGCGACCTAGCTGGCGCAAGGGCAGTTTACTCATGGTTGCCATTTTTGTTCAATATGAGTGTTGACGAAGAGGGATAAAGCAAATAAAACTGTGTTCTTATACTATCATGGTAGAAATAGTGCCAAACTGGCGTTTAAATAGCCAACACTCAATATTCTTTCCGCCGTCAACTCCGTCTGTTATAGAACCCCGGCACACGAAATCCCGTTAATCCCGCCGCTATCTCCACCACTAATACTTTTACCACTAAGGACAGCGTTATTCATCGATTTTAGAGTACGAATTCGGTATAAATCTAAAAGTGCTACAGTAAACCTAGAAAGAATATATGTTCGCCTCAATTAGGTGCCTGTCCAGCCGATATAGGTAAAGTGGAAGGAAACGATATTATATCAATGTATTAAGTTAAAGATAACTACCAAATGGCATTAGTATTTAGGTCCTCTAGAGTACCAGTACAGGAGAAATACCATCTACGAACGAACTATTATAACATAAACGACCCTATAGGGCTACTCCGTTCGACTTATAGTCAGTCTATGGGGTCTCGGTGATCAGATTTGCTCACTACTTGGAACTTGGACCCCGAGCATCACCGGGCAACCAGTGAGCACCTGATGAGCATTTACATGGTATCGGTGATCATGGACGTGACTACGTATATGTAGTAGCCTAAACGTCTTCATTCAAAGCTGCTCACTTGGGAAAAGTTGGGAATATCCCGTACATGTACATGTGCAACGTGTCCGTGTCCAAGTATCGCCGAAAAAGTCACTCTAAAGAACAATAGAATAATTTCTTCTTATTAGTGACGAGCACCCATCCAGTAAGAAATCCAAGTGCCATTCCATGGACGCGCGACGGTGGATGCTCCCATGAGACCCAGTGATAGGAAGGCTCTTAAGCCACGGTCTACCGGACGTTGAAACGTGGAGCACGCATATCAAGCGTATCCCCAGTGCTATTTACAGTCCTTCGAATCGAAATGGCACAGGATTTGCTGATCGAAGATAAATTGATTTGCTCTCAACGTCATCTGACGTCATTTTTAATATAAAGGTACCAGATGGCCAAAAACAATAAAAACAAGATCCAGGGACGCTCAAAGCCATCACATATTTACTTCTAGTTTCTAGTTTGTCTTAAGATACATTCACATTCACATTCGCATTCGCATCTCCATTCGCATCGCAACATAGTCTAAACAGCCAGTTTCCTCGATACCCTCCAGCAGTCCAAGTCATACACAAGTTACAACCCATAACCACACTGTACACACCATGCCTTCAATACACGAACGTATCCGCGAGGAACTCCTCAACAAAGAGCGTGCACTCTGGACAGCCCTCACATCCGCCGATCCAGCACCGGCGATCTGGAAACTCAGCAACCCGGAAGCCTGTTTCCTATTCCCTCAGATGCGCATCATCACACTGGAGGACGAAGATGCTTTCAAGAAAGCCGTCCGGCCACCCTTTCATCGATTCGACGCCTACCAGTTCGAGGAAGTACGGGTCATTGTCGTCGATCTGATGGCAGGCGTTGTCACGTACAAGGTCCGTGCTGTGCGCGGAAAGAAAGAATACACTGCCTCGGGCTCGACGACTTGGAGTCAAGGGTCGGATGGGGAGTGGACGTTGGCTTGTCATCAAGAAACTTTGATGTGAATGGATTATATTTGTGTTAAATTGGGGTTTTGTATATAACAGTATATATACCCCGTTTCTTCGATGCCTTTTGCCATGCGGACTGGGGAGTGGGATCTCGGCTAGCGGCGAATGTGTGATATGATAGTCAACGAATCTTTTAATGGCAGATACATGATTGAAGTTATTTGAAATTAATGGCTTTCTTAAGTGTTGCTGTGGCGAATCAGCGACTGATTAGTTAGCCAATTTATGTTGTGATCTCTTTGTACACTTTGTAGTGCATATCAATTACAATCTAGACTTAAAATAGTCGATATCTAAACGTTGCCTTTTTTGATTGGCAGTTGAATCGTTGAAACTGGATTGTGATTGATTTATTGATTGGATTCAATGATTCAGTCGTGGGGCAGTTTCTTTGAACGCACCAATTCACCAATTCACTAATGCAAGCCTCCATGCTCTACCACCCCAGTCCGGCTTGTTATTAGCCGAATCATGTCAGTCAATTGCATGATGACTCACGTACTTTGTGCGGAGTAGAATCGTGTCAAATCTTTCAACAGGGGGTGATGGATTTCAATAAAGATATTAATAAGCGGATCTAGTAGTTGGTCTGTGTAAAACCCAAGAAAAGCACCCCCCTTTTTTTAACTCACCCGATCATTAAGCTCATGGAACGATCCGTGGACATCATGAGAGCCGCATCAGACCACCAAGAACCATGGGGTTTCCAGTGGCGATCATCCACTTATTTCATTGTCGCGACAGTGGCAGTGGCTTTGCTCACAGGTAGGCCCCTCGCGCATCTAGCCTAAAAAAACAAAAGGCATATATTAATCGCAGCCCATAGATATGTATCTGTATGGATTTATCGTTCCACTTCTTCCATTCGTGCTGGAGCATCGACTGGGACTTGACCCCTCACTCACCCAGCGCATAAGCACAGCCCTGCTATCCCAGACCGCGCTGGTGATGGTCGTGGCAAGTCCCCTAATCGGGTATCATGCTGATCGCTCGGGCGCAAAACGTGCCTGGCTGTTATTTGGGCTCGCGGGTGCATTGCTGGGCTCTTTGATACTCGCCATGGCGACCTCATGTAAGTGACGGCCAACTATCCAGGGATGGCATTTCCAGCGGGAGAATTAATTTCAGTGCAGTATGGGCTTTCTTTACCGGGCGCCTTGTACAGTCTCTTGCAAGCACTGGTCTCTGGGTGGTAGGCTTGGCTACCCTGGCGGACAACGTCCCTGCCGGCGAGCTAGGGAAAATGTATGGATTCGTGACTATTGCTATTGGCGTAGGAACATCGGGCGGACCACTGGTGGCTGGTGTTCTGTTCGATGTAGGTGGGTACTGGGTGGCTTGGTCCAGTGTCCTTTTCGTTATTGTGTTTGATGTGATCCTACGATGTCTCATGCTGGAACGGTCGCGTGACACCAGTGCACCAGTTCGCGCGGAGCGGGACGGGCAGGATCCAGAAAGGGAGGCACTTTTGCCACCATCAACTGACCCAGATCAACAGACAACCGGTCAAGCTGTATCGGAGAAAACGGGTATACAATTCTATCTATGCCTGTGTAGCAACGGTCGCTTCATTGGTGGTGTGGTTAGTTATTTCTGTTTCGCCGTTCTAACCGCCAGCTTCGACACAACCCTTCCTCTCCATGTGCGCGATGCGTTCCATTGGGGTAGTCTCCCCGCTGGTTTATTGTTTGCGGCTTTCCAGGGCCCCGCGGTGTTCTTTAGCGTTCCTGTCGGCTGGTTGAAGGATCGGGTGGGGACTCGATACCCGACCACGATCGGTTTTGCCCTTCTGGTGCCTTTAATGTGGCTGATCGGTATTCCTGGGGACAAACGGTTTCCCTGGGCTAGTGAAGAGAGGATCGGTTCGATCATATACAGCGTAGCTGTCACGAGTATCGGGATCGTGATATGCTTACTCAATGGGGTGGGTATGATGGAAGCCACTCGTAAGTTTTTTTTTTTTTTTTTTTTTTCACGACTTCAAATTGGGAAGTGGATCATAACGATATTCCAGAGGCCGTTGATGAGATCGAAGGAGAGAACCCCGGAATCTTTGGTCCGAATGGCGGATATTCGAGGGCAATATCAGTCTCCAGTATCAGTTGGACAATGGGAATGTTTGTTGGGCCAATTCTCTCGGGATATGGTACGGAACAAATCGGATACTATGAAATGAACTGTGTGTTGGGTTCGTTATTCCCCCCTGTCTGATTTCTTCATGTTCTCAACGCTAACGGCGACCAGCGGGGATGTGCGGACTTTGTTCTTTGACCGCCTTCCGGAATCTAAAATCGTCTGTGCCTCGGTCCAGAGAGACTGCGAAATGAAAGAAATCAATGTCCCGCGTTGGATATTGCCTGGATTCCACCAGTGTTTGAGGTTAGAAAGGGCTATCTCGCTTAAAAAAAAAAAGGACAACAAAGAAAAGGCAGAAACCAAAAAAAAGAAGGCTTAAAATCTTTTTTGACAGACCCGATTTTTTTTTTTTTTTTCACTTAGCGTAACAAAAGTACCAAAAGGGGGGCCGAGTAGGTAGTTTGGGAATATGGAATATGCATAGAAGGTTAATGGTGCCATTCAACTCCAACCGAGGTAGCAATATATATATTTACTACAAACAATATCGAAGCACACTCAACCCCAGACTAGAACGTTAGGAAGATGTTGGAAGTGGAACTGCAACTGGAGCAAGTCAAGCCCAAAGTGGAGAGAAAGGGACTCTAAGTGGTCCATCTTCTTCTACGTACTCCGTAGTCAGTCCCAAAGTAGACCCAACTTGGAAAAGTAAGACAACACAACAAACGCCGCTGTCAATTTCTCCGGTCCGACGGGTTCTTTCCGTTCGACTAATGAGACTAGTAGTTAAACTAGTTGGACTAGTTTCCCGAGCTCTTGCCGCAATTGATCCCGAGGTCAAACCTATTTTTTATTCCCAAATCTCATCAATGGATTTTTCTTTGTATAAACTTCCCACGGACCTTCTAAAGTTCTAAAGTTCCCCCAGACCCCGCGCCACTCGTAAATGCTAATTCCCCATACCCTGTTTCAATGACTTACCTATTCCGTAGATATATATGCCCAGGTGTATCTAAATGTGAGGTATACATTCAAAATTGTGATAACCATGGTTTATCAGTTTGAGACTCCACCTCGGATTCCACGGATGCACAAGGCCGAAGCATCTCCTGCCCCGGCCGAACTCTAGAGGATTCTAGCCCGTTAGTTTTTTTCTTTCTTTCTTAGTTGCATAGTATATATGCATAGTATATATTAATCCCGTTGAAGAGAATGCCGGAATCGTCAGTTGAAAAATTCTGCAATATAAGCTCATGCCAAGAGAAATTCCTTCATTTATTTCCCCTCTGAAATCTCGACTCAACACTCAACACAAACCAATGGAACCAATTAGCCCTCCACAGAATATCGCCATCATCGGTGCTGGTATCGCTGGTATCGCGTGCGCATTGTCTATATCCCGGGAACTCTCTCCATTTGTGCCGAACCTGAAAATTACAGTCTACGAGCGACATGACATATTATCGACGTCCGGTGGTGCTATCAATTTGACCCCCGTCGCACAAAGACATCTCGCCCAACTAGGCGTGCTAGATGAGTTGGACCGGATGGGTCCCGAGGGCGGTGCCGATGTTGATGCCATTGAACTCTTCTCTATGCGTTCGGGCCGCCCCATCGGCTCCATCAACTTCACAGACAACCAGGGAAAAGGATTTGGTGGATACAAGGGCCGAAGAGTCATGCGGATTGCTTTATCCGTAGCCATGTTAACCGTGGCGGAGCGGGCTCGGAATGTGGAAATTGTCTTCGGCAAAAAAGTGATCGGTGGCGAGGAATTCGAGGATCGAGCCGTTGTGCATTTTCAAGATGGCACAGAGGCAGTGGGGGACTTAATCATCGGTTGCGATGGCGTCCACTCGGCGGTCCGCACCCGGTTTGTGGACGTCGACCGACCCGCTGAGTACACGGGCCTGTCGTTTTTGCAGGCCACGATTGACTCGGATACAATTTCATCCCGCACTCATTTCCGCACATCTTCGCTCAATATCTCGCGACATGGCTCAATTCTCGCCAGCTATTGTGACCGTGAGTGTGAACAGATCTTCGCTGCTGCGATCATTCAATTTAGTCGTGAATCGCTGAGCCGCTATCGACTGGAGCCCGGTCAGGATTGGGCCACCCAGCACAAAATTCGCTGCGCCCTCCGTGAGGAGATCAGAGATCGCTTTGGCAAATGTGCCATTCCCTGTATCAAAGAAATCATTGAGGGTAAAGCGGACTGGATGCTTTACCCCGTATATCAAGTTCGCCCCGGAGGGCGTTGGTGCCTGAATCGAGTTATTTTGCTGGGCGATGCAGCACATGCGGTATGTCCCAATCATGAGAACCATCCTATCTCCTCATTTCTAACAAGCTATACAGATGCCTCCGCGTGATGAATCGGCTGCGTACGCACTTGACGACGCAATCTTGTTCTCTCGAATTCTATCCAGCTACCGTTCGGAGCCTCTGACCGAGGCTTTTGACGCATACGAGACTCTTCGTCGCGATACAATCAACCATGCATTCAAAGAATCCCGTCGTATGTGGGAACGAAACCGTGAGATGGGATTCTTAGAGGGCAGAGTTAAGGAATGGATGATGACTTTCCATCTCAAAACCCACGAAAATGCACGTGAGGCCGCATGGGCCTTTGACGCAACTAAGATGGCCCTCCCCACGCCAGCACCCAGTGAAGACCTGGTTTCATTGAATTCATTTTTGAGAGGCCGGACTCTATGAAGAGGAAATGTCATTTTTAAAAAGAGGGTGGTGGGAGTTTGGGTTGGCCTGCATAGACTGGAGCGTGAATCATTTCAATTAATAATTAATCGATACCCGGTAATTAGCCCCCGAATATATTTAAATCGATATGCTCGTGGAAGTTTCCCCAAAATATTAGTTTGTCTTTCATTTATTCGGACTTGTAATCTGTTCAATGTTACTTTTGGTTTGTCTTTGGGATGGCCGAGGTCACGTTTAGGTGCCGTCAAATACTGGGTCGATCCAACCTACCAAAATAGTTTAAATTTCTTTTTCAAATTCTAATTTCATCGTAATTCACTTGTAGAATTATTATACTGATTTTAGTATCATAATAATAGATTTTATACGGAATTTCATACGAAATCACCCTAAAAGCATCCAACTTGACCATGTACCTGGAATATATATAACTAGTTATAGGGTCTATACTTAGTTGTCAATTATAGTAGCACTAATAGTACCTCTACTTACTTGTAACTCCCTAATAAAAACAAATACCCCTTATAAAAAGTAAAGCTTTATAAAAATTAACTGTAAGCTTATAAGAAGAAGTTTTCCGTATAGCTTGATATATTGCTTAGATGGTAGTTTGAATACCAAAGAAACTAGAGAAAAATGCATTAATTATACAGCTATAATAAATTGGCATATTTGTATTGTTTGGGGCCCAAAACCCAGCCCCCATTTACGGGTTGGGTTGGGTTGGGCTTTGGGCTTTGTGGGCTATTCCAAGGTTGAGAGGTCTCGTTTGTTTTTGTTTTCGTCTCACTTTTTGAATTTGATTGATCTTGAATTCCACAATGTCGTGCACGGTGACTTTTACAGGATATTATTGCCAGCAAAAAAATATAAATATTTATTTTCTAGAGACTAAACTATAACAAGTTCAACCCAAATAGACACATAAATTGCGCTTTTCAAACAGCAATTCCAGACTTGTCACCAAACTTCTCTCAACGAGACGCTTAGAAGGTAAGTGTCTGACCAGCGGTACCAACGACAGCAGCCTTGACCTTGGCCGAGCCAACCAGGTCGTACTTGTAGGGAACCGACTTCAGGGTTCCAGCCTCAGCATCATTCTTTGCGCCACCGAAGTCGTTGTCGTTGGTCACAGCATAGCCTCCGTCGGTAGAGTAGAGGGCCTTCTTGCCACCAACAAAGGTGTTGGATTCAACCAGAAGCTGGGCGCCTTGGCGGGTGTTGATGCCGTCGGAGACTTCCTCGTAGAAGCTGTTGTAGATGTGACCAGTGCCGAAGCGGAAGGAAGGACCGCGCGAGTTGATGTTGTGCCAGTAGTTGTTGTTCTGGGTGACGTGCAAGAAACCGGTGTCCTCATCGCCGTTGCTGTCGGAGTGTCCGATCAGGGAGGCCTTCCAGTGGTCGTGGATGTAGGTGTTAGAGACAGTCACGAAGTCGGCAGCGTGGGTAAGCTTGTACATGTTAGCATCTGTGGTTTGTTCAATTTCCTTATCTTGTGATTTGAACTTACATCGATGAGTCCGTCGTAGTAGTCCTTGTCGTGCTCGGTGTCAGATGAGACATCGCAGTGGTCAATCCACACATTGGTCGATTTTTCTAAGCACAGTTAGCCTTTCTCTTCTTTTCCCCAATGTATGTCCTTCAGCATGATGTACTTACGGACACCAATGGCGTCACCGTTATCGGCAAGAACCTTCTGAACACCCAGGTTGCGGATGATGACGTTCTTCTCTTCCTTGACCAGACTATATTGGTTTTAGTATCATGTCGAATCGATGATTGGAATGACAACATACAGGCCGAAACCGCTCAGGATCGCCTTCGAGTCCTTGCCGACAATGCTAGTGTTGCTTCCAACACGAACCTGGTCGGCGGCCTTGGTGATGGTGCCGTCCACAACGATAACCTTGGGCTCGTTGCCCTCGACTGCGGCCGTGAAGGCAGCATACGACGAGACGGTGGTAGTAGTGCCACCAGCACCACCCTTGGTGCCTCCATTCTCACTGGCGTAACCAGTAGCGACCTAAGTCAGAGCGACGTTAGAATGTTGCTCAGAAGATTCTTGAACAAATCGCGTATTGATACTCACATCATCGATGCTTGCGCGCTTTCCCAGATAGGAGGTTGTTGCAGTAGGAGCTCCCAATGCAAGGCTGGACAAGCAGCCGAGCAGAGAAACTGCCATCAAGTTGAAAGGAGCCATTGTAAATGAATGGAAAAAAAAGAGATAACTATTAAAGGAATGAAAGAGCAAAGCGAATCGCCAGGATGCTTTGCCGGAGTGAGTGTTGATATCTGAATATTGAGAGTTATATCACGGTCAACCGAGGGGATTATATACTATTCGAAAGCCCCAATACGCTATAGAGTCTCTGAAACAAGCTACCGTACATCCACCATTCTCCTGATCATTGGAGAATTCGCGTGCTGGATAATCTCTTCCGGGGTGGCCAACCCGAAGATTTACCGAGATGACATGATGGCTTCAATTCTCCGACGCATCAAGTATCAGATTGACCCTCCAGGGGCTCTCCTGCTCCTGTGTGACAGCCAAGATGACATCTTGTTTCTTCCGAGTCCCGAGACACAAAGCTTGGCATGGATTGGTCGAAGTTCTCAGTCTAGAACGGACTTGAGAGCTTCCGAGCCAAGAACACTACGCCCGTGCACACACTACGGGATGGAGGCCCCTTGGATGGAAAAATATTCATCAGCGATGAGCTGCTTGTTAATTTATTCTCGGGATCTCTTTGTCCGAAGACTTCCACAAATGATTTGAAACATCAGGAGTAAGTTCTTGCCAAGTCTTTCCGGGGTTTCAATAGAACCCCCCGATCTTGGCATTCAGACACGTCCAGGGGGATATATTGTAGAATCTAATGATGTTTGTATGAGAAAACAATGTATGTAGATTCAGATTATCGAAGTTGGACGAAGGAGAAGAAAAGAGAGAAGAAGAGAGGAAGAGAGAGAAAGAACTATCTACATGGGTGGATCTGTCTCATTGTGGGTCCATGGGTGCCTTAGGCACCCATGGACCCAACAGGGGATGTTATGTTTCCATCAATGGCCCAATTTTATGAAGCAAAATCAAAGAGAATATAAATAATGATGATAAAATGATAAAGTTTGCATCTGCTGGGGTGTGGCACTTACGGAAAGCATACACCTACTAAAATACCCTTTTCCTATTTATCTTTTTTTTTTCTTGAGGTACACTCGGAAAATTGATAGGGAGGGCCCATCTGAACCCTACCGTATTGTTTCTCCAACTCTGAATCTCTACTCCGCAGGATCTCCATCAGCATCTGAGGGTGTCCAAGGGTTACAAATTATGAAAACTGTACCGTTAAGCGTGCGAGACGAGTCTATAGAGCTATCAGGTTGAGGGGGAATACAGGTGTCTAATAAACTCTTTTTCCGGTCTGTGCAGTTTAATCTAGCATGAAACCCAGAAGCTGAAATGAACATTAACAGCCGAGTGATATGGCGAACTGGCGGCTATACAGTGCTGTGATACGAAGTGAATGTATCTAGTGTGTCGTAGTGGGATATCTCCTTAAGATCACTCTAGATATTCTCAAAGTATATTTGGCTAGCGCTAATTGATGAAGCAGAAGTAAAAGCAAAGCAAAACGACAAAGGCGGTGCAGAAATCACCTTCGTCTAAGAGTCGACTGCTAGCATAATAGCTAGCGCAATCCCCGCAAATTCCTCCATTTTGTCGACATTGTTGTACCAAGGGGCCGCATTGGTTCATCTGGAGGAAGCTGTCGCTTGGCAGCTTTTCCCGCTTGTTCTTGATCCAGCTGAGGTATGTCTTATTGAAAAAGGCAGTTGTGATGTATAGCTCAATACCATCTTGGGAGATGACAAAAATGGGCCTATATATGACTTAGTATTAGCACTGCATAACATAGCTGAGGCTGGGGTAACTATGGAAAGGCAAGTCTTACCGATTGGGTTTCACATCCTGGACCATGATCAACGCAACTTCTTCCGCCGTCTCCTGCATGGAGACTTGGGGTTCATGGTAACAACGTTGGCCTGACTTGACCTCGGGAATTACTCTTATAGGCCCATCCTCCCCCCAAAAGTACCCATCAACCTGCGCCTCCATCTCCGCGCCGTTGCCAAATTTGGCTTTAATTGCCCCCGTGGGTACGGGCGATTAAGTATACCACACGACGTATAACTCTCTTATTGGTTTATATTGCTAGCAGTGATTTATATCCACTAATGTTGTAGTTATTAATTGAAGCCTACAGATGCTTAAAGATGTCCGAATACCTAGATTATAAGGTTAATAAACTTAATGCCTTCTGAAATGGGTATAGGGACTTCTAAAGTGAATTGAATCTAAAGTGAATCTAAAGTGAATCTAAAGTGAATCTAAAGTGAATCTAAAGTGAATCTAAAGTGAATCTAAAGTGAATCTAAAGTGAATCTGAATTGAATCTGAAGTGAACCAATGACAGAGTTATGTACCGATGGCATATAGTCGTCCGTACTGTGGGGCGTCCAACGGCTTTGTAAGGAGGGGTGTTTGGCGGCAACAGCAATGAGAAAAACTACCAAGCTCAGGTTAACGGAATCTTCATCGATTATCCGCTTTGATTTCTCCCTGGGTTCCGCCCGTTCCTTGGCTAACGCCGAGAGAATCCTACCCTGCTCGGCCGCGGTATCTCAAAGATACCGGTTCCCCATGGACCTGGGCCAAAGAAAAGATCTGGATCGTATCTGTCAGTTCAAAGTCCGGCTGTGACCTGCTGTAAGTAGGCTTAGAAGGGGGAAATTCCCTAAGTCACTCATTGGCCTGTTGAAAGTATTCGCGCAATTTGGACATTTGGAGCATATCGGGGAGATCTTCAATCTCATATTGGTTCCACAAGCAACGTAGAAGGAGATACTCCTCTTTTCTCAGTTTGGATGCTGCGCTCCACTCTTGTTGTTTATGAGGGTTGTGGTCCTGTGTTGACTTTTCCACTGCACACTGCCACGAGTCCCATGTGGTGGGAACATGAGAGAAGAACCTTGCTGGTGGCATTTTGATGACTTCGCAAACCTTTGATGCCTAAGTGTGCCTTGAAAGGAAGCGGAAGATTGGTATGACTCTAGCCGGAGCGAGTCGAGCTGTCTGAGAGCAAGTCGTAGTTTGTCAGCAAGTCTGAATCAGGGGTAACTGAAGTCTGGTATAGCTTGAGCGAGAGTAAGTCGGAGTATGCCAGAGCAATCTGGAGTGTGGTAGCAAGGCCGAAGAAAAGGCAAGCTGAAATTTGGTATATCTCGGCCTTGAGCGAGTTGAAGTGCGTGAGAGTGAGAGATATGAGTTCCGATGAGCAATCAATGGTAGATTACTACTAAGTGTGGGAGAAAGCAAAGCAAGAATTGTTAATTGGTAAAACTAGAAATGCAGGGGTTTATATACCCTATAGAAACTATCTGAACATTGCTCAATTGTAGCAAACAACAAATAGCAAATAGCAAATAGCAAATAGCAAATAGCAAACAAATATCAAAAGGCTCAGTCTGCAGCAAACAACATGCATGCAGGCATGGGAGTTCAACAAGTTCTATGGTAGATGTCGTACTAGTCTAGAACAGAAGCTGTGCGACATTTGGATGGCAAAGCTTGTTGGAAGGTCTTCGGTTCATTCCACCCAAGGCCACCAGGTTGGTTGACATCCCTAGTTAGTTATTCCTGACTGAACTTTATCATATGCACCATGTCCGTGTAGCATTCGCTCTTGTACAAGACTTTAAGAAGACACAGTAGAATTTATCTCTCTTGATCTCATGTATAATACCGTATTCAAATGCAAGGAATCTAAAGCCCTGTAGAATTATCGAACAACCTGCGCCCCTCATATCGTAACATCCACATCTGTTTTAGTTAGGAGTGAGAGAAGGCTAAGGTCTGGGTCAAATACGGAATGTATTATAGGTGCATCATCTACAATATGAATAGAACCAACTACTACCCTCTATTATGGGATGTGGTGTCCTGTGGGAATGTTTACCAAGAAGATCAAGGAGCTGTATGCCAGATATTGCCCCATTAAGTATAACAGGTTGCCCTCCGATAGGATAAATAGTCACATTCTAATGGTATGTGTTCTATCAGGGCTAGATGGAAACCTGATCCATTAGGCAAACACCTAAACGTGCGGCTCACGACAAACTTTCTCTTTTTTTCTGTCACTTCATCACCTTCCCTTCATTTCTCGCGCCTGTCAAATTTCCTTCTTTCAACCTTGCACATTCCCGATCCTGCCTCTCTATCGAGCATCATCACGGAATCAACGAATCATCGTACACCTTCATCCCACCCTTCTATCCACCTCACCAGAAATCACCGGCGCCATCGATCAACGGCGAAGTCTGCGCACGATGTCATCCCGTCGTGAAGAAAGCCATAATTTGGTAAAATACATACATACAAAGCTCGTATCCACTTCCGAGTCATCGTTCACAAAAGCCGATCTTGAACAATTTGGGATTTCAGTTGACAACTTTAACCCCACAGACCCCAAGTTCCTTAATGACAGAAAGAAGTGTCTTTTTAAGCCGTTCGACAAAGAGGATATTAAAAGATTCGAACTCCCGGGTAGTGGTGATACCGCATACGAAGCCGTGCATCATCGCCTTAACATCCAAGATATGCCTTCCCACTCGCGCCTTGCTCAGGAGCCAAAGGAAGATGAGATAATGCGGGCCACGAGGAAGGTTATTGGATACCTTCAGACAAACTTAACTTTCCGATACGAAGGGAGAACTAGGGCAACTAGGGGGAGGAGGCCTTTGTCAGAGGAGCTCGGGTGGACGGAGATTGAGTAAGTAGCGCCTCTCAAGCTTATAATGAGTAACTAATATTCTATTTAGATGCGAAGAATTTACCGGCGGATGCCCAGGACTGTTGTTCTCTACACCTGGAAGATACATAGGAGAAGACTTCCCCGGTTGGAGGTTCCGGTCGCTACAGGAATGGTGGACGAAGGATTCATGGGATGCTGATGTGCTAGCTGGGCCCTCGATTCAAATAATCATTGCCACCGATGGAGTCGGTAAAGCAGACGGATTACTCCTTAGTGAGATTGGGGCAATAGTTCAGGTGATCGAGTTTCGCCAAATCCAGCCCGAGTTCAGCCATTGCCATATATTCCCAGTACGTTGTGGACTAAGTATATCTATTACCTTTGATAATTGCTAATTGAGGTAGGTCCTAATGCTATCTTTCTTCGGGCCTCGACATGGAAGGATCCTACAGGCCTACTACGACTCGCGTTCACAAAAGCTCGAGCTACGCATTTCACCAATCTTCAGTTTTCTGAAAAAGAACGATGAGTCCTTCGATCTCTTTTTGCGATTCATGGCAAGCCACCCGCCCGAGGCAAGGAATCTTGATCTTTCCAAACTTTCACTTGAATCTCGCTGAATTTGAAGAGGGATAACACATTGAGACTTTATCCCCAGAGCTGTCGGGTGGGATTAGGCGTTAACCAACCCTGATTTTCACTTGCGACTTTTTTAGTCTACTAGCAATACTCGCTTTATTAGATCTGTGATACAGGGTGCCAAAGAGGAGGATAGCATATGTGCAAATTCCTTGTCGTTTGGACTTCCACGGCTCCGTCTTTAAACCCCTGACCCTGAAGTCCATAGATGGCGATGATGGCACTTGTCTGTCACCAGAATTTACCTTTTCAATGTGTATCCAATATTGGCTCATCAAGTGGTTGAACCCCAAGTTTAGTATTAATCTGACCACCGTGACGGCTCTACCAATAGCCTTTCCTCCGACAGGGGTAAAATGACGTGATCGCGTTAGTTAACGAAGCCTTTATTTGACAACCTCAACTTTCGGATCTCCGAGTCTTCTACTCCGTACACATTTTGCATATCCAACTTGGTCCTGAAACTCCGCGGAATATTCCTGATCCTCCCGAGGCTGTTTCATGGCTGAGTAATCCCCTGTTCCTTCCAAGATTTGCAACCCACTGGATTTGCGGGGAAAGTGAAGGATCCTGAGACACTTCAAGTTGATCGCAATAAGCGGAATGTCAGGGACATTTTCATCCGTGCCGATCGTCGACTTCGCTCGGCTGAACGACCCTGTGACGAAATATGAGGAGCTCTCAAATTTACGTGAAGCTATCTTCGTCGTAGGGTTTCTATATTTGACCAACACGGGATTAGAGGTGTGAATCACAAACAATGTGGTTGACCGAAGATGCTGATCCACAATTGAGATAGAGCCTAATTCATCATACCCATGAAAATCTACCTGGACTCTTTGCTCTGTCGACAGAGGCCAAGGAGAAATGCAACATGATTAACTCGCCATCGTTTCTCGGCTATACTCGCCTCGGTGCCGAGACCACTGCGACGAAAACAGATCTTCGTGAGGTGAGCTTATCTCGTTTTAGACTCCGCTATAGTTCTCGGGCACTAATATTTCGGTCGTTTTAGCAATTTGATTTTGGCACCCCTGGCGTGAAACACTGGACAGAGCAGGACCCCTTCTGGCAGCGGCTTGAAGGGCCTAATCAGGTAAGTCACCAACTATGGGACGCGTGTCCCGACTACTAAATTTCAATAGTACCCAGATTACCCAAGGGCTCAAGGTCTAGTTGACGAGTATATCGCGAAGACTGATAGCCTAGCGCAAGAATTCGTACGTCTTGTCGCAGAATGCCTGTCCCTCCCACGGGAGACATTTGATGGCTTCAAGGGTAACATGAGCCGGCTAAAGTTTGTCAAATATCCACCTGCCGCTCAAAACTCCCAGGGTGTTGGTCCTCACAAGGATTCGGCGGGTCTTTTTACTTTCTTGTCTCAGGACAACACAGGAGGACTACAGGTACTTAACAAGAACGGACAATGGATCGATGTGCCTCCTATTGAGGGGAGTCTGGTCGTGAATATCCAACAGGGATTCGAAGCGATTACTGGAGGGATTTGCGCGGCCACGACACACCGAGTTATCGTATGTTATTCCCATACGATTCATCACTGATCGGCCTTTCTAACGCGTTGCTACTAGGCGCCCACTTCTCAGACCCGTTATAGCATCCCGTTCTTCCAGGGTGTGAGACTAGACTTGACGCTAGATCAGCTCAAGGAATCCGCTGCTCATATCGCGCAGCGAATTCCAGCCTCTGACGATAAGAAGAAACGGGCAGTTGATGTGCCGAGTGAATTCCTTTCACCTTTGTATTCTTGCGTGAGTAGGTCTAGTTCGACTATTTCATTCCAAAGACTAACGAGTCGTAGTTCGGTGAGGCTCATTTGAGAAATCGTATCCTAAGCCATCCGGACGTGGGTCAGCGGTGGTATTCGGAACTGTATGCAAAGTATTCCCAGCAGATCCTAAAATAGCCTAGAAAAGGAGTATTGCAAATCCTAGTTAATTCGCCCAGATTAACATATAATCGGCTACTAACTCGGCATTTCAACTTGCCAAGGATCTAGACTATTCACAGAAGCATGATCAACATTTCCGATGCAGTTTGACATCTTTTACGTCTCTCTGTATACGAACTGCAGTGTTGTATCGTAGGGGAATATTTCAGTCCAGGCTGCTTTCAGTCAGTAGAATCTAGCGTTGTTATTCTTCCTTCTAATCACATTACAAATTCCACTGTTGAGGGGGCATCTACAGGGTAGAAGTAAGGTCTATAAATATCAGCTTCTATTCCAAGTATAAGCTTGGACGGTTTGAAAATTTATTACTGACACCCAATGTCGCCTTTGCAAGAATATAATTCATCCCATACTGGAGTGTAGTTCCGTCTGTAATATTTTCAAGGGAGTCTTGAAGCAAAAGACGCTCAACTCGAATATATATATACTCGGCAAACAAGCACGGCAAAACAAAGGCCGAGGCTGTGTAAACCCCAACTCATACTTGAATTTCTAAGCGAGTTGAAAGCAAAATACAAAATACAGACAAGTTTCAAGGCATTATATGAATTTTTACTGAGTCCAGGATCATCCTCGTTCTCTGTTAACCAAGTGTTACTCCAGGTGTTACGCCAAGGGCAATACTAACTCCGCGGGGTAAATGTTTGTGTCCACTCTTCCCACTCTCCAACCATGTCCGAAATCAATTGTACAGCCATCGAGGCTCTGCAGAGCCGCCTAAAGGCCGCAACTATCTATACACCTGAATCGGAGAGTTACAAAGATGTTATAGTCCGGTGGTCGGACACTGGGATGAAATATGCGGTACGGAACACAAACATAACAAAACAACACCACCGACTGATAAATTGCAGGGTGTCGTAGTCCAACCCATTGATGCGTTGGATATTTCAGCCGCACTGTCGTGGGCACAAGAGCATAGTATCGACCTTGCTGTGAAAGGTGGAGGTCATTCATGTGCCGGCACAAGCTCGAGCGATGGTGGCCTGGTCATTGATCTGTCGCGCATGAACCAAGTGACGGTGGATACCGACCAGAAGACTATCACTACCCAGGGCGGAGCAACCTGGAAGGAAGTCGACGATGCCGGTGCGGCTCACGGTTTGGCGGCTGTAGGGGGTACCGTGAACCATACCGGGGTTGGAGGACTCACTCTAGGGGGTGGTTATGGCTGGCTGAGCGGAACGTATGGCCTCACTATCGACAATCTCTTGTCCGCGACCGTCGTTTTGGCCGACGGTCGTATTGTCACGGCCTCTGCCACCGAGAACGCCGACCTGTTTTGGGGGTTGCGAGGTGCAGGGTACAACTTTGGCGTTGTGGTAGATTTCACCTACCAGGCCTATGACCAGAAAGATCCAGTGTATTCCGGCCTCCTTGGATTCGCTCCTGATAAGTTGGAAGGAATTATGGATGCATTGAACGAGTCCCTGGCGAATCCTGACTCTCGCTTCGGTGCGATGTGCATTTTTGCGTTGGCACCTGATGGATCTGGGCCGATGATTATTGTGATTGGTTTCTACAACGGCTCACGCGAAGAAGGCCAGAAGAAATTTGCCAGTCTCACGGCCCTTGAGCCAGTTCTGAATACCCTCGATATGATCCCATACTCTGTGGTGAACACCTTACAGAACCCCGTAGCGACCTACGGTGATCGGAAGTCCTTCAAGGGTATTTTCTACGCGCCGCCATTGGATCCTCACTTTGCCAGGGTGATCTTCAATGATTTCATGGCCAAGATTCAGAGTGAACCAGAGCTCAAGGCGTCTGCCATCATTCTTGAGTTTACCGACATGCGCAAGATTTGCGAAGTGCCGCTGACTGCAACTGCGCTGGCAAGCCGAAACCCTACTCAGAATGGTATCATCTTTTTGAGATGGACCGACTCCTCCAAGGATTTAGAGTATCGCGCTTGGGCGCGAGAAGTCCAGTCCAAGTGGGAAGTTGAGTTAAATGCCAGAACCAAAGATCAGGGTGTGGATTCGAGCGTGTCTCAGTACATCAACTACGCAGAACGTGAGTCCACTCCACCCAAAAGTATTTGGGCCTCGATAGATACTAACATTATATCTAGCTGGTGACTCGGTGGTAAGCAATATCTACGGTGTGAACCTTGAGAGATTGCAAGAGGTGAAGGCGAAGTACGATCCAAAGAACGTTTTCCACAAAATGCACCCAATTTCAACGGGGAAGGACTAGTATGAGCGAGGACTCAACGAAATGAAAACAGCGGTCGCTGGCTGGCCTCTGCTTGAGATTCTTTCTGAGACTTGTTCTCCGCGCAATTTGCGTTTTCCTTTGGCGTGACTGCACAGAAGGGTCTATATTGCAAGGACAGACAGTTCTATTTACACCCAGGAGAATGAAGAACACAACTTGCAACGAATTGAGGGATGATATGCCTATTCAGCCATATATAACACTCAGAGCCGTGGAAGAATGTTATACTTCACAGCCTTCACAGTAGTCCAACCCTCGAGAGCATCCTCACCCATGTCTCGTCCAAATCCACTTTGCTTCACTCCTCCAAATGGAACATTGGGACTGAGCATCGCCCAGGCATTGACAGTCACCTGGCCTGACTCAAGTCCCTTAGTCACGCGATGAGCACGGTTAACATCATTGGTAAAGATGGCAGCACTGAGGCCGTGATGAGAGTCATTGGCTTTGAAGACGACTTCCTCTTCCGTGGTAAACTTGGCAATACTCTACAATTTGTGATCGGATTAGTATTTAACATCATGGAGTCGTGCATGGACGCTTGCTTACCGCAACAGGACCGAAGATCTCCTCTCGCATGATTGTCGCATCGTCACCCACGTCCGCAAAAGCAGTGTTTTCGACGAAATATCCCTTGTCACCGATCCGCCCACCACCAAATAGAAGCTTGGCTCCAGATTGCTTTCCTTGACGAATGAAGTTAAGAATCTTCTCATGCTGCATACGACTAACCACCGGCCCCTTTGTAGTAGAAGCATCCAAAGGATTACCGGCGACTGTCGGAGCCTCAGCGGCGGCCTTTTTATAAGCGTCGATGAATCGATCATAAATAGAGGCCTGAACATATATACGCGATCCAGCGGCACATATTTGTCCATTGTTAGCCGTGATTCCAATGCGAGTCCAGAGAAGTGCGTTTTCAATATCGCAGTCGTCAAAGACAATAGACGGCCCTTTGCCGCCGAGTTCAAGACTGACTTTCTTCAGGTTGGTTCGGGATGCTGCTTGCAAGATCTTGCGTCCTGAAAGGTCACTACCAGTGAAGGCGATCTTGCGTACATCCATATGTTCCGACAGAGCCTGGCCTGCGCTAGCGCCCTCGCCCGTAACGATATTCACAACTCCAGGAGGAATGCCGGCTTCCTTCACCAGCTCGGCAAGCTTCTGGGCGTATAGTGGCGATAGCTCAGAGGATTTGATGATCAAAACGTTACCGGTGACCAGGGCAGGAGCCAGCTTCCAAATAGTGATCATCCTAAGAACATGTTAGTAGTCTTTAGTTATAAGGTTCCGGGGTGAATACAGGTCGCTGGGACGGGAAAGCTTACAGCGGAGCATTCCAAGGCACAATTGCACCACAGACACCCAAAGGCTCGCGATGGGTATAGGCAATGCCACCATCTATGTCAAGTGTCTTGCCATCAATCTTCCCCGCCCAGCCCGCATAATATCGCAGACAGCCGGCCGCCTGGGGGATGTTCATTCCGATCGAATCGGTATACAGAATGCCTGCATCAACGGCCTCTAGTGATGCCATATCTTCGGCATCGCGCTCGATCAGATCTGCAAGTTTCAGCAATAGCTGGGCTTTGATAGGTCCAGGAACTGTTCTCCATGTTTTGAATGCTGACTTGGCGGATTCCACAGCCTTGTGGATATCCTCCGGGCCTGCGGCGGAGATTGTTCCAAGTTGATTGCCAGTTGAGGGATTCTCGATTGCTAGAGTTTGACCGGTAGAGGAGGGGACAAATTCATTGTGGATAAAAAGTCCCGTCGGAACTAGGAGAGAGTTAGCGACGGTCACATCTAGGGCTAAGACGGACTTGCTTGTAATTTGGCGGCCTTGGATGCCTGTGACAGTCAATGTCGAAGACATTTTTATTGTTAAGGGAGAAATTTTTTTATATCTTTCATATTGCAGATGTTTTAGATGCCTTTTGTATCTGAGCTCTTCGGAACGTTCCGTCGCGCGGAACTGTCCTCAGCCCAGAAGCCCACGATTCCCGAGGTATGTGGACTAATCCTCAAAAGAGGGGACAGTAAAGCGATAGTTTGAATCAAATCCTCGAAATCGATGATAGAGATTACATATGGGCAAGGACAGACAGGCACCTTCAAGACGCTTCATTTTTTCTAGTTGTACAGTGCAAACAGGCGAGGGCATAAAGCCAAAAATATTTGAGGGGCAGGACATTCTCCCTTATATAACTATTGAAACGAAACTTTCATCATCATTCACCAATTCGACCGGATTTATCCTGTGTATCGGTCTCTTTTCAAGACGGCGACGGAGTAACGACCGAAGTGGACGAAGATAAACGGCGTAAGAATCTAGTTATGGCCTGTGTTCGGTTATTCCGTTCAACTGTACACTGACATTCCTTGACGATTATGTCAAGTGTGCCTTTGATAGCCCCAAGACTGAACAGAGGAGACTCACTATAATGCCCTCTATTTGGCTTTCCAAAAAGCCCAGACCAAGACGAGCAAGCCCTTGATACCAGCCGACAGCCAGAGAATGGGAGCAACTCCCCCGGTGACTTTAGTGACCCATCCGCCGACGATGGCGCCAACAATCGTCAAAACGAACGCAATGACTCGCCGGTCGCGTTTCACATTCCTGATAAGAAACAACTGGGGGTCTGACATCAGATCGCAGAGAAGACTGGTAATGACCACGGTCGGGAGCTCATTGTATCCCAAGGCACGACTCGCTACAATCTGACCGGAAGATTGGAAACTAAGGAGAATTATCGGGACTATTTGATCCCACGGGGGTGCTTTCTGTGATCCTTTGCCGGCTAGCGTACTAGAAACGGCACCTCCTTGAACCAGTCCAGCTGTAAGCAGGATTATACTGGCCTGTACCAGGAAAGACAACATCAACGACACTCGTCGCTGAGTACCTAGGACGCGATGTAGTCTTGCAAAAAGGAAGGATCCCAAGCTGAAACATCCGATGGACGTGAGCGAGCGTATCCAGCCATACGGACGGAGGTTTTGGTGTGATGCACCCAGTCCCACGAAGATGGTGTTTCCTACCATGGTGATTGGTCGACTCGGATGTAAGATTGTGCATGAGTGAGGTTGTCATCTTACCTGTCTGCATAGAGACAAAAGTGTTGTAGGCTATGTATGTCAATGTCAAATGTGCTCCAGTTGAGTAGACGGGACTTGGATTTGTTCCTACCTCTGTATATCGTACTATCCACAAGTCCCGAAGTCAAACAACAAACAAAAAGTAGGAGGTCGGCATGCTGTGGCTCAAGTTCAGCCTTTAGAGAGGTTGAAAGTCCGCCGAATGCGCCTTTTTCATGATCCATCTTGGATGCTATTGACTACAATGAGAGAGAAACGAAGAGGAGGCTGGAAACACGAAAAGACACAGGAAGCCATTGAAATTAAACACAGCCGACAGGCAAATTCTTTTTTTCTTTTCCGCGGCGATTGAAGGACAGGTGAACAAACTATGAAATCTGCCCACGCGCCCTTCCCCTCCATCCCCCTGTCAATAGCATCATCATCTCACCTCGTTGATGCACCCTAAGACGGGGCCAAGACGCAGTGAAAAACTCCGAAGGTCCGCGGACATCTAAGGAATCTGCAGGAATTGAGGCGAGATAAGGATATCCACTGTCACATGGCGTGCATAGCGGTCTTGGTGTTTCCGTTGGACGGGGCCGCAGACCAAGCCGACTGCAGACCAACTTAGTCTCCGATGCATGCCTAGAATGCCAAGGATGACCCGGTGGGATGCGCGTCGGCCAGTTGCTTGGCGGCAACTTTCTTCTTCTAAACCCCATCCGTAGGCAGGACTTGTGTCACTGTGGGTTCTAATGGAGGGGTTGGTGTACGACCCGCTGTGCATGATCCTCAATCCTTGTGGTAGCCAAGCGTCCCAGGGTCTCAAGACACAGCCTCCCGACAGGGCCATGCCGAAAAAACGATGGGGCCAAGAACGGACCGCAACAATAGCGAAAATCATTTTAAGGCAAATGAAACATTCAGCCCTCCATCTCAGCCTTGAGTACATCAATATCCAACTCTGCCATGACGCCAAGCACTACACCTAGACTCTCCATAAATCCATTGACAGAAACGCGCAGCATCCGATTGGTTGTCGCGATGTATGTTATCTTCAACACGGTTTTAGCTTCGTCTGGGTCCTGTTTTTGTTTCTTTTCCTGGGGTTGGTATGGTGCTTCGACCGCCGGAGTCCCGATGGTGAGAGTTCGTCGTACGAAAGGAGATAGTTCAGCGTCAACTTCCAAAGCGCGTAGAGCGCATGATGCAAGGCGATTGGTTGGGAGAGGTAGGGATATTGTGCTGAGTCAAAATGTGAGTATTGCTTGCCATTGTTTTGAAGCTAGTTTGGGGGTGGGGGGAGGGGGGCTTACAGTGAGTAAGGGAACTCGGGATTGGTTGGTTGTGTGAGAGCCATGATAAGCGTAATTGAGTTGGTAAAATAAAATAGGATTGTCCTTGTGAGGTCCAAAGGCGTCTTCCAAGTAACAGGGGTTAAATGGAGTTATTGGTATAGTGAGGATGATGATGATGATTGGGGGGGTAGAAATTGGCGATGGGAAAGTTCGGAGTCCAAGAGGAGGAATTCCGGGCCGGTGGGAAATTATATGGCTGACTCAGCCCCACGGCGATAGCCCAACAAGGCTAGAGGAGTCTTGACTTACCTACCTTGGCACATTTCGTGTACACAAGGTACACATTGCACGACAGTACGCGTTGATTCGCTACACAGCACTACAATATCACCTTTTGTGTTTTTTTGGGTGATGATCTCCCGGTCTGAAGAGCTTGGCAAACGAGGGTCTTTGTTCTTTGTGGAACGGTGCATTGGGCCAAGAGACGGATACCCCTCTGAAGATGGCGTGGCGAAGATCTCTCCCGTGAAAGGAGTGCAAATGCATTGCAACATTTTACAATATGCAGTCATCTTGCCAAGATACTCAGATTGATTAAATTTCTCTGAGAAGCAAGCCCTCAGGATCAAACGTTGTGGGTCGAGTTCTCCATCCCTAGCCTATCCCAATCAACCTGGGAAAAGCCCAATGTAAACATGTATTATCTAGATCTTGGCTCTCCGTCCGGAGATATATGTATGCAACGCTATTGTGGCTCTTGATTGATGGGAATAATCTGAACACCTGCCCCCACGACTTAGCGCTGTTAATCTTGTGTTAATCTTGCGCAATTGGTCTTCTTCTTCATGGACTCACTCAGCTGAGGTCATCTAGGATCAGTACGACGCGAAGGAAGATAAGCCATCTGAACGTCTTGGCAGATGATGGAATGTTACATCCCCAAGAAACCGAGCCTTTTGCCTTGGTGAGATGCCGTTGTCCTCTACGGGAAGGCAGACGTTTCTCCTCTGGGACTGGTGTCTCTGCATGTAGCAAAACTCACTTGCGGGGTATAGAACTGGGAAATATAAAGAGCAGCGTTGTCCTTCGACTGTAGTACAAGAATCCAACTGTCCAAACAAAAAGACATTTCCTTTACCAAAGTTCAAACATGACTATCACAATCACTGTCGAGAAGGATGGATACTACGAGGTCAACGGGACTCGGCAGGAGCCTACCGTCTCTCTCTATGTAATTCCTGCAGCTTCCAAGTTGCGCCGCATGCTGAAGGACACCAAAGAGCTCATCGTGTGTCCTGGTGTGTATGATGGCCTCTCTGCTCGCATTGCCATGCAGGTTGGTTTCAAGGGACTGTACATGGTAAGAACTCTGAACTCTAATACCACCTCACTGTATGCTAACCATAACTCACAGACCGGTGCTGGCACTACCGCATCACGCCTGGGAATGGCTGATTTGGGCCTGGCCCAGCTTCATGACATGAAGACCAACGCTGAAATGATCGCAAACTTGGATCCCTTTGGACCTCCATTGATTGCAGACATGGATACTGGCTATGGTGGTTAGTGATCCAGACCCTTATCGCTTGTTTGAAAAGGAGTCTAACTTTCCTCAAGGCCCTTTGATGGTGTCAAAGTCTGTACAGCAATACATCCAGGCGGGCGTGGCTGGCTTCCACATTGAAGATCAGATCCAAAACAAGCGTTGTGGTCACCTCAATGGCAAGAAAGTCGTTGGCCTGGAGGAATACCTCATGCGAATCCGTGCCGCAAAGCTGACCAAGGATCGCTTGCACTCGGATATTGTTCTCATTGCACGAACTGACGCACTCCAGCAACATGGCTACGAGGATTGTATCCGTCGGCTAAAGGCTGCCAGAGATATTGGAGCTGATGTTGGACTACTTGAGGGCTTTACTTCAAAAGAGCAAGCCCGCCAAGCAGTCCAGGATCTGGCACCTTGGCCGCTTCTTCTCAACATGGTCGAGAATGGAGCCAGTCCTCTCATTACCACAAAGGAAGCCGAGGAAATGGGCTTCAGAATCATGATCTTTTCATTCGCCACGATTACCCCTGCTTACATGGGCATCAAGGCTACTTTGGAGCGCCTCAAGGCAGATGGAGTAGTCGGTGTACCTGAGGGACTAGGACCACGAACGATCTTCGAGGTCTGTGGTTTGATGGATTCTATGAAGGTCGACGCGGAATCCGGGAATGACGGTTTTGCTGAGGGAGTCTAAGTATTTAGGTAGTAACTAGTGTAACTAGTATTGATATATGCATATTTTTGTATTGGACAAGCAACGGAGTTTCTATAGCTAGATATTCAAATTGGAAGCAACGGTCGCAATCTACAATTTCTCCGAGTAAGCCATCGTTTAAAGCTCATCCAAGTCTTGGTCATCTTCGTGGAATTCCACTTCATCGCTCATTTCAACCGAAGGGGTCACCGGGGGAATCTTTTTCACAATCTCCTTTTCAACAACAGACCATTCGCCATTTTGAACAATTTTGTATAAACCAGGCCACAAGCTAGCCTGGACGAATCCATCCGAGGTATCTTCCTCTGCGAGCGTGCGCATTTTCTCATCGTGGAACGGTAATCCGTATTGGTAACTGCCCCAAAAGATGTATCTGTCTTCCTGACAATCCAATTTATGTTTGAACGTGATGCAGCGCGTAATGATGCTATGTAGCTGTTGCATTCGTTTAGGTCTGTCGGTGACAGCGTAACGACCGAAGCAAGCTTCTACCTTCTCGATGATCCAGTTGCACTGTTCCTGTAAAGCGGGGGCCTCCAATGATAAAATGGCAGAGCTCATCGCACATCTCCAGTGCCGGGAAATGTGATTGGAAACTTCTGTTGTTAGAAAGCAGTGAGAATAGTGGTCGTTTTCAGGGCACTTACATTGTTTATCTATTTCGGAGTCGATCTTGCGAAGATAATTACTCCAAAGGTGATCCGATCCAACCATAAATCGGTTCCAAAAAAACCAATAAATTAGCCTGGCAATGTCCGTCTGAATAATATCCAATGTCCAGATATCAAGGGTATCTGGTCTTGGCGTGGCATGGTTTTCTTGTTGAGGTTTTGGCTTTGCCGCGAAATGAGTAAACCTCCACTGTGTAAGATCCTGATAGAGTAGATACATCTCTCGCTTAGCTTCTTCGTCGGAGAAAGTTTCAATCCCAGCTTGTAGGCTTGCTATCTTGGTCATGAGGATTCGGTTCTCTTTTCTGGCTACTTTTGCTTCCTTCATGGCATTTTCGAGAAGTTCGCCTCGTTGACGAGCCTGCTCCTCCGCGAGTAACTGCCCCCTCTGAAGGAACCCTACTTTTTTTTCTGCGATTTTGATTTGCTGGTTTGTTCGTTAAATAACATCAAGTGTAGTAGAGGACCTTCACCACAAACCTGTTGAAGCCGTTCAACCTTGTCACACATGGCCTTATGATCTTCACAGGCTAATGGATTTAGTGAATCCCATGTAGGCCATGGTGGAAAAAATGAACCAACAGTAACCTGCCCCCCTGTAGAGGATGAATTTGGGGAAGTTTCAGTACTCGAAATTTCAGTACTCTTGTCCGCCTGTTCAGGCTCAGGTTGCTCTTGAGGACACATTGCGTATAGATAGTTGAACGATGGGAAGTTTGAAATCCAATTTCTTCATGACACATTCTATAAATCGATGACAACACGATTACCCGATATGGTAGGAGTATGTCTCGCGCCGACGCCCCTTGAGGATAAGCGCAGGAGTCGATGATATCAAACTTGCGAAACAGCGAATATTTTATTGAAAAACTATCATCCACCCCCCGTAGCTTTTTTTTTCACTTCATCTACTTTCCAAGACTCGTTAATAAAGACACAAGGGGTACAAATTCAACATGACAACCATGCAGGAGCGACCAAAACTCATAGTGGGTGTTGACTTCGGAACAACCTTCAGCGGGTAAGTATGCCTGGATATGGTATGTTGATAGTAGTGATGGAGTAGTTAGCTGACTTTTGCAGCGTTGCCTGGGGATTGGAAGACTGCCCTGATGATATTGAGCTCATTCAGACATGGCCAGGTTGTGGCAACAGTGAGTATAGAAGACACCAGGCGAGTTCATCCAACTGACTGTTTAATAGTTACAAGCCAGAAAGTTCCGACTCTATGTTCCTATGACGGCAAGAACATTAAATGGGGTTATCAAACTGACCAGTCGATCCATCCGGGCAAGGAGCAGCGCCTCATCCAAGGAGTTAAGCTTTTGCTAGATGAAAGCCAGGAATTCCGCTACGCACCTGCTGCTAAATCTCAAGAGATTATCAAAGACCTGAAGAAAACGCCGATGGAGGTGGCTGGTGACTACTTGGGAAAATTAGTCGCCCACGCCCAGGATGTCTTGAAACGCCGCTTTAGTACTGCGTTGCAAACCATGGACTTGGAATATGTCCTCACTGTCCCCGCTGTATGGTCTGACAAAGCCAAAGATCTTACTTTGCAGGCGGCACACCGAGCCGGTATATCTCCTGGAAGTTTGGGACTCTTGTCTGAGCCGGAGGCAGCTGCGGTGTGTGCAATTCAGACGATTCAACCAAATACAATCTCGGTATGTATCTCATCCCACAAGGAGTTGGAGTTGAATAATCTCATAAATTATAGGAAGGAGACTGCTTAGTTGTCTGTGATGCTGGGGGTGGAACGGTGGTAAGTCTTTCTTATATGAATCTGATTGGACAAAGTTAAGTCATATAATAGGACATCATTACCTATCGCGTCAAGGAAACCGACCCTCTAAGATTTGAGGAAGCCACGGAAGGAACTGGTATTTATCAAAGACTGATGGCTTATACTCTTGCTTCTCTCTGACAAATTCTAGGTGCTGTTTGTGGCTCAGTGATGTTGGACGAGAGATTTGACGCACTTATCAAAGACATCATTGAAAAACAGTCACACCAACCGATCCCCCAGTCTACTATCAGGGCTGCAAGAAAGTACTGGCAAGACTACATCAAGCCTGGCTACACAGGTCCTCTCGACGACGATGAGATGTGTGAGCCAGGATATTGGATCCCAGTTCCTGGGGTTTCGGGGATCTCAAACGTCGACCTTAGCGAGGGGCACTTATATCTGGACAGGTACGTATAAAAATACCCTTACTTCATCACCTCAATGGGCCACTTTAATCCAGATGCAGGGACCAAGTGAAAGGAATCTTCGATCCTATCGTCGAGCAGATCGAGGATCTTGTCACCGAGCAGAGAATGAGCGTGAAGGAAGCAGGGTTTTCAACCAAGGTAAAACCCTAAAACACTTTCAAAAGAAACTCGATTAATTCCAATTAGGCTATTATTCTGGTCGGGGGTCTTGGAGCCTCGGAGTATCTCTTTAAACGCCTACAGGCTGATTCCGATGGTATCCAAGTCATGCAGCCCCCAAACGCGTAAGTCCTCGACTTCTTGCTAACTCAACCTAATACTAATATAATAATAGGTGGTCTGCCGTTGCTCGGTGTGTATTCAAGTCATTCTTAACACCTGCTTTGTACTAACAGGACTAGGGGTGCTGTTATCCGTGGCCAGGAAGGCAACCAAGTAGAGAGTCGCATTGCCAGATGCAGTTATGGCGTTGATACGAGAAACTGGTTTGATTCCACAAAGCATCGCGCAGATGAAAACCTCGTATGGTGTCCTTATGAAGAGGCATGGAAGGTGGACAATCGTATGAAATGGTATATCCGCAAAGTGAGTAACCTCCGGTGGTCCTGAACATTCCTTGGAGGCTTTGAGTGCTTACTTGAGGGACTTTGAGGGAACCCCCATGGCCGAGAGTAAGCCAATAAGGATGAACTTCTACCACGCGGTCGGCGTTGGCGGATCTTTTGTATTTGAGTCAAGGTTGTGGTTTTGCCAGGTGGACACACCTCCCAAAGAGAGGGATTCCAGTATGCCCCCGTGTCGCCAATATATAAGACGCAATTTACTGACTTGAACAGGTGTCGCAAAACTGTGTGTGCTGGAAACAGATCTGAGCAGAATCCCGAAACAGCTATTTGAAAAGAAGAGGAACTCCAAAGGGCAAGAATTTTACCACGTCAAGTTCGAGTTGGTTTTAACGCCAACCTCTGCATCACTGTTGTTTGATCTACAATTCAATGGTGTATCCTATGGGAGCGTGAGATCTCGCTATTGAACTCTACTACGGCGAACCAGGAAAAGTATGTTTTGAGATGGCTAATTTGAAAGGGACCTTTTGCCTATAATGGGTGTGCTTGTGCCTTTACAGGCTCGATCGCTTGCTTGATCGCTTGGAAATGGCTTTATGATACAGTTGAGAAGACAGAGATAGCTAGCAATACGAACCTGATATTGCTTTTCCTTGTAATGAAGTATATAAGACAAGGTGTTCTAGCTAGTTTCACACAATCTACCCAGGTAGCATGGTGTATCGAACGGGATTAGAGAAAGCCTAGGCCTACAGGCTGCTATTCAATTACAACCATCCCTGCTACCCTGGAAAACAGCCAAATGCCGCAACCCCGAGCCTTCCAAAACGTCCAACGGCGCCACAAAGGCCATCTGACCCCATGAGAAAGCCTGATTCTTGCCGCCGTAGATAAAGACCTCAAAGCGGCCGACAAAGACTCCATCCACCCACACACGACTCCCATAGATCTCCTCCGTGGAGATAGTGACCTGTGATTTGCGGGGGATCGTCACAACCTTGTGGCTCGAGGTGGTCTTGTTAGCCCAAATTCGTCCTGGCTGGTCTTGGTCGAAGCCATCGGCCTCAGCAACAGATCGAAGTGGGTATGGCCATCCATCGGAAACAAAAGTCAATTCACCGTCTGATGACAACGTAAGTGTCGCATCGGGGGACTGTAAAGAGAAAGGACCCGTGATGTCTAATTGGAGGGTATAACCCATGCCCTTGCTCCCATAGCCTAAATTATATTCATCCTGGTTGGAATTTGTTGTTGGCCTTGTCCAGGAAAGCAAAAGTCCCGATCCATGACTCCGTTCTCCTGGAAGGCGTCGGTCAAGATTTTGTCCCACGGCTTGAGATGATAATTTTGCAATAGATTTGTCCAAAGTTTCTTCGTGTAGGCGAGATCCATGCGCACCACACCAAGCTTGTGAAGCCACGACCGGGATGCCATTGCGAATTGCATAGTAGGCTTCCAGTTGAGTAGTAGCGTCCGGACCGCTGTCATTCCAGGCAGCCAAAAGAGCACCTGGTACAGCTTGGGCATCTGGTTGTTCGGTCGTGTTCACCGGATTGAAGAGCTCTGGTGTCCACTGCCATCCGTCCTGATCGGCAAAGTTGAGAACGCGGGCATTGTTGAAGAACTGCGGATAGGGGGCTGGGGTGATAGGCACATGGTCACTTTTCAGCGACATATAGGCCCACCAATCTTCTGAGTTGATAACTTTGTAGCCATTGCGGGCTAGATCAACTGGGTCTGATTGTCCATACTGCCAGTGTTGAATTGTCACGTTCTTATCAATGGTAATATTCGATGGCTCGTATGTTCCCCAGATACGAACACTTTTGCCAGATGTCTCGTGCACGAAACGGGACATTTCGTTCACAAACTCAACATAGTCGTCCGCAAAGTTAGGATCATATTCATCGGCGCCGATGTGCACCTCCTTTGTGTGGAACCAAGGAAGGAACTCAGCCCAAATGGACTTCATCAAAGGAACAGTGTCCGGATGCGAGAGATTGAGGAGATCCTTGGAGTCCAATGCAAGCTCAGGTCTCCATTTCGTAACCGTGAGACAGTGCCCAGGGCTTTCAATCTCCGGCATCACTGTAACACCTCGCTGAGCACAGTGGTGCTGGAAGTCATCAAACTCAGCCCGGGACAGCGTTTCATTGGCACGCTGGACAAGAGGGTAAAGAGCCTCAGTTTCAGGGTGCAACGAAAACTGCGAGTAGACCTCGCCCCAGGTCTCGTTCTGACCGCGACTCAGTGGGTAGTTGTCAGTCGCATGGTACTGGAACTCGGACATTTTGAAGAACGAGGCATAGGTGCACAAATCCTTCAAGAACTCCAGGGAATACCATTTGCGACCAGCGTCTAGTAGAAATCCACGAGTCGCATAGGCCGGGGCATCTTCCACGCGACCGGGTGGTAGGGATGAGCGTGTCAAAACGAGCTGCTGGAGGAACGTTCGCGTCCCCCACCACATACCTCGCGCGCCGGAGCCTCGAATAAACACACTGCCCTCTTGGATCTCCAGTTCATATCCCTCCTCGGTCTCGCGTCCATCTTGGTAGGTGAACCGCTCCGGATTATTTACGCGACCGAGGAATATTCCCGACGCGTGTTTGGGAAATTGCTTGACCGTGCGAAGCTCCCAGGAACTATTCGTCAGCTCCTGTAAGTCGTCGCGAAATGTGTTGGCGAATTCGGATGCCGATGGTGGAAGCAGCGTCAATCCATGCTGATCCTTTTGGCTAGCGAAATCGGCATCCAGGTAGATTGTCCGATCGGTGGTTGCTACTGAGAAGCCTGCGTTGTGGCTTAAACTAGTGTTAACGAAGTGCACCGGGGGAAGGATCTGCAGCGCTGACGCGACTGCAGCGAGGGAGAGGACAATCCACTTCATATCTGGACATTGTGATGTTGGCTGCGATGTGAACTGACCCTTTTATGCAAAGCAAGGGGTTGTATCAAGTGGCAGCGTTACATTCTTCATTCATTGTACAGGGATGTGGGGGTTTGCGGGGAAATGTGAAGTTCATATCGGCACAGTACTTCCTAGAGATGAAAAGGTTGCATTAACAGACTGAACTAATTTACTTTGTTGTATGTTTTGCTTACTTGCTGGAACGTGAAGCCTCGCCTCATCGAACCCCGCAAGTCGAGGCCAACGAGCTGTCACCCGCAGAATATCAATGGACATGATGTGGGGACTTCGTATTTCATGCAGATCATTGCTGTTTCTCGCTTTTCATAGGAATGGGGTGTCTTTATGAATGTGGTCTATATCTCTTTGGGCTATTTTATATCTCCGTTGTTTTGCTTTTTCTCCGGGCAACTGGTTGGAAGAAAACCAGTTGCGATACGGTTGATGAGGAATACTATAGATGTAAGTGAATATGCACCCAATAAGAAGTGCCGCGATACCATCTGCTCAAGATTCTGGCATATCCGGGTTTACTATAGCCGCTTGAACATGCACAGGGAGGACAAAGGTATTTCCCAGTCCTGCCCAGTGAAGGGCATCAAGTCTTGCAAGTCCGAGTTTCACAAGTGGGAAGCTTTGGCTTTGGCATCGCAGAACCTGTAGCCACGAGTCTACTAAATGCTTTCCCCGTATTGCATGTGCCACATTCGGTGCCTGTACCAGTAGCAACATGAGGTAATTTGAAATTGTAGCGAAGCCGATTCGTGTCCCTATAATGTTAGATGTTAGTATCTAGTCAGATGGGATAGTGGAAGTCAAGGGGAGAGAGAAGCTTACATGAATACCAGAATGCCGTGAAATCACTAGACGTCAGTCGTCTCGCAAAGTTCACCAATATGGAGGCACACTTCTCTGCCGCTTGTAGAGTGGCATCGCCAGTGCCAAACTCATCCGAGATAGATATTTCCGGTAATGATTCTATTTCCGGGAGATCCATGAAATTTAACATCGACTCATCTACGGGCAATGGTGACGTGGCAGACAGATCTTCCAAGTCAAAAATAAGTGGCGGTTCGGATGATCGCGCCATCGGTCTGAGCATCGCACGGTAAACATAGACCACGAGCAACAGGTAAGCAAAATGGATCGAGGTGGGGTACGGGGCAAGGCCATTAACGGATTTGCTCCAATTGGGAAGTCGAAAAGTCTCTGGGAGAGACGAATACCAGCCATTCAATTTCTCAAGTAGCCCGCGGCCTAGCTCGGCCGAGGCGATGAAGTTTGCGTTCAAGAATTGGGAGGCCCGGAGCGTGCTACATATTAGGGTTAGCAAGATTGAATCTTGGGGGCGAACGATCAAGGGGTTTTACTGAGAGTCAGAACTTACTAGAATGTGTCATGGATCTCTTCGCCGATTCGTGTGAGATTGACGAGGTATCGAAATGGGATCTCGGTATCACAGGAACTAGTTGAGAACCCTTGACGTGGACCCACTAAAAAGTCCCCTTCATCCAATTCACTCACGTCCCACTCTGCGGGATGGATATATGGTGGACGTCCCATCAGCAAACTGCGCCATTTGTCCTCGGCATACACGGCCCACCACAACCGCCGGCGGAGGCGCTTTTCCCATGCCGGAATGCCCCACATGCGGCATTCGATATGAAGGCCGAGGGAACAGGCCAACCCAACGATTTGGCCGACGAAGGACCACAGAAACGGGGTATCGGCGGTCGTGAGGCGGGTCTCATCTTTTGGTTGTTGGTGTATATATAACAGGGCTGCTTGCAGCACGGCCAGACGGGGACTATGGATCTCTTCGGTCACTAGTTCATAGACCATCCGCCACAATGTGTCAACAGGTGACGCATTATACGTGCTCAGCACACAGAGATAGTCATCGTGGGCGACAAATGGAAATGCCGATGCGTATATGGCCGCGAGGAGGTGCACGGACACCTTTTCTAATGCCGACAGCTCTGGTAGCTGATATGTCGCCGCAGTCAACCCTAGTTGGGAACGGGAAATGATTGGCAGGGCAGGGAAGACATACTTGACAAACCTGACCTTCTGTTAGTTCAATGTTGCTTCTGTCTTATATGGAGGGGTAATACTCACAAAGCTACCAACCTCCTTCCATACTCAGGGGGTACTAGATAGTTCAGGCGTTCCCGTGTCGCTTCACCGACGCCGGCCCTAGTTTCATGCTTAATGGAGGTAGTAAGCTCTCCAGATGAAATCATGAAGTGTATTGGAATTCTCTGTGCCGTAGGGACGCCCCCGGCGTTGCGAAAGTGTACTTTGTAGAAATATTTCATGCCAGAATCGTCAAAGCAACAGTGCCTTAACAGCCAAGGGTCTGATTCCGCCGATGCGCCGAAAAGTTGGGCATGACCGTGTTCCAGTTGATCAATGCTCTGCACGAATTGTGTCGGGGGTCTTCCGGGGCCTAGAACACCGGAGCCTGGGGATACCCCAGTATTGCTCGGATCGAGGCCGATGGGTGGGAATCGTGGATCGACGCTTTGTGTTCCACTCCCTGCCCAACTAGACTCGCGGGTGAAATTGTTGTCGCATGGTTGCGAGACAAGTGTGTTCCCATCAACACTTTGGGCGACGAAGGGCGAAAAGCTTTCGGCGCCTCGGGCTCTTTTTGGTGGAGGATTATCAAAGGTACAGTCCAGTTTGGCCGATCGGCATCGTTGACAGGGGCCTCCGCCGTCAGTTTGACAACCCAGCTTGCGGGCACGGCATTGATCACATGGGCGCTGACGTTTTGACCGATATGGCCGAGCAGAAAGGGGAGAAGACATGACTTGTTTCAGATGATCGGCGAACGCAAGGAATGCAGGCTAATGCACATTTATCAGGTCATTCCAGTGAAGAAATTGTTCGGCGAAGAAAGAATAGTGGGTGGCCGAGATGCGTGGCCGAGAATGAGTGGCGAGATGACTGGCCGAAGTCAGAGGTAAGAAAAGTTCCACACTACAACAGTAGGCAGAGCGAAACAATTCCCGAGGTCATCCCCAAAGATGCGAAAGATCCCAGGCAGCCGACCGTAGAGTGATGACATCATCTGCCGGTCTCGGTTCGCCGACCGGCGACCCCGGCCGGCGAACACACAGTTGTGACAGTCTAATGGCCACTTCGGCATACATTCAACGGCCAACATCAAATTCTTTGATATTCTTTCGATGCAAATTTTTACGAATAATAGATATAAAGGGCCTGGGTATCCTGGCTGTGAATATCTATCTCAATTAAAACAAATATATCCAAACATAGAAGACATTGTTCAACTATCTTAAAACCAATTATCTTAAAAACCAAATCTCATACCTCCACTTCCGAAGTATCAAGTACCATAACCTCACAATGCCTCAAAGCAGCGGATTGAGCCGATACGGTCACTTCAAGGCTATTTTCTCTGGACACTCGACTCAGGAGTCCAAGATCAAGAGTGATACAACATCCGAAACTACACTGGTCTCACGGTATGACTACCCCCCAACAATGCATATCAGAATAGAGAATATCAGAATGCTAACTCATTCTAGACAGATACAACCAACCGGATATGATCAGCGTGGCCTCCCCCAGAATTACAATGGTGAGTACCCCAATCCTAATGCAATGATATGTAACATCAGCTAATAAACATTATCCAGCTGCCGACATGTGCTTCGGCTCTTGCTGCAGAAACTGATACTTATGCATCCAATCATCTCAGTGACTGGTCACTGCAATCATTACATCCAACCTCAACCTCCTTCGAACCAGGAAGTTCTAAAAGCATTGAATCCCTTGTTATATAGAAACTTTATAATTTATAATTTATCAATGTAATGTTATTTTTTCCAGTTTTCCTCTCTGTGAATATGCCAAGTTGAGTTATGTGAGTTAAGAGTTAGGTTAGATACTATGAGCGTAGAATATGGATGTAGGGATATGTACGGAGTAGGGGGGCTCATCATGCGCGGCAGATTGTAGGTTGGCCTTCTTTCACCCTTATTCTCTTATTCTGGTAGAAAAGGCTTTCACAAGCAGCTTCTGCTAGATACTATCTAGTTATGATTTTGACAAACTAGGGAAGTGTGATATAAATCCCCATCAAACCGTTTTCTCCGCACGGTAAACCTAGAGCGGGGTAAGAGAAAATGCATAAAATAGGATACTTGTTTGGACTTTTCATATTTGCCGTAGTACCATCGATTGAACTGTATAAATCGTGTTTTATCCTGCAACTGTATCTGATCTGCTAATGAAGCCCCTAACAGCCTTGATTCCCGATGAAAATGGCTGATCATGCTCTTCCACTCAAGCGACCCGAGTACCGAGCTAAACATATGAGGGGTTTGGTTCAAAGCCGCGGAGACTCAAAATACATCACCTATCGAGATTAAAATTGTCTACTTCCTCAAGCTATCTCATAATAGCACAATAGACCCTGAAGATCTTATATTCGACATTTATAGCTAGGCACAGTATGATCTTTGAACCGGCAGAGAGGATCCTGCTTCCAACAAAGGACCTGTTGTCCTACATTTTCGACGAGCCACCATATGATCAAAACAACCCAGTGAGTAACAATCCATATCTCAACATTATCATTATCCGGCCACCGAACTGACCTTGGTAGATATACATTGACGTCCAAAATCCCACCAGGTCGATATCTTGTAACCAGGCGCGAAAGCTCGTTCGTCAGCTCATCGCTGGCCTGCGGGCATCTGGTATCCAAAAAGGCGATTGTGTTCTCATCCATTCCTTCAATGATGTAAGGGGGTTCCACTATGCAGTTAGATGAGGCTGCGGGAGGCTGACTTATTCCAGATAAGTTATAGCATTCTTGTGCTGGCCATCATCGGAGCTGGGGGATGTTTCACAGGATCAAATCCATCTTACACTCCATATGAGCTCGTTCACCATATCAGGGCCTCCGAAAGCAAGTTCCTTTTCTCCGAGCCCGAGATCTTGGACTCTCTCATGAGTGCAGTTGGAGAGACAAATATACCAAAACAAAATGTGTGGGTTTTTGACAACCTGGGGCAAGCCATTCCGGATGGAATACAATCATGGAAACAGTTACTAGAAGTCGGCGAGGAGGATTGGGTGCGATTCAACGATCTAGAAACTTGCCAACAGACTACAGCGGCGAGGCTGTTTAGCAGTGGCACCACTGGTCTCCCCAAAGCCGTCACAATAACACACCATAATCTTATTGGACAGCATGAGCTTGTTCATGGCGTGAATCCGCGTTCTTACCCTGTCAGTCCATTCCCGATATCAGCTTGGAAAGAGCTTGGCAAATGAGTGCACTGGTATCACTAACCCCTGACATACTCGAATAGATCTCACGGGTCATCGCGGTACCCATTTTTCATGCATCTGTAGCTCCAATCTCACATATTTCAACGCTGAAAGCCGGCTCAGTCACATACATGATGCGTCGGTTCGACCTCGAGACATACCTCACTACAGTTGAAAAGTACAACGTCACCGATCTTGCTATGGTTCCACCAATCGTAATAGCAATCCTCATGTCCCCTCTTTCTCAAAAGAGACCTTATCTGCGAAACGCCCGAAGGGCAGGCTGTGGAGCGGCTCCATTGGATAAGAATGTCCAAGCCAGGTTCCGCTCGCTGATGGGCGACAACGCTCCATTCACCCAGGTATGGGGCATGACTGAAACAACCTGTGTGGCTACCATGTTTCCCCATCCTGAACATGATGATACGGGATCTGTCGGCCGGCTTATCCCAAACCTCGAAGCTAAGTGTGTTTTGTCAAATTCCCCTGCCAAATGTGTAGCATCGTGTCGAATCTGCGACTAATAAGCCTTCTACTCAGACTCATCGACGAAGACGGGAAGAATATCTCGGCATTTGGCGTCCGTGGCGAGTTGTGTGTCCGAGGCCCGACAGTGACACCCGGGTACTTCAACAACCCCGAGGCTAATGCCGAGTCCTTTGACTCTGACGGTTGGTTCAAAACGGGCGATGTAGCCTATTGTGACCAGCGTACTCGCAAATGGTATATTGTGGATCGCAGGAAGGAACTGATCAAAGTCCGCGGCTTCCAGGTGGCCCCACCGGAGCTCGAGGCAGTGCTCTTGTCGCATTCGCAGATTGTGGATGCAGCGGTGATTGGAATCACATTCCCTGGTGCTGATATCGAGTATCCGCGCGCCTATGTGGTTCGAAGGCCCGGCGATTCAGGGTCCAAACTAACGGAGGCTGACATTCAAGAGTATATTTTGAGCCGCCTTGCGAAATACAAAGCACTCACAGGTGGTGTGAAATTTGTCGGCGCAATCGCACGGAACCCAAGTGGAAAGATATTGAAGAGGGTATTGCGTGAAGATGCTAAGAAAGAAATTGAAGCTGGCCTCCTCAAAGCTAAGCTTTAACCTCACTTTATGGGTAGGATAACTCGGTAGCCAGACGTTTTTAATACCTGTTTTTTATGTCAATCAATGATTTACACAAACCTTTCAGTGAAAATAATTCCGACTGATGGATGGATGGTAACCTCGGGATGTCTCTTGTAGGATTTTGATGTTACAATTTCTGGGTAAAGGAAAGGGGGCACGAAAGAGATATACTGGGAGCATTCAAATGTTAGGAAGCACTATGGCAGCCGGAATAGCACTAAGAGAAAAAGCGCAAAGTAAAAAGTCATCGCCCGGAGGCACACTCGAGCTGAGGGTCCCAAACAAGCGGTGCACCAATTGTCGCCGACGACAACCGCTTGGCCAATTGCCAATCCAAACATTTACATGGAGCAGTGAAATACATCATATGAAATGAGGGCAGTCATAAAACCATAATTTGAATTTACCGTTTGAGCACAACAACCATCTCTTTCGCCTGTGAGACACTATCCTGCCGATATCATCTCCACCTAGACAGTCATATGCTGAGAGTTAGTGCTGTGAGACTCATAATAGAAGGATAAGAATGACTCACGAAGGAAAGGATAGACCACCTGAATAACAGGATGTGGAACCATAAAAAGGAACCTTGAAAACAAATGTCCTCAGAAAATTCTTCGGACAACAGAGAGCTATCTCTGGTATAAAGGTTCCAAAAATTATTGTCGAAGGAGATGAGAACAGAGCCCCTTCCTAGTAATTTGGTTCGGCTCCTGGCGGACAACGGGAGCACCCAAGCTAGTACAGTCTGTTTCCGCAGCGGTGCATAGGAGTGTCTCGACCGAAGCCCATTCCCGTTGCCTCCCAGACATGCTTCGTGCCATTCGCAGCCTAGCGAGGGCCGCCTACAGAGACCCGCCAGAGTCATCAGGATAAACCTATCACTTGACAACAGCATCAATATGTTGAATAGAGACCTGAAGCCAGAACCAAATATAGGTCAAAAAATTGAAGGATACTCAACAGGAACCACGATGTGCAATGTGGACCCGGAGTGGTGTGGAGAAAGAAAAAGAAGAAAAGGAGAAAAGGAGGAAGTGGAAGGGGGAGGGGGTATTTATACCTTCCCAGTGGCTTAGTGCAAACAGGGAAACTGCGGTAGGTGACAAGCCCAAATAGGAAGGAACTGGTGCCGCGATCGCAAAGTGCGCTGCGATGCAACAAGACTTGGGTCTACATGTACCCGGTGCCGACGAGACAGTCGCAGACAATGTGTTCTTCGTGACAAGAATCTAAGAAGTAAAACTACAATCGAAAATTTACATGGAGTAGTCATTTACTGAGCTCTATCAGGTCGCCGAGGTCGGCAAACCCTGTGCTTCCCTCGGATCAAAGCTCAGGATCAAACAACGTGATTACTGACCGGCATTGCGACGACCTGCGTCAGTCAAATGATCATGCGACTCTTATCTCGCAGCTACGCGCACATGGTCTTATTTTGGATGACCGTGGCACAAGCTCACCCCAATCCCCCGATGTTCCGTATACCGAATACGCCTTCGTCGAGTCGCAGCAATTGATATCGCTCCCTTCCGAAGATGTAACACTTCTAGCGGAAAAGCTGTTTGAGCTTGCCAACCTTCAATGCAATCGACGAGTTTGCTCAGAAGTACTTCAAGCATATTCACCCATCGGTACCTGGGCTGAGTTATGGCGCATTTACCGAAACGATCAATCTGCCGGTCCCAAAATATCTCCTTTTGTGTTGCAATCGTTGCTTTTAGCAAGCTGCCCAGTCAGTGCCATGTCATGTTGTCACTCCAGTAACTCCTGCCCTTGGACTAAACAGTGATAGTTTGTTTCTTTATAAACATTGCGTCGATGTGGATGGGACGACATGAGAGATGCACAACAGCAGCTGTACAACAGATCCAATGTAGGCATCCCCAAATTCAGTGTCATATTTGTCGTGAGTGGGTATTGACTGCGCCGGGTCCAGCTATTGTTCGAACTGAGAACTGAGCAACGGCTTCATGCAAATGCGCAAGGCGCCGTTCTTCTTACGCATTATACCTCTGTGGAAGACCCCCAGGCTGGAAGCTTGTGGGTCACAAGGGCGATCGAGCACGCCATGCTCATTGATAGTCATCCATCCTTGGTGATGGGTAATGTGGCAATATCGCTCAAGAACCGACTTTGGTGGTCTATCCTTCTTCGTGACCAAAGCCTGTGTATTGGCCTACGCCACCGTCCTCGAGTGACCTCAATTGGCTTCCATGGATGCAGTGATTGGCTGAGTACAGATGATTTCAGTGAAGAGTTGCACCAGTCTCGAGTCTACGACTATGATACCAAGAAACGTTTACTAGACGAACTCCAGAAGCAATGTGAGTTAGCAGTTATACTCACAGATCTGGACATCTGAGAGGAAATGTGGCTAACGTCATGAAAATGGCAACCTTGCCGATGCAAATTTCACTAGAAATAACCTCCAATCAATTAACATTTCGATGAAATTCGATATATAGAAAACCCCGAAATATATACTTTGGCTTGTGATGAACTATAAAATAAGTCTTTATATCACAACATTTGAAGACGTCTAAGCGGTATCTGTATTCAGTAAACACGACTTCCAAAGTTTCGTATTTGCACTTGGTTAATAAGTGTATCTGAAGCCAGACTTTTAGATTTCATTCATTAGCAAAATCACACAATCGACCGGGTATTGATAGAAACTCACCACACCTTCAAGGACCTTTAGTCCCCGCCCTTGCTGCCGATTGACAGTGTAAAAGTAAACTGCGAATGCACCCACGATTGCAATGAGAAGAAGGTGGGACCTAGCATGTTGTCAGCCACAGCCAAATGTTCAATAATCTCTAAAACCTACCCGACTGACACCCAAACTGCGGTCTGATAGTGCGGGGCTTCTTGCTGGCGGACAATAAAGCTGCCTGCCACACCCCCAAGTCCGTTGCATGCAGTGACTGCCGCAGCAGTGGCCACTCGTTTCCACTGGCCCACGATATTATTGGCCTGGAATGCATTGAGGGCAGCCCAGTTCGAGATATAAGCGCCGGTCGCCAGAAAGGTTCCGATGTAACGCACTGGCACCGAGTTGGACGAGGGAAGACCGAACATCAAGAACCCGGCTATGAGGACAAGAGCATTGAAGATGATCAGTGGCCCACGAACGCGGTAGAAATCTCCGACTAATGAGGTGAGAATCACCGGGATTACGGCATAATAGTAGGGCTAGCGAAGGTGTCAGAAAATGTGACACTTTCTAACCTAGGCCAAACTTACCGGTGTTGAGAGCAGAATTGATTTATTTGAACTGAAACCCATTCCGGATTGTAAGATGATGGGTAAGAAATATGACAAGGCTGTCGAGATGAGATTGAGCAAGAAGAACATGACCGCAAAGCCGTAGAGTTTCGGATCCTTGAAATTAGCAAGAAGCGTGCCCCAGGAAAACGGCTCGGGTATAACATCAGCTCGATCATCCTGAATTCGGTGTGTTGCGACGTGCGCTTCCTGGTCCGAAAGAAAGAAAAAGCTACGCTGGGCGTTCTCGGGGAAGTCGACCATCCACCAGTAGGTAACGATACCCAGGACACAAGTAATAAGACCCTAGACAATATACATCCAACGCCAACCCGCCAACCCGGCCACGCCATTTAAATGATTGAGACCGAAATTGACGATATTGCCAGTCGCCAGAATCACAACTTCCCCGGACTGCAGGAATGCAAATCGGAGTTGTTGCTCTCGTCGCGGGTACCAGGCGCTAACCAGGTAGGTCAAACCAGGGTAGATACCGGACATGGAAATACCGAGCAGCACACGCAGGACAATCATCTGCTGCCAGGTGCGAACGAAAGCAGTGCACAGTGTCAACAGGCCAAATGAGAATGTGATTGTGGCAAACCAGATGCGTGGACCGATAAATCGAACTGCCACTGTGCACGGCAGCTGGAAGACCACACTGGCGATTGTGAAAATAAAGATGGAGACGGAGTACCGATTCCCCTGGTTTAAATCAAGATCATCGAGCATAGTCGTTACCGAGGCTGAGGATAAAATGCCTGAGTCCAGCAAATTGAGACTGCATAAGAGCCCGCCGATGCTACAGAGACGGAGATCGACTTTCCATCGTACCCGCTTCTCTATGGCGGCCCACTCATCCCCCCGCTCTGGGTTGAGATTGCTTCGGCCATCTTCAAGAGGAGCCCGATCAAACATCAGACTGTCGGACTGTGCATTGGTCTCTTCTGTCACTGGCTCCGGGGTACGCGGTTTTTGGGCCGTTGATGTCAAAGTGAACGCGAACTGGCCCTTCTCTGAATCGACCATCTTGACTGTCTCAACGATCAGGCCAATTCCCAATTTCTGGACTCAGATGTGTGACAATTTGACTTGCTGATGCAATCTTTTCTTTTTTGGGTTTTTTTTTCGCAAGTTTTCCAGGATAAGAACGTGATAGAAGCCAGCTGAGTGGTGCGTCTCTTAGCGCGCACGTCGGACCTCGGATTATCAATCCAGATCTTTCAGCTTATTATCTTTTTTTTTTCATTGAAGTTTATAGGACTGATATAGCAAGTCAATTCACAGGTCAATTCCTCATAACTGTACTCAATACGGAGTAGACGCGTAAACAGTTCGAAGAATTCCTAGGAGCATGTGACAGGGCACATTCCAAATTCTCTTATGAAGTTTTACGAAAAATGCATATACTGGGACATTAATCCATTACTAAAATCCTAAGTCTACACTCCTTTCACCTAGGGTTCTAACACATTCCCTGTTGGATCATGTCTCAAAAAATGACTGTCTTGTCTCTCTTGGGATGCTTTAGTTGTAGCAGAAGAAAACATCCGATTTCGCCAGCACCTCAATGGAGCACAATAGTATCAGGGAGACAATGCAGGAGGATGTTATATTGAGTAGCACTACTCCGTACTCCATATGGGGTGTTTAGTTGTCCATCTTGATGTGAGGCTACTGCTTTTTGAGATATAGATCTTACGGGGTTAATTCCGCTTCTAACCCTTGGTTCATGAGGAAACACGAAGGTTCACGCGTAGTGCTTGGCACAATACCAGCATAGACAACCATCACAGTCAGATGGTCATCTTTACCCCAAGTCTCATTATTATCCCCCATTGACCCCCAAAAATTGGCCTTTGTGTCTTGTGAGCTTCTCTGACTAGTGTGAACAGTTCAATAGGCTACTCAGGAGAACTAACATGGTGAGTCGAGGCTGTAGGACATGCAGGGCACAGGGGTATGTTCCTTTTTGAATAATCACAGTTAGTTAGTGTACGCTTAACTATGTGAACTTGATTGAACTTGCTGATGTTCGGTCGCAGATCGGCGGATTCTCTGCGATCGGGCCGTCCCGGCATGCTCTCGATGTTCCCCGTCGAACCGTACCTGCAAAGATCACACACAGCTTTCGGTTGTCGTGGCCAAAGGTCAATGATAAGCGACGTGCTATGGTGGCACGCTCATCCATGCAACAGAGGAGCGTGAGGCCTCGTCTCTCTAATGCGCACCTAGTTAATATATCCACCTGGGACATCGAGATGCACCGCTGTCCCTTCGGTTTAGTATCGATCGCCAGCTTCTAGTTCCTCCAACGCAATCATATTCTAACTACTATGTAGTTACCTAAACTGGAGTCTGCCTATCAAGCCTTGCTCTTCTCTGAGTACAAGCCCTCGGTAGCTCCATTTACCATCCTCCTTTCCGCTTCCTCTTTTCTGCATTGCTCATAAGTATAACTAACTATGTAGTATACATAATTAACTATCTGCTAATAATGGGTCTTGTGGGTCTTGTGGTGTCTTGCCCATATTAATTTTTTTTTGAAGGGACTGAAGCCATGCTAGTTAACTATGTAGTTAGTAGGTTTTGTATATACGTAATTTTGGTACTCCGTACACGCCTAATACAGAAACAATTCCAAATTGGCCGGTGGCTGATTCTATTCCGAAGGTGTCTCGGGTCTGACAGATTATAACTGGAATGTGAGTGTGGAATGCGGGACTTCCAGAGTTGGGATGACAGACGGTAGATTTGTTTTATGAGATGTTCACGTTCAGGTTGATGCTGGGTAATATCCGAAAGAGCCAATAGGAAGAAGGATATTTAGATTAGAGCCTCTGCAGTCAGCGCAAGGGTTGGGCTGAAATAGGAAAACAAAAGCCAACAGAACTGATTATATACATATGCAAGCATGAAACTATAGAAAACATAAATTATCCCAATATCAAAAAATCCAAAGATCCCAAATATTCAGGCACAAAAAATATTTAGCCTTAGACCCGTTTGAACCATGGACCCAGTAAGCTTTACGGCCCGGTGATTGCTCTGTTTGTTGCCCCACGTTCGGTCGAATGGAGCCCGGAGGAGCTTGCAAAACACTGCCTTTCACATCCCCCCCACGATTTCTACTTTCCCTCTCCCCACATTCCATGTCTACAGCCATTATGGTCGAACTCATAAACCCACCGGAAACTCGCGAACTACTCCCTCCTCTCCTCGCATGCCTCCCATTAGCCTTCGTCTCGCCCCGCGCACCCCCGCTCTGTTACCACTTCTCTCCCCTATTCTACGCCAACGAGTCGGAGTTCTCAGTTCGCTAGCCACATCTTCCACTGAGTCATGGCTGCAGCTACTGTGCTGGGACGCAGGGAAAGCAGAGCGGCTACAGAGGGTCATTGACGGTGCCACATTTGAACCACACCCCGTATCGGGCGAAATCGAGCTTCCTGATGAACTTCCGGTTACATACAAACGGATCGACGATGAGACTCTCAAAGCACAAGTTCCACTCGACGAATACAGTTTGATAGTGGTCTATCTGTGGTGCCCGACAGACGAGGAGGGTGGTGGCCGTGGCTGGCGAGTCGCGGAACTTTTGCCACTTGAGGGACCTGCTAAGGATGACGATACCTGGGCTTCTTCCATCGGTGAGGCCAATGTTCAGGCAAAGGATCAGCTCCTGGCTCGGACAATGAAGGCTGCCGAGGAGGAGAAAGTCCAGGAGAACAGCATGGAGAACGACGACGACGACGATGATGATTACTGGGCTCAGTACGACTCCACACCCGGAGCTAAGACCCCCGCACCGCATGCTGGTTCATCAAAGCAGGGTCCATCTGGCTTATCTGAGCAGTCATATTTCTCGCAGTACGGCGATGTGCAGCCGGCTATGGATAATCATGATCCCACGGAGGAGCAACCTGAGGTTGGTCCCTCATCGCTCAACGGAGATATGCTGGCCAATCTCCTGCGACGACAGGTGAATGGAGACAATCCAGACGAGCCCCGCACCAATGGATATTCTCCAGACCATCTCCCCAATGATCAGGCCGCACAAGATTTGAGTCACCCGCGGCCGGCCTCTGCATCTTCTGGTAGCTCTGATGCTATCGCTAAACTGGAACACGAAGCAGAGAGCCAGTCCACCTACGAGGTGGGAGTGAAGCAACATATCGGTACGAGCATCAAGAGTTTGTTCCGCTTGGCAAAGGCCACTGGAATGCCCCGGGCGGAGTTCCAGGCTTTGGTCTCGATGGAATTGGAGCTTTTGAATATTACGGACGATGATTAAGACCCTAAGATACTTGAGTGATACCCATGAACCATAATGTTTGCATAAGATTGCGAGTTCATATTTGGGGCAATCCGGTTTGCATATTTGACAGCATTATTGGGAGTGAATAGTTTGCTTTGGGCATTTGATCTTGTTCTATGTCAAACATATAACCAATAAAACCACAATCAAACAATACATATGTACCACACTACCTAACTAACTACTAGTTAACTACCTTCTTTGTGCCCTATCTAACGTACAATTTGAGGGGTGACGCCATTTCGCAAAGCATACCCGATGAGGCGTAGCGTAACCCAGAATTACTTACATAGGCAACCTTAGAAACACCATGAATGCTGCCCAGGTGCCTAGTTGTGGCTAAGTCAAATGCTTATCTTACTATCTATGTATCGTTCTAACCAATTTAAGCAACTGGAATAATTCGAGGCTGAGCTCACTCCACCCCCACTTTTAGACTTAAAAGGATGTTGGCCCCCTTAAGGCGCTTACGGGAATACCAGATTACCTAGGTATTTTCTTCCACTCACACAATGGCCGATGAAAAGAGACAAACTCCGCTCGAGCGTGTGGGATACTATGATGAGGGGGAGGCTGCAGATCACCCTCCAGTATACACATACACTGCAGAGCCCTCTACACACCAGTCACCACCTGTACAAGAAACCTCAGCATACACAGCAGGACCCTCGACACAACCAAGCCGATCACCACCAGTTCAAGAACCCCCTTTCCAAATAAACCACAAACCAATCGCAATTCCAGCCCTCACCTCCTCTTCCGATTCTCCATTCATTCGCGCATATCCACCTATCCTAAAAAACCACCAACTCCCCAAGGAATCCTTCCTCGCCTTCCTCGACCAACTGAACAAAGACATAGCCGCCAGTCCGCCCCTCCAGGTCCTAGATGCAACAGGCGGGATCTTGAAGTCCGTCCCAATCCTATTCCCACTACATTGGATTGGGAATGCTGTCAGCGGACTCGCAAACCTAAGCAGCCAAGGCATGTCTAAAAGTCGTACGGACTCCTCCGTCAAACAAGCTAATAGGGACATCTTCGGCCCGCGCGGCTTGAGAGTTGAAATTGCGAAGCTGGATGCGCTGGCACATGTCGCTCAGTTCCCTATGTTGGATTCTCAGGGCAAGATCAATCAGCAGGCGCCTCTGTTTCTACAACTGCAATATGAGGCGTCCATGGCCAGCACTGCCGCAGACGAAAGGCAGCAACAGGAAATTGATTTGCAGCAGAGGATTAGTACTTTACAGCCCTGGATTGCTGAGCTTGAATTTGAGGTTTTGCCTTGGTCTTCCAAGTCTAAGTTGACGCGGTTCAACGCCTCATTGAAGAAGTATAATGAGCCGAAGGATGAAGAGAAGAAAGATATGGGTATGCGAGATCGGGAGAGGAGAGGTATAATTGGCATCAGTAGGCGAGACCAGGAGAGGAGAGGTATGGGCAGGCAAGGCGATGTTTATACTCAAGGGGCCAAACAGGAAGAAGCTCCTTTTAAGAAGGCTTTGTGGCTTGTCATTCGGGAGGTTGAGACGAATGAAAGGCGTTAATCTGGTTTAATCATACTCCTGATTCAGTGTGATATATACCTCTCCGCATTGAACATTTGTCGTGGGCAGACATGGTTGGCTACGAGTAGCCAGTGGGAGCTTATCTAGAATACGAATGTCTGAAGGGGAACGAGGGGGGTGTCAATACTCGCACGTGGGAACGTCGCGCATTCCGCTGCTGTACGCAGCACGTTGGGAAGGAACGTGCCTAGTCGAATCTATATCTTGCATTTCGGCACTGTTTAAACACAAATTGGCTGACTCTGAGGGACAACAAGAGAGACTTTGTTAACTAGTAATATTTCAATGATAATATACCATCACTTTCTCTTATGAATATCTCTCCAATGGATGTCAGAAAAGACAACGAAAAGTTAAAAGTTGCAAGGTTGGACAAAGGAGAGATCACATGTCCCAAATTCATTGTAACTAGTTATGGATCAGTCGCCATGAAATGATTAATAGGACACCATACATGTAAAATTAATAATAAACTTGAACTTTCGTTCAATTTCTTTGAATAGCCGACTCGACAAGTTCAATGAAACAAGGAGTGTAGATATCACCCTTTTTGTGGATTTGTATACGTAGAACCGCCTGGGCCACCGCCCTACTCGGAAACCAAGAAGACACGCAACGCTCTACTGACAACCGCCCCCTTCTACATCTCCTTTCCTTTCGCATAGTTTTTCTTGGCCTCAATTGTTGGGTGCCATGCTTATTTGGTGATTCTGGTAAGCTTCCTCTTACTCTCTATTCGGGTCTTTTTTTTTCTGTTTTGTTGATGTTTACTGACACCCTCGAAGTCTATTTGGCTATAGGTAGTTTCTCGGTCGCTCTCTACATTTCATATTTTCAACATGTCGTCCCCTTCGCCCTCTCTGCGGAAGAGAGGCGGAAAGAAGGATGTTTACACCGCATTGCCCTCTGAGGATGACTCGGCTCCCGTGTCAGTGCCGGTCAAACAGAAGTCGGAATGGGACTATTGGCTGGCCATAGTGATTCTCACCCTTCTGGCTTTCGCAACGCGGTTCTACCGACTCGATTACCCTAACGAGGTTGTCTTCGATGAGGTTCATTTCGGCAAGGTATGAGATCCAATGCCTCTTGTGGCGGCACAATCTCTACGGGAAAAGGGGTCCCTTTCACTAACATTGATAATGCTTGGCTTAGTTCGCTTCTTACTACCTTCAACGTACCTATTTCTTCGATGTGCACCCGCCTTTTGGAAAGCTGTTGTTTGCCGCCATGGGCTGGCTCATTGGCTTTGATGGAAGATTTCTGTTCGAGAACATCGGCGATTCTTACATCGAAAACAACGTCCCCTACCTCTCCCTCCGTGCCATGCCGGCTACTCTCGGTGCCTTGACAATTCCCGTGGTGTTCCTTATTATGTGGGATTCTGGCTACTCTCTGCCAGCCTGTGTGCTGGCTGCTGGTCTGATGGTGTTTGACAACGCCCATGTGGGTGAGGACCGTCTGATCCTTTTGGACTCGACCCTCGTGCTGTCAATGGCACTCAGTATCCTGTGCTACGTCCGTTTCTACAAGTTGCGTCACCAACCATTTAGCCGGAAGTGGTGGAAGTGGCTTCTCCTGACCGGCTTCTGCATGAGCTGTGTCATCTCCACCAAGTACGTCGGTTTCTTCACTTTCGTGACCATCGGCGCGGCAGTCCTCATCGACTTATGGAACCTCCTGGATATCAACCGCGACCAGGGAGCGCTGAGCATGGTCAACTGGGGCAAGCATTTCATTGCTCGCGCTGTTGGATTGGTCGTAATCCCCTTCATGTTCTACCTGTTCTGGTTCCAGGTCCACTTCGCTATTCTCAATCGGTCTGGCCCCGGCGACGACTTCATGACTCCTGAGTTCCAGGAGACTCTTAGTGATAACCAGATGACCGCTCAGTCCGTTGGTATCCAATACTTCGACACCATTACCATGCGCCACAAGGACACTAAGGTCTTCCTCCACAGCCACTGGGATAAGTACCCCCTGCGTTATGACGATGGCCGCATTTCCAGCCAGGGCCAGCAGGTCACTGGTTATCCCCACAATGACACCAACAACCAGTGGCAGATCCTGCCTGGCGAGCCTCTGGTTGATCCATCTCAGCCTAAGAGCGTGCACAACGGTGACATCATCCAGCTTCGCCATGTTGGAACCGAGAGTTATCTCCTTACTCATGATGTTGCGTCTCCCTTCTTCCCTACGAACCAAGAGTTCACTACAGTCTCCCAAGAACTGGCTGATGGTGAGCGCCACAACGACACCCTGTTCGAGCTCAAGATCGAGTCCGGCAAGGCTGCCCAGGAGTTCCGTACTCTTGCCAGCCTGTTCAAGCTGGTGCACGTTCCGACTCGGGTTGCATTGTGGACTCACACCACCCCGCTGCCAGAGTGGGGTTACAAGCAGGCCGAAATTAACGGTAACAAGAATATTCTCCAGTCCAGCAATGCATGGTACGTTGAGAACATCGAGAACTTGGAGGAGGATAGTCCTCGTCTTGTCAAGGAAGAGCGTAAGGTCAAGACGCTGCCTTTCCTGCGCAAGTACTTCGAGCTGCAGGGTGCCATGTTCCACCACAACAACGCTCTGACCAGCAGCCATCCCTATGCGACCGAGCCCTTCCAGTGGCCCTTCCTGTTGCGGGGTGTGAGTTTCTGGACCAAGAACGACACTCGTGAGCAGATCTACTTCTTGGGTAACCCCATTGGATGGTGGATTGCCAGCAGTATTCTAGCCGTGTTTGCCGGCATTGTTGGTGCTGATCAGCTTTCGCTTCGCCGTGGTGTTGATGCATTGGAAGAAAGTAAGTCGAACCCCTCCCCCCTCCAAATACCCTGCTCCTATTCCGCTCTATTGCCTCAGTAATCTAACATACGTTCATCAGTTTGGGGCCCCGGTACGCGCTCGCGTCTGTACAACAGCACTGGGTTCTTGTTCCTGTGCTGGGCTGCGCACTACTTCCCCTTCTGGCTGATGGGTCGCCAGCGCTTCCTGCATCACTACCTGCCCTCACACCTGGCCTCCACCATGGTGTGTGGCGCACTGATTGAATTCATTTTCAATCTGCAGCCGCTCGATCCCCGCACTGCCCTCCCCCCTGTGGATGACCCCTCGGGCAAGTCCAAGGCGCGGTCGGTTAGCAGTCTGCGCCGGTTCATCACGGCCAAGGAACGCATGGGCTGCAAGTCACTCATCGCGGGCTGGATTGCCACCCTGGTTATTCTGGCTGCCACCATCTGGGGCTTCATCTTCTATGCGCCTCTGACCTACGGTACCCCCGGCCTCGATGTGGAGGGTGTCAATGCGCGCAAGTGGTTGAACTATGATCTGCACTTTGCCAAATAGACTCGCCAGTGGCCTCCTAGGCCCAATCCGAGAGAACAGACCCATTTCGAGACGATGGGCCGAACTGAAATTGCGACTTTGCAATTTTTGTAAGATAACTTATAATCCGTGATAAAAGGCGGGGGAGAGGGTGTTTTTTTTTTTTTTTTTTTTTGTGCGATTGGAAACATGATGGAGTAGTGATATCTACCTTTGGTGTCATTTGGAACCATCGTGTATGTATGTGCTTGTATGTGCGGTCATTTGAGTTCTCTCTTTTTTCTTCGCCCATCCCGATGTAGTACATCTTCCGTGTCCATCAGAATTTCTCAGTCGAGTCCTGTATCACTATTGGTGGTACAGGATTATCAGCCGACCGTGCAAGTTAGTCTCTGATACATACAAGTCAATTTCAATTGGAGATGCAGATATGTGGAAATGTGGATATGGTAGTATGGAGTAGATTAGGAGATGTACTATGTTGGATGCAAGTAGAATGTGCCAATGTCGATCGGGATCGACTTCACGTGATCGACGATCGGTGACATGTGCGCATCGCATTGGAGGGGATGGGATTTGGTCAATCCTCTACTTCATAGCCAAGTACAACCTACACCATTTAATATTAGGGACTTTGTTACTATTTCAATGGTTTCTTTTTTCGTTAATATACAACATAGTTGTTTATATATTACTTATATATGTCTAGACCCAATCTCGCATTTCAACATTCCAATTGAATTTGCCTTTTTTATTTTTTTTTATAAATTCGGTTTTATTTTTAGACGGCGAAAAATAAAGCAGCCCACCTGTAGATATACAAAGGGAGGTTTCTTACTATGTATAGTAAACGGTTTCACATTGAACTCCTATCAGATCATTGGGAGTGCCCAACTTTTTAGGGTAAATAATGCCACATAATAATAATATGATGATAATTAAGATGATAATTAAGATATAATTAAGATATAATTAAGATATAATTAGAAGAATAAAAGATAATAGGAGAATATCAATCACAGTCATACTCCTCAGACCATATCTGGACCACTTCGGATACCAAAGGGACTAGACTGTCAGTAGCGTCTTCTCTTTTTTTTGCCTCTCTCTTTCGACACATTCCTTCTCTCTCTTCTCTTCTCTCTTTTTCTTTTCTTTTTCATTCTTTTACTCCTTGGTGGTTTCTAGGGTTTTGTTTCCAGGGTCACTCCACTCCCCCCTCGTCTCTACTTCTTATTGGTGTTTTCTTTGAAAGAACTGAAACGGACATTGCCGCGTCTCACCCGAACACCTATGGTGGGTTCAATTCTTTCCAGAGAGAAAAAAAAAAAAAAAGGCGCACATAGTCGAGGCCCTGCAAGGAATTCGGGAATAATTATCCAATTTATTCTGAGATGCCATCAGATCGGACAGGCGCAAGTCAACCCACTCTGTGGATTCCTGCCGGGCCTTTGATCGGCCGCTAGATAAACCCGTGTTGTGCTTCTTCTCACCCTGGAAGCTTCTGACTGACTTCAATTATTTTCTCAGCTTAACCCCTAAGCTTCCTAAGATTGCTTTATTTATCCTCAGTCAATCGTTATACCTGTCTATTTGGACTGATCGCTTCTTCGACTTATCACTTGCATTCGACACATCACGCTCAGAAGACGACACACCCCCCCAGGATCGTCCAAACCTTAATGAGAGAGCTGATTCCCAAAGACGCACTGGCCGCTTATTCAAATACCAGTCTGGTCTGTCAAACCAGTCGCCTCGATGCCAATGAAACTGCCTAAGAGCTTTACCAGGCGGAAATCGTCCGGCAACGTTCTAGAAGAAGACGTGGAACCTCCTCACCAATCTTCCTTTCGAGTCTTCGAACGCCCAGGGCCTCATCGATCCATGACAGATGGAGCGGTGCTGACCAAGCCACTGAGTGAGGGTCATACAATACCGTCGATGGAGGATTCTGATAATATCTTTGCGGAGAGGCAGCGACCCCTGGACAAGAGCCGGTACGATCGCCCTTCGACCATGGATTCTCTCAGGAGACGGCTGACTGGGAACCGTGACAGTGGTAACTACGAAAGTTCTACGTCAACCAGGCTGAGCTCGTCATCCACCCTCCCCTCATCGACCGAAGTTCCCCCACCCGACGAGACCCAGTCCCCGCATTCCAGAATCCATGATGTTCCAGCTCCACCACTCACGAGTGCACTGCGCGCGGCAGGACGAACCTTCTCGTTCGGTGGTCGATTCAGCAAGTCAGGACCACATGTCCCTCGCCAGCAAACACCAGATGCCGCAAAGAATCGCCCGGCGACGGGCAGCACCGACAGCACGGCCACTCCGCCCAAGCTGCCCGATACAGACTTCGCTCTCGGCTCGCAGGACGATTTCAATACGATGTTTGATAGTATGGGTACACGAGCGGGTTCAGCAATGCGGGGATCATCCCCTCAACCGACCAAGGTAAGAGCGACATTGTCGTCCAGGTAAGGATGCATGCAATTGCTGACAGTATCACAGTACTCCTCGTCTCCCCCGACGCATGTTCTTCCCGAGTTCCAGAACACCAGAGCTACCCCACCCGCTGCGATTAATACAGACCGATCGGCCGCGGTCGAATCACCCCCTTACTCTTGGGATCGTCGCCCGTCCGAGGAGGGCTTGCTACGTGACCCGCATTCCCCACCGTTGAACCAGAACCAGTCTACCCTCGATACTGTTGTTGGTTTCAGGAAGCTCTCGCCGTCTCCCAACCAATTTGCCGAGGTCACTACTTCACATCGTTCCTTGGAGCGCCCGCGAGGAACAGAGAGAGGAGGACTGCGGAGGAGTGGGATATATTCGGCCAAGGGGGAATCCGCAACCTTTGATGACGAAGACGCCAAAATGGTCCGACAATCTGTCATATTCAGCAAAGAAAGCACTTCTCCGTGGGCTGAGGGTAGCTCCTCTGGTGGAACCCCGTTGATTGATAAAGGCAAAGCACCCAATTACTCTGGCCAAGTGAACCCAGAACCTGATAATATGTTCCAATACCGCCATTCGCCCGCTCCGGCCGACAGGTTGGACCCGGCCATTGCGGATCATGCACGGTTGGCTGTGCAGTACACGGATAGTCTTCCCAAGTCAACCTCTCCGGGCAACAAGGTGATGACTCCATCCCAGTTCGAGCACTATCGCCAGCAACAAGAACTTCGACGTTCCAACAGCGATGCGACTAAGAGTGATGACGAGTCTGATCACGAGGAGTCTGACGACGAACAAGATGAGGTGGAGAAGCAACGTGAGACGGAACGTCAACGACGAAAGCAGGAAGCTCATCTCTCTGTGTATCGTCAGCAAATGATGAAAATCACAGGTCAACAAGCCCCCGTGCAATCGCTACGTCCGGTCATGAGTGGAGCTAGCAACAGCACGCCCAACTTGGACCCCAATCGCCTGTCTGTACTAGGCGAAAAGTCCAGCAGTGGGAAGAGCAGCGAGGAAGAGGATGACGATGTGCCACTTGGTATCCTGGCCGCGCACGGTTTCCCCGGTCAGAACCGCCCACCAACCCGCCTGAACAATGTCAGCTCCAATCCAAACCTTCGTGCATCCATGCAACCGCCGTATATATCATCTTCCAGCTCTGTCTCGGGTGTCGACCCCAACGGCAGCCGGGGTAGTCTGCCACCCTTTGCCAGGAACTTGCCGCGAGATCCTTATTTCGGTGCAGGCCTGGTTAACAACGCTAACCGTGAATCCTTGGCGTTCGGAGGTGGTTCGGTTTATGGAGGATCTTCATCCCCAGCACAGCCCCCTGGAGGCCTGGTCGGTGTTATAGCAAATGAGGAGCGGGCGCGCGCGATGCGCAGAGGAAGTCCGAACACACAAGCAATGCACGACATGCCTCGGCCATACTCGATGATGCCGCAGCAGCAGCAAAATGTTACCGCCGGGGAACAAGCTTCTATCCAGCTATCGCAGCAAATGACCACCATGATGCAGATGCAAATGCAGTGGATGCAGCAAATGATGCAAATGCAAGGTGGGCAGGGTCAACCTATGGTGCAAGGCATGCCAATGCCTCCTATGATGATGCCTGGTGGACCAATGAACATGCCTCCCATGGGCCCTCCATCTATAGCAGGACCTCAGTCCATAGCTGGCAACCCGAACTTGCGGCCGATGTCCATGCCTGCAGCATCCGTTCTCAACATACCGCCCTCGCTGCCCCACATCGATCAGCGTACGATGAGCTTGCTGGACCCCAACATTTCAACTCGTAGGACTGGCTCCCCCATGCCGAACCTGTCCGGCACCCCATTCCGCCCCAACACCGGATATGCTCCTTCAATCGCTCCGTCGGAGCGTAGCAATGTCGGTCTGGCGCCTCGTTACCGGCCAGTATCCGTCATGCCATCCGAATCGAATTACGTAGTGGCGTCCTCAACAAACAAGTCCTTTGGTGACGAAAACCATAACCCGTCCATGTCGTTGCCTCAGTCTCATGTTCCGAAATCGCATCTCGCCACTGTGACTGTCCGCCCCGTTTCACGGAGCAATGCCCTTGAAACCCAAAAGCCCAACCCGGAAGATGAGGAGGATGACGACGAGGCCTGGGCTGACATGGTGAAGAAGCGCGAGAAGAAGAAGAGTAGCTGGAAGATGAAGCGAGGGACCTCTTCGTTCGGGGATCTGCTGAGCGCTGTGCACTAAGCCCCTAGCCCTCTCTGTCTTCCTCTCCTTTCTTTCGTCCTTCCTTAACTCAACCATGAGAGCGTGCTTGCATTGCATTTGAAAAGAAATATGTCCGCGTTACGCTGTATAGCCTGCCCCTTTCTTCTCTGCATTTCCGATTTCTGCCTGCGCTTCCTAATATCCCCGCCCCCCTCTACGACATGACATATGACGCACATACCATCAACTCAGAGAAGGGCTTGCCGTGCCAATTGGATATGCCGGCTCGATAATGCATCCCTGGCCCTCACCTCACATCTTGTATGTCACTCCTCGTTCCCCATTCCGGGTGCCCTACTATCATCATGCGATGGTCATTCCGGTCTGGACAGGAGGGATTTTGACATTTACAAGTATGAATACATATGCTTTCCTTGTGCTTTTCGTATAGTTTTGATATTTGAGTTCGGTCCTCTTTTCTTTCTTTCTTTCTTTTTTACCTGCTTTCTTATGATATCGGCGCGACAAGAGACATGGCGTTATTTATCTGATAGGTTTCCATCTTTTTGTTTATTTTTTTTTTTTTGATCTGTTATTGTGTGTTTGCATTTTTGCATCGTCAGAGCGCTCTGCCTCTACTCGACTCTTTTAATACATTTCGGGCCTTGTGGCCTTTATATTGGGTCTTCCCCGGGTTCTTTCTTTCTTTCTTTTTAGGTTTCATGTTTTCTGCTTCAGTGGGGGTGTATACCTTACCATAACGTATACCTCGGTTGAGACTGGGTCCCCTATACACTACCTCTAGTTAATATATGTTACATGTCATATCGAGATGATGATTTGCGTGCAATGGTTACTCCTGAGTGGGGTTTGTAGGCATATTGCAATCCAATTGATAGGAAATCCTGGAAAACATGTGCATTAGTTGGATGATCGACTTCATAAACAAAATACTATATTATGTTCTGTCTTAGATGTTGGGAGATACCCTCCGAATTCCATTATCAGATACAAAGAACATGGTCATGTGGAAATTGCGCGACATACAGTGATTTGGAAGCACCAGCACCAACAAACCTTGGAAGCGAGTTAAAGTGAGATGAAGATAAAGTAACCGCCCGCCACTGATCCCAAGTAACTATGGAATTCGTATACAGTCACGTGATGACATACTTCGGAGAGGTCACATGATTGATATCGATATCGATATCGCGATGTATCACGATATCTTCATCACTCAACATCAACATCGAACAAAAAGACGGTGGCGAAGCCAGGGCCCGAATAACGTTTTAAAGTATATCTCCCCGCTGGGTTCCTTTGTTTGAACTTATTTGCCATCAATAAGCATCCTCAAAATCGTACTCCGAGGACCCGCGCATTTGATCGCCATTGTCTTCACAAGTTCAAACGACCTGGTCACCTATAAATAGGCCTTGAAACTACATGCTGCCTTTGCCTGTCAACTCTCTCACTTTTGCAACCATTTCTTGGATACATAAATAAATTCCTATCATCGATACCCGATACAGGTGTTCTTCAAAACTTGTCTCAAAGCTCTTTGATTCTTTTAAAAAAGCTTTCCCGCCACAATGAACGCTCCAGATCGGTAAGTGAATGTCAGAATTTCTGAAATTTCTCAAGTTTTGTTCATTTTGAGCTGTTCCGGTGAAGTTGGCTGTGCCTTGAATACTGGATCTTCAATTTTCGATTGGATGTCATGTGTACAGAACATATTCCCCGGATTCTGGGGTCAACTATTCCCTTTTTTACATCTTGTCAATTCGGGAAGGAAGGAAGGACTCGGATCATGCTTGATGGCACTTTCCTCGCACCGTCGCTCCTTCCCCGTGAGAATTGCATCATGTCTATTCATCCCCTCTCCTCCACTGTCAACATCTTTTCCTGTCTCATCCTCTTGTTTACTGGCGGACATTCATTCTGCTGTACACTGTTATCGTCTTTTTTACTGTCAATCATTTGTTCCGCCATCTCTGTTTTTTGCAGTCATGCCTCAGAGCCCTGCGATTGTCACGGCCACTGCGGCCATTGCCAGAGAGCGTGCTGGTCGCCGCGACCAGGGTCCCCATCCGCGCCATCCTCGTCCCATGCTCCATGATGATGCCCCTGACGTGTCAGTTGAATAACCTCACGGATTAAGGCTTTTGTTTCCTTGTCTTTTGTCCTTTTTCTGCCTCTTCATATCTCGTTTTCCCTCAGTGGAAACCATAAAGCTGACCAGGTTGTGAATATAGGTATGAAGCCATCCTGCTCGCACCTGGCGAGAGCAAGATTGATGTCGAGGTTGACACACGTAAGTCATGCTAACCGATGTAGATCGGACAATCTTACTGACTGTATCTCTCTAGGTCTTCCTTCCGCCGCCATATTTACCTTCCGCAAAGAAGATCACACCCTTGGCAACATGCTCCGCCAGCGTCTCTTGAAGACTGCCCATGTGATCTTTGCTGCGTACCGCGTAAGCAACCTGCTATATACACATGTGTTCCTTCTTGGAAAGATACTGATAAGGATCTATTAGGTCCCTCACCCGCTGACCCCCGAGTTCCAACTGCGAATTCAGACCGACGGTGAAGTCACCCCGCGCCAGGCTGTTATTAATGCCTCCGAAGCTCTGATCAAGGACCTGGGTATCTTGTCACGGGAATTCACCAAGGAGTACGAGCTCCGCAAGGCTGCCAACGCTGCCAACCAGCAACAGCAGAACACTGCTGAGTAATGGTTGTGAGCGACAGCCTGTCACTATCTATGCTCTTTTCCTAAGTCTGAAAATCTGGCGCATGGAGCAGTTATGGTCTTTTATGCCTTGCATTTGTTTTCGTTTTTTCAATTTCGATCTGGGGATTTATGGATGGCCCCTTTCTTCGCAGGCCCGTCTTTTTTCTTTTTTCTTGCTTTCTTTCAGAGACACTTGGCTATGCCATGTTGATACCAACAAATCTACAGGCTTGATGCTTTAAACTCGTATCCATCAGTCAAGTATTGTAGTCGTAGATCCAAAAATAGGTATCTCGGGCATATGACTAAGCGCCCGATGGGGTTAGCCCAGTTGCCTCCGCGTCGTGCAACGGCGTCATTCGCATCCTCCTGAGAGTCAACTCACTTACCATTTTGCATTTGTTCTTCTCTTCAATTTCTTGTTGGCCTTTTTGCATCTAATTTGCTCATGCGAGCGTGGTTTCTGTGATGTACTCCTCGTCGAATAATTTCCTCGGGGGTGGTGCCAGTGGCCGTCCCGGCCAGTCACCATTCATGCAACAGCAACAGCAACCCCCCTATTCACAATTCCCTCAAGGCCAGCAGCCGCCATCAATCCAACAACCTCAACCGACTGGATTTGCTCCACAGCCTACAGGTCTCGCTCCACAGCCGACCGGATTCGCCGGCCAGCCCTCCCCGTTCGGTAACTCGCAGCTACAGCCTCAAGCCACCGGATTCCCGGCGGCACAGGTCCAGCCGCAATTCACTGGCTTCCCCGGCGCCGCGCCCCAGCAACCCCAGCAGCAGCAAGCGCAAAGCTTCCAACCACAATACACCGGGTATCCTCCCCAGAACCAGGCGCAGCAGCCGCCTCCGGTGCCACAGATACCAACTCGATTCAAGACCTCGAGCGATATCGCGAACTCCTTCCAAGATGCTGCTGGCTCTGGGGCACCTCCTCAGGTGCCGCCAAAGACAGGGTCAAAGATCCCGAGCATTCGGCTTTCTTTTATCACGGCGCAGGATCAGGCGAGGTTCGAGCAACTCTTCAAGTCTGCGGTTGCTGATAGCAAGACAATGGATGGTGGGTTTCCGTGAACCCAATGGATCACATGTTATGGCTTGTATAACAGTACTGACGGCTTACAATAGGCGATAAAGCAAGAGATCTTTTGCTGCGCTCCAAGTTGACGGGCGCTGATCTTTCTAAGATCTGGGTTTTGTCTGATACCACCAAATCCGGACAGTTGTTCTTCCCCGAGTTTGCCTTGGCCATGTACCTGTGCAATATCCGTATCACCGGTCGCGAGCTTCCTCCTTCCCTGCCCGAGACGATTAAGAACGAGGTTTCCAGTATGGTTGACATCATCTCGTTCGATGTCCCCGACACACAGACGCCGGTCCAACAGCGAACAAATGTCCCCAACTTCGATGCGCCTCTCATGGAGAACAAGTCGACGCCCCCAATTGTTCAACAGCCCGTCCCACAGCAACCGAACAACGCCCAGCTCCTATCGCAGCTGACAGCACAGCCTACTGGGTTTTTCCCCCAGCAGACAGGTATCCAGCCCAACCCGACAGGCTTCCCTGGCCAGAACCAGTCTCAATTCCTTCAGTCTCAACAAACCGGTTTCATGCCTAACCCGCAGGCTACTGGATATACTGGCCCTCGGCCTCCGATGCCGCCTATGCCTACTGGTTACGGGTCGAACCTCAGCCCCGCCCAGACCGGTGGAATGCCAAGCCTGGGTGTGCAGCCTACGGGCCTGGCGGCACAACCTACGGGCATGCCAGGTCAATGGGGATTCATCAACACACCAGCGCAAGGTTTGCCCAACATCGATGCTATGAAGCAGCAGCTTATGCCGCAGCCTGGGCGTGAAGGTGGTTTCAGTGCGGTTGGCCTTTCAGGAAATGCTACAGTTGCCTGGGCAATTACGAAGGAGGAGAAGAAGATTTACGATGATCTTTTCCGCGCATGGGACGGTTTCCGCAAGGGCTTCATCAGTGGCGAGACTGCCATCGAGATCATGGGCCAAAGTGGTCTGAATAGAAAAGACCTGGAACGGATCTGGACCCTGGCTGATCCTCATAACCGCGGCCGACTCAACATGGATGAGTTTGCCGTGGCTATGCACATGATCTACCGTGCTCTGAACGGATACCCAGTTCCAAACCGTCTACCACCCGAGCTTGTTCCCCCTTCCACTAGACACCTGAATGACTCTATCGGTACAGTGAAGTCTCTGCTTTCCCAGGATGCTGAAACTCGCAAGGCTTCCGGGGCGTTCCTGCAGCCGCAGAAGACTGGTGTCAGCTATCTTAAAGATCACTCCTTCCGGGGTGGTGCAGGAGGCACTTCTGCGGCTAGCCGCAAAGATGCGACGATGTTCAAGAACAATGACTCCGCCGGTGGATACCGCTCTAGCGCACGCCGTCGCGTTGGTAACGAGGCGCGTACCCCGTCACCGGCCGCCTCTGGCGCGTCAGACGAAGAGTATTCCGTGGAACAGTTGCACAAGAAGATTCGCGAGACCAAGGTCATGGTTGACGCTGCGGACTTCCAGGACGAGAACCGAGCTGAGGATGACGATGCTCTAGATCGCCAGGATCGCCGCGAGGCCGAGAGTCTCATGGACCGTATCCGTCGCGTACAGGACGACCTCGATACCCACCCCAACGCCTCATTCCGTCAGGTGGACAGTGGGGCAGATCGCAGAGCTCTTCGTCGCCAGCTGCAGTCTTTTGAAGATCAAGTTCCTCAAGTTGCATCTGATGTGCGTCGTCTTGAGCGTGAGATCGCGGACGCGAAGCTTGAGCTCTTCCGTCTCAAGGACGCCAAGGCACACCCCGGTGGCGCCTCTAACATCATTGGCACCGGCCCTGGCGGCACTGTGACTGAGGCAGATCGAATCAAGGCCCGCGCGCGTGCGCGTATGCAAGCCCGCGCTGCGGAGCTTTCTGGTCGCCCCGCACCCGCGACTGAAGAGGACGATGGCCAAGCGGCCCGTCGTCTGGAGTCTGAGAGCACTAACGTGAAGGTCGAGCGTGAACGCAACGACACTATGACTCGTGATGTCGAGGAAAGTGTGCGTGATTTCGCTCGCAGCTTGGAGGATAGTCTCCGGGAGGAAGGCCAAAACTCCACACGTGAGCATGAGAAGCGTCGTTGGGAAGATGCACTGGGGGTTGAGGATGTCATCCGCGACTTCATCTATGACCTGAGCCGCAGTGCGCGAACTGCAAATGTTCGCAAAGAAGAGTATGTTGTTCTTGTCAGCCAGGATAAGTGTTCGATGCTGACAATTCATAGGCGAGGGAGACCTTCCCCTGAGGTTCAATCTCGAGCATCTCCAGCGGCCGAATCTGCTGCTTCCCGCCCTTCGATGCCCCCATCTGTTGACTCGTCCAGCTCTCTTCCTGGTAACACACATGAGGATCGCGTGGCAGCTGCTCGAGAGCGTGCACAGAAGCGCATTGCTGAGCGCATGGCTGCTGCTGGTTTGAAGCCAAATGACGCTAGCGAGACTCTTGCGCAACGCCAGGAGCGTGAGAAGAAGGAACGCGAAGACCGTGTTAAACGTGCCGAGGAAGAGGATGCTAAGCGGGAACAGGAGAGACAGCGTCGCCTAGCTGAGGAACGGGGTGTGCCCAGTGATGCCGCTCCGAAGACTGCGGGTAAGAAACCACCACCAGCGCCGCCCACCCGCAGGGCTCGTACGGATAGTGCCGGCCAAGCCGATGCCAAGAAGGGGGATGAATCCGCTAAAGCGGAGCAGGCTGCCCGTGAGCAGGCCATCAAGGAAGAGCAAGAGGTGCAGGAGGCAGAGACCAAGCGTCTAGAGTGAGTGATCCACAGCTGATAGACAAAATTAGTGGAGTTGGCTAATACATTTCCAGGAGCGAGGCAAGCCAAGCCGAGCTGGAAATACAACGGGAGAAAGATGCCCAGGCCGCTCGACTTCGTGCCCTTGAGGAACAGGTTCGCCAGGGCAAGATCAAGAAGCAGGAAGAGAAGCGCCGTAGGGAAGAGGCTAGCCGACAGTCCAAGGAACAGGAAGCTGCTCTTGCAGCCCAACGTGCTGAACTGGAGGCAGCTAAAGAACGCGAGCGACAGCTGCAGCTTGAACTCGAGGATCTTGACGAGTCATCGTCTGACGACGAAGGCCCTGCGGATATTACGCCTCAGTTCAGCACTCCGACGCAGAGCCAAATCCTCCCTACCCCGCCTCCCGTGCCTACGATAGCTATTCCTGAACCTCCTGCCCCCGAAAGCGTGCCTAGCGAACTTGGCTCGCCCGAAAGCAGCCGTAGTGTTCCTAGCGCCACAGCCGATGCTGAGTCCAAGAACCCATACTTCAAGAACATGGGTCAGCCATCCGACCCCACCCAAGCGACCTCGCCGCCTACTACAGCCCAATCTACGAATCCGTTCCACCGCTTGACACAGCAAGAGCCCATCAAGCCCACCTTCACCGGTGCAGCTCCCTTGGAACGCAAGACTCGTGCCCGCCCTGAGGAAGATGACGACTGGTCCGCTGCCGGCTCCGAGGCGGATTCGTCTGATGATGAGGACGACCGTCCAACCGGCGGCAGCGCCAAACAACTTGCCAGCATCCTATTCGGAACCATGGCGCCCCCACGTCCTCTGAGTGCCATGGATGAAGACAAGTCTGCCTCGAAATCCGCTACCCCGGTACAAGAAAGCCCTGTTGCACCTCCGCCCCCACCCCCCAGTAACTCTGCCTCCTGTTCCTGCTATCTCAAGCCCTGGTGATTCCATCTCCCCATCACCCGCGCCATCTGCGGTACCTCCCCCTCCCCCCACCTCCGCCTCCTCCCCCAGGAGCCGGTGCTCCTTCTATCCCCCTCCGCCCCCGCCCCCTGGAGGAGCCCCCTCTGCCCCCCCCTCCACCCCCTCCAGCTGGCATCCCGCCTCCACATGCACCCCCAGCCGCGGCCGGCGGTGCTGGTGGCCGAGGCGCCCTCCTCGCGTCCATCCAGCAAGGCATGTCCCTGAAGAAGACTCCAGTGAATGATCGTAGCACAAGCTCATCCGCTGGACGCGTGCTGTGAGTATGGAATTGGAGGGTCTTTTGATTTTTTTGTTTTGAGAGCACATACTGTACAGATGCAGAGACGAGGGGAAAGACATGCCCGTACTTACATGACTGGAGAGTAAGGTGACGAGGTCTATGGATAATGGGAGAGTAGCCAGCGAGTAGTTAGCTGTTTTTGTACTTTTCTTGGAATACACATCGGTTTTATTTATTATCGCCATACTCCCTCTACCTTTATAACCGGATTGTTTCAGCTGAAGCGTTAAACATATCTAACCCATTACTGCAAAGATGGCCCCGGGAGCTGTACCCTGGTGGTCTCTTTACCGTTCGGCGCTTCAGCAAAATTAGCTGGAGTCCACGTTGAATTGCCGGAGAAATTCCCTGCATGGTGGCCATACAATTCGTTCAACTGTCTCGCGGGAGGGGTGTGCACTTTTTCCCCTGCGCATCGCTGTCTAACCCGACCTCCACATGGAGGCGCTGATCCATTTCCGGCGCCCTCGAGAGCGAGATGCAGAAGCACCTGTGGGCTACTGTTCTGGAGATGTCTAGAGATGTCGATACAGTCATGTCTGGACACGGACATGCCGCCGTCCATCTTCAATGATGATTTCGCCCGCGAGCCGCCATCCAACATCGACGATATCGATACCAGCAGTTTATCACCTGCGGTGGATATCGCAGATGGCTTTTTTATTGTACCCAAAGCACCATTCAGTGAATTATGAAACAGACTATGTCCTTGCGGCTGCAGATCCTCTGTTATCGCAATACCCTCAAAAGGGCTCCCGGACAGGATTACCAGTGGGTCTTGAAACTGGACATGTAACTAGCTGGATACCATAGTTATGCCATTCCCATACCGCGACCCTCTCTAGTCGTGTCGGCGAAATACCCACCCCGACACGCCGAAGCCGACTGGATTCCAGATCTACCTACTGAATATGTGCATGTTAGACTGGTTGTTTATTCGTCGTTCGCGGTAGAAGCTAAAGCGTACCCGTTCTTCTACTTTAGTCGCAAAGTGCTCGACACACCGTTACCCGGGGGATTTTTACCTGAGAACCAGCAGCACGGGATCCTGAGGTTGAAGGTGGGGAAGTAGACTGGAAAGTTGGAGGTCTTGAAAATAGACTTGTTCACTCTCTTCTGCCGAGTGTCATAGTTTCTATGTTGTATGTTGTATATTGTAAGCGAGGAAGGACGGGGCATCTGGGATCCACCTATACGCCCAGCCAATTAGTGCATAGCATATGCATACACCTAATCATCTCGCTTATGACTTCTCTTAATGCCAACTTTTGCTTAATTCTCGATCTGCAAGTTAAGTCATTTGGAGTGTTTTTTTGAAAAAGAAAACAGCAGAATTATGTTAAGCATATTTTCTATTTTATTTCTTGTACGAGTTTTCTTAAGCCGATTAAGGATAGAAATATTTTTAAGGGAGGGCCGGCTAAATATAGAAAGACCCTTTGATGCTCCCCGTCAATGTCCGTAAGTAGTATGAGTGTGGATTCACGATTATGAAAATGGTGAGTTAGCCAATAAACCGTACAGTTCCGGGATCAGTGTGAACCTTGAAGACCCTGAATGTTCGACACCTTTATGACACCTTTATGCCGAGATGGGGATATGCCCTTACCAAGCTAATACTTTCCACTCTGAAGCTTTGTTGGTAATGTAAAGTCAGTAGTAATTTACTTGGGACCAAATGTATTTAGTGTAGCACAGCCCAGTGGGCTGTTATACTCCGTACTGTACATACTGTATACCGTACATACTATACGTACGAAAGGTTGTACATATAGATATCTCCAATTGGACCAATCTTGCCTCTCTATATAGCTCTTCATCCCTTCCATATCTTTCCCTTCCTTCTTCATTCATTCATTCTTTCAATAATCCTCCCAGCGTACCTACCGACTCTCGTTAAAATCATCGGATTTCCGTCACTCTTTTTCATTGATTTCATCATTTTGCTCCTCAAACAACGGCATTATGAAGGTTACCATAGCCTCTATGGCCATGGCCATCCTTTTGGGTGCTTCCACCGCCCTCAGTGCTGCAAACTCCAAGGACAGTGACGGCATTGTTCCCATCACTGTGAAGGGAAATGCCTTCTTCAAGGGCGATGATCGCTTTTACATTCGTGGTGTCGACTATCAGCCTGGTGGTTCCTCGAAGCTTCAGGATTCTATCGCCGACACCGACAGCTGTAAGCGTGATATCAAGACCTTCAAAGAACTGGGCTTGAACACCATTCGTGTCTACCACGTCGATAACTCCAAAAACCACGACGAGTGCATGAAAGCCCTGGCGGAAGCTGGAATTTACCTAGTCCTCGACGTGAACACCCCCAAATACTCGCTCAACCGTGCCGATCCCGATACCTCCTACAACGACGTGTATCTTCAATATATCTTCGCTACCGTCGAGATGTTTGCGAAATACGATAATACCTTGGCCTTTTTCTCGGGTAACGAGGTTATCAACGATGGTCCTACCTCTGCGTCTGCTCCGTATATCAAGGCCACTACCCGTGACCTACGGACTTTCCTCCGTTCTCGCAACCTCCGTCACGTCCCCGTTGGTTATTCTGCTACCGACGTTGATACCAACCGGCTAGAGATGGCTGAGTATATGAACTGCGGTAGTGATGATGAGCGATCCGACTTTTTCGCCTTCAACGACTACTCCTGGTGTGACCCTTCCTCTTTCACTACTTCAGGCTGGGATCAGAAGGTTAAAAACTTCACCGGCTACGGCATTCCTCTTTTCATCTCCGAGTACGGCTGTAATACCAATACCCGCAAATTCGGGGAGGTCACCGCCCTCTACTCTACTGATATGACCCCCGTCTACTCCGGCGGTATCGTCTACGAATACTCCGAGGAAGGTAGCAAGTGGGGCCTAGTCAAAATCGACGGTAGCGATGTTAAAAAACTGAAGGATTACGATGCTCTCAAGTCTGCCTTTGACAAGACCGACAACCCCAAGGGCAACGGCGGGTACAATTCCACTGGAGGCGCATCCGGCTGCCCGAAGATGCAGAAGCCCAACTGGAATGTCCCTAACAGCGCTCTCCCTGCTATGCCCGTACCTGCGAAGAAATACCTTACTCAGGGTGCTGGAAAGGGTGCAGGTTTCAGCGGTCCAGGCTCTCAGACCGCTGGCACCAAGTCATCCGGCACCGCAACGCAGGGCTCTGGCGAGGTCGCCGCTGCCACCAGCGGCGGCAGTGGCGCTGCCTCCGCAACTGGCTCTGAAGGTGCTGCTGCTGGCCTCAAGCCCCTGCAATTGAGCACCCCCGCTACCCTTGGCTTGATGATTGTCTTGTCGACATTGTTCGGCGCCCATTTGGCTCTCTTGTAATGCTCTCTGCACCTCCATTTCTCTTTTGTTGGGGAATTCATCTAGATGTCTTGCTGGACATGGATCGTTTACCGGTCGTCTTCAAGCTCTGAGATGATGATCGTGGCTTGAGTTAGCATTCTTGAATTCACTTCAACTACCGTACTTGTCATTTCTGGGAATGTACACTTTGTCAATTACATCTATGTTTTTGCCCGGACGTCAATGGGATTGCTTTTTGTCTTCTTTATTCCATTATTTATGTATTGAGTTTGAGACTTGAATTCTACACCCCTTTTAGCTACATTATATATTTCTTTACAATGCTGGCGCCATGTCTGTTAGCTTAGGATAACGAGACATCTGGCTATGTAGCACCAAACAAAAAGTGATATAATGTTAACTTAGGGAGTATGCTAGTTAGTTAATTTTATAGGATGTAATAAGCAGATTTGGAAATCCTATAGCATATACGTGTTGTGGTGCGAGATCCTCGCATCCTCGAGGCTACTTCTGCCGTTGACCAAGACACAGATCGAGAAATGCAGCAGACACTGCTAGAGAAACCCCAGAGCCGAACAGTAATCTACATTGCCCATCGACTGCAAACTATCATACATTATGACCGAATCTGCATGATAGATCAGGGCACAGTTATTGATTTCCAGAGTCCACTTGTATTGTTCGATAAGAATGTCGAGTTCCGCCAGATGTGTGAGCTCAATCAGATCACCCGCAAGGACATTATTTAGTACGAATCCGTGGTCTAGTCTGCTATTTTGGAGTTTCCTTTTCTTACTTGCTGGGTACAATGTATATCGATGCCCCTTTCAGATGTCTTTATCTATCAGGCTTCCATCGCGCTCTGGTGGTTAACGAAGTGTTCTTTTTCCATAGAAAGTCAGCTGTCATTTCCAATTCCAACATTGTCTAGTAATTCTATATTAAAGTAGTCGTGTGTATATGACATAGCAAATGCTAGGACATAAACGAAAACAAGCCAAACGCGAACATCCGAGGTTCTAGCAATCTAGCAGCCATACCTCCAACCTTTGCATCCGTCTAGCGAGGGACTGTCCAATATGCCCTCAAATCGCCCCCGACACAAGATTTCTCTCTGATCCCACTATCCAACGTAGGATTGTTGAAACTAAGACCGCTTTAAGCTCCATCCTTGTCATTCTCTGCATTAGCAGCTGTTTGCTGCATTTGCATATTCTTCATCATCTCTGACGCTTCGAATGAATACTTGCACTTCATTCGGACCACTGCACCGTAACGATACATGATCAACGGGAATGGCATGCACACGAGAGTCATAAATGCTGGAATGGAGGACGCCCAGTGAATTCCCAGATTGTGATACATCTGTGTCGTAAATAGGGGAAAGACAGCGCCAACGACCGAGCGGAAGATGGCAGCTGCAGCCAGGACAGAGGCCGCATAGATGGTGTAAGTATCGATCAAGTAGTTCATTATGGGCAGGATGACGAGTACACAGCCGAATCCAAATGGTGCAGACAGGATGATACTGACAGACCAGTGGATACTGGGGTAGTTGGTCCAGGCAAAGGCGAACATGCCGATGGGGAGGGCGATACCTCCAACAATCGCAGGTGGCAGACGGGACTCAGCTGTTGCAGATTTTGCCGCAAATAGCTTCATGTAGCGGCTGTTATTGTCCCATATAGCATAGATCAGTCCAAAGATGATACCGACAGCAATCCCCAAGAAGGACAGTCCGCCAATGCCCTCGCTCCAACCTCGGTCTTCATTGTACACGATTGGCATGGCGCCCATGAACATGTAGACAGTGCCGTAGATAATCGCCATGTAGAGTGATGCTACCAAGACGATGGGCTCAAGGAAGAGGAAGATCCAGGGGCGAAATAAAGCACGCTTGAAGACTTCCGATGGCTTCTTCTTCCCCTGGTTCTTTTCCAAAACGCTCACATAGACCTTGCCATTGGCCTTGGCAAGCTGACGTGCCCGTCGTTGAAGCAGAACCGGGCCGTATGTCTCGGGAATAAAGGCGATTCCCAGAATGCCGATTACGCCAATGAAGATCACACAGATACCCTGGACCCATCTCCATCCGATGTTCTCAGACACGAACCCGCCCACGATTGGACCCAGAATGGGGCCAAGGAAGGGCGCAACGCAGTAGATAGTCAATGCTAGGCCACGCTGAGCAGGGAGGAATATATCGGCAATTGTTCCGCCGGAGTTGACTAGTGGCGAACCGCCGAATGTGCCGGCAAAAAATCTCAGGATAAGGAGGGTAGCCACATTTTGGCTGCCTGCGGATCCTCCCAGGAAGGCGACCATGGCGATATGAGTGATAATCCAAAGAATCTGTCGTCCGTATAGTTCCGACCTTAATCTGATGTTAGCTATTGGACTCTGTGTTGTACAATATGTGTATAGGATGGCATCATCGAGACTTACTGTTCAGCAAGATATTCGTTAGCTAGGGTTACCCAAAGTGACAAGACGGTTTAATGACTTACCAAGGGACCCCATACGGCAGGGCCAATTGCAAATCCGAGTACAAAGAGAGAAAGCCCGACAATGAAGACCTCGGTGCTGATGTCAAAGTCCTGCAATACTTCATTTGCTGACACAGAGTATGCCGAGGAGGTAAAGGTCACGGCAAAAACCGAGAAAGTCGAAATGGCTGCAATGAACCATTTGCGGGACTCACTCCAATTCATTGGATTGTTAGGGTCGTCTTTCTGGAACTCTACCGCGTACGGGTCATCTTCGGTGCCCGAGCCATCGTAGATGTAACCGTCTTCGACCTTGTCCGCGTCGGCAGGTGCTTTTGCCCGGTTATTAGACATGTGGTTGTCTTAGCAGTTCAATGGAGGGTAATGAGAGCGCAAATTTCAACCCCAGGCTATCCATGAGGAGAGGTTTTTTTTTGTTGCAGCTTTCGATCTATATAACGGTTTAGCAGTATTTACTCCAGTAGCCATCAAAAACGGACTGCTCTTTCATTGGCCAACCGACGGAAGACGCCTGCATTTCCAATGTTGCCATTGGCTGTTCATTGGAGGTAGTGGATATATTCAGCGAATGAAAGAGCATTCCGCGATGGGTCACTCTTTTACACGGGAAGTTATCTGATTGGTGAACCTTCTGATTATCAATCAGGCAGATCGCCCTAACTAATCGACGCGAGCTCGCTGTTCCAACTGTCCAATAGTTACAGATTGTGATAGACGAAGTAATGATTGATCAGGACACACCACCAAAACCTTTACGCAGGCAGAGACTGAGAGTCGCAAATGCCTGCCAAATATGTCGCTTGAGGAAGATCAAATGTGATGGTGCTCGCCCGGGTATCTCTTACTTCCATTGTTTCATTGAACCCCAAACTCGTGTGTAAGGCTGACACAAACCATCAAGCATGCACCAGATGCCAGGAGAGAGGTAAAACATGTGTTTACGGCCGTTTCGCCAATGCCGTTGAGAAGCAGACAACGCATAAATCTTGTGGACAAGCATCATCAGTTCATAAGCCTGCTCCTATGCTGGTCTCTCCCCCATCTCCGGCCCTGTCAGATTCGGTGGCTGCAATGCCTCCCATAGTTGATTCATTACCGGGGTCTCACTATGTGGATGAAGATCAAAAGGCAGAGCCTGACCTGGAGCAAAACCGGGCATACTATACCGCACATGGACGGTTTGCCGACCAGGTCGCCGCTGCTATCGATGTGAGGGCAGGGCTCATCCCCGCCACTTGTCATCAGATCCCACTCGTAGATGCGCCGCTATTTGGAGATCTTGACCTACCTTCTCAATCCTGTCCTTTGTCTTCGTCAACCGAATTGCCTCCCCGGGCATATTCCGATCAATTGATTGACATATACTGGCAACACGTTGACCCTATGGAGCCAGTGCTAGATCGCCAGCACTTCCTAGAAAATTATGAAAAGGCGTATTCAACAACCATGACGCCACTCTACACAGACTACAGTATCTGGCTTGGCATTCTCAATGTAGTGTTTGCCCTGGCAGTTCAAAGACAAGAAAACATCCCGCTGCTTCAAAGAAACGAGGAGGGAAATCGCTTTTTTCAGCGCGCATGGGCCCTGCTTCCAGCTGAGTCTATGCTATGGAAACCTGCATCACTCGAGCTCGTGCAGTGCCTGATGCTGATGAATCGGTACCTCCACTGCACCAACAATCAACAGAAGACATGGATGACGGCGGGGTTGGCGATGCGAATTGCGCAGAACATGTGCTGCCATCTCGCCGAGATACCTTCGGTGCAGGGCTTTAGTGATAACAAAGCCCTGAAACAGAAGTTATGGGCGAGTTGCGTTGCACTCGATCGGTATGTTATGGAAGGATTTCTCTTCTGTTGCCGTCACTCATTCACTCACTTCATACAGATGCATCTCCTGGTCACTAGGTAAGACATCGTCATTGGTGCTGATACCATCCCCGCCAATAACTACCCCCCAACAATTAGGCCAGAATGCGATGCATGATGCCTGGGGATTGGGACTCCACGAAATCGGAAATCAAATTCAGTTGGCGCAGATCCAGACGCGAACTAGTCTCGCAGGCAGATTTCGCCCTCCGCTCCAATCTCAGCAAGATCAGTACCATGATGCAGCATTGCAACTGGATGCATGCCTTCAAGATTGGGAAAATAGTCTCCCCAGCGATTGGCAGTCACAGAACATCAGAATGATTGTCGACAGGTCGTCCCGAGCTGAGCGATACTTGCTTCATCTTCGGTAAGCCAATAGTCCCCTAACCTCCCCATACTCGATTTTCATTGTTCTATGTAGCTACCTCCACCACCGGATCTTTCTATTCAGACCCATGCTCGCCCGCTTCTACTCAATGAAAACAGACACCCATCCTTCACTAAAGTCACGAAGCCTAAGCGACCGGCTCCTACGTGAAAGTGCCAGCATGTGTATCGAAGCCGCGCAGCAGGTGGCATCGCTAGTTAATGAGACTCTGGAACCAGATGAGCCAATCGGGATGCTTCCGTGGTGGTACAGAATATACTACCTTCACATCGCGGGTGCCAACTTCCTCGCAGCTATGTTCCGATCAGAACTTTACACAGACTCTGTTTCCCAGTCTTGGAAGAGTGTCCTTCTGGCACTCCGTGCCCATGAACACTTAAGTCCCTACATTCATCAATGTGTGCGGACATTTGAGACTCTCGCGGCCAGGATTCTGGGCAAGCCTTACCCCAGTCTGGATGGTGGTGGGTGTGATTTGATGGTAGATGGGTCTTCTGGAGTTTCTTTCGATGATATTTTCCAAGATGTCAATATTGATTTCGACAATTTTATATTTGGGCCCGAGGACTTCTCAGAAGGGTTGGTTTAGGGGAGAGGTTATTTGGGAGTGCTGGAGGGACACTCCCCTGTCTATATCGGAGTACCAACGGGCGACTGTTTCACATTTCACAATATAGGGTAGCCTACTATAGCGACATCGTCCGCAGAGGAACACGTACACATGTACAACGTAAAGTCCGAATTTTGTATCTGGTCAGGTTGCTCCCGTGGAGATGAGCATCCCAGGTACGTGTACCCGGAACTTCCGGAACCCTTCCCTTGTCGAAAGAAAAATAAGAGAAGCATTAACCAGTTCCTGACACCACTACTACCACGCGTCATGGGATTATTGAAGAAGTTAGGGGAATTGGAAAGTGCAAGGCGATACACCCGAAGCTGTGAGAGGCCCATAGAGGCAACACATTTAGCTATCAACCCCTATTGGCAAATGTAAAAGGCTTTGGTATATAGAAATTCGGAATTAAACGAGGATGCATTTCGTATATCATAATCCTTTCACGATAATTTCACGTGCAAAAGGACTGTACTATCAGCATGCGATTGGCTGTACGTTAAACTGGAAAGCAGAAAAGAAAACAAAATCACGATGCCTACCGACACCGACACCAAACTAAACCAGAAGAAAAACCGGACGAATAGTCGTCATTCCCGATCTCATGTTCATGTCCCAACATCACAAGACAACTTCTGCGATCACATTCCCCAAGGTACTCACACACCAAAGAGCGATAAGACCCCACCCGATCCTGCGATCCATTCTCCAGTTGTTCATAGGAACAACAATCAAGAGCCCAACCAGGATAATCAAAAGTGTCGCACCGCTGATAACAAGCACCTTGGAGATGGCAATGTCATAAGAGACTTGCACAGGGGCGACACCCTGCAGCGTCTCATTGTGTCTCTGGTTCCCGGCATTAATGGTCATATACAAACCACCTAGTCCGATACCGAGGAGGATATTGAGCATAGGACCACCGAAGCAGGCGCTGAGGGCCATGACCGGATACCCCAGTCGGGCAACTGTGATGTCAGCGACTAGATCGCCTAGCGAGTTCCCGACGGCGAAGATGGTCAATCCGAGTAGGGAATCGGAGATGTTGAGGATAACGCCGATGGTCTTGAGGAGGGAGACAACTTCTGTGGCAATCGTGGCAATCCAGGATATGGCTACTAAGAAGCCAAGTAGGGAGAGGAAGGGCCGCCATTGCGATGGGAGGGTGTCGAGGTGGGGCTGGGATTCGTGGGGGAGGAGCGGAATGGAAAGATCTGCACTGGGACGTCGGCGGTTTCGTTGACGACGGGTGCTTATTATTAGGGCCGTGAGACAAATGGAGGAGAATAAGAGGGAGACAAGGGAGGGGAAAATGAGGTTGCGCAGCTGACGGTCTTCATCCACAGTCGTCCACGCGATGAGTACGGCGAAGAAGGGACCCGTGAAAAGCTGGATGGAAACCAGCCAGCGATTCCAGTCCTTTGTTGGCACAGAATTCACAGGTGAGCCCGGCACTGGCACTGCCGGGAGTTCCGAGTCCCATCGGGGGCGACTAGTGTGTTCGTACGAGGACTTTCGATGGGGGTGCGTTGGCGGCACATTAGAAGCTGACCCGTCATGGCCATGTGCCTGAGCCACGAGCACTGGACTATCGGCTGGCAGTCTAACCCTTGGGGAAGGATTTCCTCCATCGCCGACGTCCTGAATGATCACCGAGGGTATGGGGTCCGGGTCCACAAACTCTGGTGTCTCAGGCTCAACGACTGGGACAGTTATGGTAAGAAGCAGGACACTGGGAGCTGCGATAATACCGAGCAACCGCTCCCAGACAGTTTTAGATTTCCAGCCAGCCAAAGTCGGGAAGAGTGTGCAAGCAATCTGCTGGGGAGGGGGAATCGAGTCAGGCCACCAATTCCTCAGGTATTTTCGGAAAGGGAGGCCTACATGAGCGAAATCATCAAACCCGTCATGGACTTGTAACCGTTCTAATGGGCTGGTTGAACTTGGAAGTCGAACGCTGGGTGGTCGTGAGAGTGCCATGGAGGGTAAATCAGTATACGATGGGAAGGGCACTGAGGGGCTTTCTAACCCGACGCCTGAATAATGGCGGGCTGTAGTGCCCCTGGGAGATACTGACATTGTGGATCGGTCATCTGTCCCTGAGTTGCGGTAATTGGGAGAGTTGAACGCGTCCGATGGAGCGAGCCGGTCAGGAGTTTGGGGACTTGTGGTAACTGGGTCTAGAGTCGGCGACTGGCTCGCAGAAGACACATCCAGCGCTATCCCAGTATTAATTGGAGGGAGCTGGCGTGACTGCATGGCTTCTTGTTCCGAAATATCCTCAAAAGAAGGTTTGCTCACTGTAAGCAGTGGACCTTGTGTTGGCCGGGGCTCTAAAACACTGGAGTCATATTTCAACCCCAAGGCATCATTCGCTGACACAGCTCGAACTCGAGATGAACCTGCTGCGCTGGACGGCGACAGGCGGTCGTTACTAGCAGATGGTCGACTGGCGCGAGGATGCGATGCCACCGAGCGCCTGTCGAAATCGGACTCGCCGTCATCTGAATAGCTGTTCATGCCGATTGTCGGATTGCGACGGGTGCTTCTTGATTTCTGCAGTGAATGAAGAACAGATTGAAACTCCAATGCACCGACAAGACTCGGTCGAATGGGGTTCATCGTGTTACGCCTCGATTTCACGGGGCGATAGACGTGCATGTTATCACGAATCTCGGCCAAGTACGGGTTGCGTGTTTCGTCGTCCTCGTCGTCCTCTTTTTTCCATAGAGGAACAGGCTCGGCACGCTCCAAAAGATCAAAATCCTCAGTCGAGGCTCCTCGGAGAAGACTTCGTGACTCTGACGCTACACCCGGATCATCGTCCTCAGCGGCCTCTTCGATCTCCAGTTCTTGGTTCTCCGGTATATGGAAGTGAGCTCGCGCTGCGAGATCTCTCTCGTTCTTTCGGCGTCGTCGTACCAGATACCAGTGCCACGTAACCACCAATACGACATAGAAGGCATACAAGCCTACCATCGCAGCTGACTCCCATACATGAAGTTTCCCATCAGCCAGCATAAACATGCTGAAAATGACAGCTACTATGAAATAGCCCACATCTCGGACAAAGCTCCTTCGCGCGACCTTGAATGGCCGAACTAATGCCATGGAGCCTGCGACAACGGAGGTAATAAAAGTCGCCGCGCCGATCAACTCACCAATCGCCAGGCTCCCACTGTTCGATCGCATGGCGGCGAAAGTGGAAAACACGTCAGGGCTTCCATTGCCAAATGCAAGGAATGTCACGCCTGTGAGACTCTCGCTCAAGCCTAGGATGCTAGCCAATGTACTCAGATCAATACACAGGAAATCGCTTGCTGCGATGCCGATGGTACTGAAGAGCAGTGACAGCCAGAGTATCAATATCGTGAATGCTACTGGTTTCACATCGGCCAATCCGCAATAGTAAAATTGAAGGTAGGAGATTAGGCCATCCTCGTGATCGGGACAGTTGGCGCGGACGTATGCACACTGGTTTTTAACATTGCGGACCGAGCGACACTATATCATTGTGACACAGTATATCATTTAGCCTTCGGTCCCATCTCATAGGGAAGGATTGGGAAAGGGAAAGATACCTCTAGTTCGGCCTCTCGCTTGAACAGGTCTATATGTGGCCCTGTACCTGGTTGCGCAAACTGGCCATTTTCATGTGTAGTACCACTTAGGAACCAACTCGCTGTTGCAATAAGGGTAAACACCAACAACGTGGTATAAAATGGTCGGATTGAGTATCGTGGCTTCCGGACTGCAGGCTGCAGGAAGGACAGCAGCTGGTTCATTATGTCGAAAGGTATTGCGGCATCGTGGGCCGGAGACTTATACCAGAAGGATCAAAGTTGAAGACCCAATGCATGTAAATATAGCGTCCAACGGATGTTGGTTTGTATATACGAGCGTGGTGAGTGCGGTGAGGAGTGCGGTGATGTCAGCTAGGAGGAGCTGCGGCGGGCCTCGGGAGTGGGCCAAAGCGGTTAGTTCGCCGATCGTCGTTGCACTGAAGAAACAGATTGAGGGGATCGATTGCACATAGGATAACCGTGAGTAAAACCAGATAAGATGGTGAAAAGGTTGTAGTTGCAATCAAACATGGGAGGGTTAGTTGTTGAAGGTTCAGAAGGATGGACCAGGGTACAATATTGAAACCCGATATTCCAGGCACCAAAAGTCTTGATTATATAACAACTAGTGCGTCATTGGTGTGCCTCGACCGCCGTATGTTTGTTGACTTCCCCATTTGTTTTGCTTCGACGACATCAACCCCTCTCTTCATCGAACTTTCCATCTCAACGCTGTTATCGCCATCCCCTATCGGGGGTAACCGCAACCATGCCGCGTGTCGCAAACAAGGTACATCGCCGTTCTAACGGCACCTCGACCCCGCACAAAAACTCTCCGGTCAAGTAAGTATCTGGATATCTCTTGGTGATAACAATCAACTAATTGAATCAGGATTCCCCTCAACGACGATGAGGGTGAGAAGGCAGCGCGCATGGAGGCTCGTCAAGCGCTTCATGATCGCCAAATGAGTCAGATTAAAGCCGCAGTCAAGACGCCCATGCCACCCCGGCGATACACCTACGATCGTGAAGGAAGCGACAGTCCCGCAACACCTCGACCTTCCGGTCACCGCAGTCGGACTAGCGATGTCAATGGCCGCGCAGTGACGCCAATGAAGCGCGTGCCGATCCTAGCCAATTTTGAAGAGTGGATGAAGATGGCGACCGATAACAAAATTAATGCGAATAACTCCTGGAACTTTGCGCTGATCGACTACTTTCACGACATGTCATTGCTGAAGGAAGGAGATGGTGTAAACTTTCAAAAGGCCAGCTGCACCCTTGACGGTTGTGTCAAAATCTACACCAGCCGAGTGGACAGTGTCGCGACGGAGACGGGGAAACTTCTAAGTGGACTGGCTGATAGCCGCGACAAGAGAGGGCGCGGGGAGGAGGAGGCAGAAGATGGCGATG